ACGCTTCCTCACAAGAGGCTTGACCACGCAACCCACTCTTCCTCACACGAGGCGTGACCACGCAACCCACGCTTTCTCACAGTTTTTGTTGAAGCTTGAACGGTGGAATGGGAGAAGAGGGAGCGGAGATACCGAAAGGAGCGGAGCGGAAAACACTTGCTTGGTTGAATGAAGATTCGAAAGTGATTGATTTAATCGGAGGTTATTCTTACTACTGCCTGATTTGTATGTGGTCCACATATGAATCAGGCGACTGTTCACGTCCTGATTTGTATTTGCTCCACATATAGATCAGGGATCTTCTAATCAACCTACTCGTCTAATCAACTATGACGTAATTACCTGTAAGAACTCTGCCGTAAATACTAAGCCTTAGAGTTCGGATTGTACCGGTAACCCTCAATACGCCCCCTCAATGCGAACTCGCATGGATACCGAGTGCATCCGTCAAATCCTTGTGACGAGGTCCCGGAAGGGCCTTCGTCAAGATGTCCGCGAGCATGATGGAAGTCTCACAAATGCTCAAGCCCCACTTTACCACGCTTGACTTCATCACGGATGTGATGGTACTTGATGTCGATGTGAGTTTTGCGCGACCATGGTTGACGGGATTCTTCGTCATCTTGATGCAGGACTGGTGGTCTTCGAGAATCTTCAGTTCAGGTGCTGACTTGTTTGACGCTGCGAGAATTTTGCTCATCCAGTCGGTGAACCCACTTGCCTTCCTGTATCGCTAATCTGATTGCGCAATGTGCTCAGCTTCGCTCGTTGACAGCGACACACTTGACTGCTTCTTGCTGCCCTAACTGATTGGTGCGCTCATCAACAGTAAACGCATATCCCGAAGTCGACTTGCGGTCGGAATAGTCTCCAGCCTAATCCGCATCGGAGTATTCACGAAAATCAACTTCCTCACCAGGCTTGAAACAAATTCCATGTGACTTGGTCCCTTGCAGATAGCGGAAAATACGCTTCACTGCAATCCAGTGCTTGACTTGGTTTTTTCCATAAATGCGATACGTACCCCACAGCAAAAGCTATGTCTGGGCGTGTTGCGGTCGTTAAATGCATGAGCGCCCCCACAGCTTTTCGAAATGTAGCGCTTACCTTGGTCAACGCATCGCTTCGAGTCAGTCGAGTGCTCACATCAGCTGGGCTTATTGCAGCCTTGCAGTCTCCATCCCAAAGCGCTTCAAAATGTCATCCACATAGCGTCGCTGGCACATCGTCACGCCTATTGTCAGCGTTTTTGACCAGCTATATGCCCAACACAAAAGCACTACCTTGCCACTGTCGTTCATCTCGAAGCGCGTCTTGAGGTCGCTTTTTGGTACACGCAGTGAGTTCGTCGAGCTCCCAGTCACCAGCACATCGTCCACGTAGACTAGCAGCAGTACGCAGTGACCGTCCACAAGTCTTGATATAGAGACACGGATCATAGGCCGAAACTTGAAACATGAAGGAGCGAACAAACTCGTCGAAGGCCCGTTCCATACACGGAAACTTACTTGATATTGAGTGTAACCGGTATACCGACGGCCTTTGACCGTGTTTATGGCCAGAATTAGCGCGATGTATTCCGCTTCACTTGTCGACTGTGACACGCTTGACTGCTTCTTGCTTCCCCAACTTATGGGTGCACCAAAAAGTACGAACGCGTAACCCGAAGTTGACTTGCGATCAGCATGGTCGCCGGCCCATTCCGCATCAGAAAATCCGCGAACGTCGATCTTGACCGTCGGCTAATAGCAAATTTTATGTGACTTGGTTCTTTGTAGGTAGCGAAAGATGCGTTTTACTGCCATCCAGTGTTCTTGCTGGGGATTCTCCATAAATCGAGACACATAACCCACAGCATACGCGATATCTGGACGCGTTGCAGTCATCAAATGCATCAAAGCACCAACCGCTTTGCGGAACGGAGCATCCACCTTGGTCTCGGTAGTGATGAGCGGGGCGCTAGAGGGGACAGGGAACGACCGTTGGATGAGAAGAATGTACGGTCAAAGAGTGCTAGTTATCCGCCATTCAGAGGAGTAAATCGCGGTTAGCCCGATGGACTGCGGTTCGTTGAGGTGGACCCCGGTTCTCAAGGTCGACCCTGGTCTATCATTGGTAGACCTCGGTCTTTCATAAATGTAGACCTTGGCCCTTCGGTAGGTGGACTCTCGATCCCGGTCCCTAAAGGTCGACCTTGGTCCTTCATCAATGGACCTCGGTCCTCAGTCGATAGACCATGGCCCTTAGATTGATGGACTCCCGGCCCTTCGGTTCCTGAGGTTGACCTTAGTCCTCTATCAATGGACCTCGGCCCTTAGCCGATGGACCTTGGCCCTAAGGTCGATGGACTTTCGGCCCTAAGGTCGATATACTCTAGCCAAGCAGAATCAAGAATCAGGTCTCGGGGGTAAAGATAGAGTAAGGAGTTAAAAGATAGAGCTATATTAAATACTACTCAATTTGTGATCTACATAGCACGCCTCTGTCGTGCCTCAAGGAAAACTTGACTAAATTTACCCACCTGTTCCGGGAAGGGATACAATTTGGCCCCCCCGTCGAAGACAGCTGTGTGGTAAAACCCAAGTGCGAATAGAGCCTTAGGATATATTTAACTTGTGGGTTCGTCTGAGTAACACCCCCCAATCGATCCGCTATCGGAAGCGGCCTCCCTACCTTAGTGGTCCGGGAGCAAGTAACGTTCAGGCGGTTAACACCCCTGAGATATTAAGGAAGAGGCCAGGGTTGAGAATCTCTCCTGGAGAATTTAGTTATAAGTCCACCCTCGACCTAGTCGACTGAGTGGACACCTACCTACCCGCCTACCGAGTGAAGTATACCCACTCTAGGTAGGCACCTCAAAATCGACCTCTCTCAAGGCCGACATCACATCTCAATTAAGCCCTCCGAAGAAAGCAACCCGCCAGCCGACGGGTACACAAGGTGAGAGAAGGTCTATACGCGGCATCGGATTACCCCTTCCGACAGTCGGCAGTCCGGCACAGTGAGTGTCTTGGTGTCTCATTACGTAGTTTTAAGAACCCACTCCACCACCAATGCATCTTGCAGTGATGCACCACATGTGAACGCCCACGTTCGGCTAATCCACCTAACTTGCCCGTGGCAAAGCCCACACGGTACGGTTCGTAGGTGATGTCGGCTATAAACATAGCTGACTCAACCTGTCGGAACCAAAGCATAAGGTTGTCACCTTCTTTGCCGTCGAACTTATCGACTTCCATTTGTATGGGTTTTGATCTGCGGACCCCTTCTTGCGTCATAGTCGCCATGGGCGAAGGTGCAGAAGAAGGCATCTGTGCCTTTACATGCTCGACTAGAGCTTTATTATATTCATCAAGCATATGAATACGTTTGTAGACCTCTTCTTCGCCCTGGGCGATGAGGCACTTCACGCCCTTAGGGCCAAGGATAGGGAGCAGCTTCTGCAACCCTTCCTGTTGTGCCTGTGACAGGCCAACCGCTGACATCTCTTCGATGTCCATTCTCACAAAGAAGTAGTCGCAAACCCAGGTGCGGGTTTGACGACAAGTGCTACCAGGTGTAGCCGAGTTACTGTAGCCAAGCTGCTTAGGCACTACGTGCTAAGCTTGTGCCTATCGGTATAAACAACCACCGAGTCTCAAAGAGACTAGTATCAAAGATACTTAATTCCTTAGGAGGAATAGTACGCTCAAGCAGTGATGCTTAAAGAGTAGGTTTGAAACTGATTTGTATTTATGTTTATCTTCTAACACTAAATATAGAAGCACCTACTCTATACTTAGTGCTAGTCACTATTACTGGCTCTTCAGCCTTTTATTATTATGCAAACATGCATAGTCACTATACTTTAAATAAGTATAGTGACCACGTGGCTCTCTGCCACGATGTGACCCTTCGTACTTCAGGTACGGTCACATCACCTTCTTTGTACCCAAGGCACAGCCACACCGGCAGGTGTGTATGTAAAATACACACCTTCGTGTAACCCCGTTACATTTCACGTACGTATAGCAGATCACCTCTGTATAGCAGATCACCTCAGGAAGATTTTGGCCAGGGGTTCAAGTATACATAAATCAAGTTAATTGCGATCGGAAAATTTTTTAATTTTAATTAAAAAATTTTTATTTTGGATAATTACTGAAAGCATCTAAGTAAGAAACCATTCTTAAAAAATTTTTCATAAAAAACTGTACGGACGGCTCAAGAGGAGAAACAAGAAAGGGAATGGGGAATATCCAGGGTGGATCAAAGCAGCTTATAGCGCCAGTGTTTACTGCGATCGCGTGAGGAGTTTCCACGCGATCCACCCCCTTTGACCATCACGATCAAGACGGAGCAAGTCCACCGAGGAGAGTGCAACTTGCCCCAGTCGACGGGTACTCAAGGTAAGAAAGGACTACCCCTTCCGTCAGTCAACTGTTCGGGCTACCAACTATCAAACACCAGAACCGTGCGGGCACCCATTGGGTGATTGCTCGTCTACATATTAACCTATACAGAACGGTTTATAATTGTACTCGCCCCGCAAAAGGTTTGTCTATATCCTGTTTGCAATGGGAGGCGTAACCACTCGGCCACTGAGGTTGGTCATCTTCGATGCTTGATGTAGCAACTTTAAGTGCCATCCATTAATACACCCACACCACTTGAGGCGGATAAACTATGGTGTACCTCACACACGCTCTTGTGGCAGGTTGTAAGTGCGATCGCACTGTAGTCTTTCTCACTTTGTTCGATTGACAAAAGTGTTAACAGGTTTTGTCCTGTTTCATCTTGGTTCTGTTCATGGGGTGACCACTATAATAAGAATCTTAGATTCTGTTAATTTATTGTTATCGTTTTCTCGATAGTCTGCAGAGCTCTCGCCCTGCATGTTGTACATGTCCTGACATGTGTTTTAAAGCATACTAGAATGCTAGTATAGTAAGAGGTCGCGCCATACGTATTCTTTCCTAGTGAAGATTGGCCATAGCAAGTTCACCACCAACTTCTAGTCATCACATACGGTTGTCTTGCTTTTGCCAGTGGGATTTAAGCAGTGCAAGGCGTAACTGAAGACGAATGGAGTTCGACGCAGAATAATCCATCGGGGTGTGTCCATCGCGATCCACTTGATCGGCGTCGGCTCCCGCCGCCACTAGCGCTTTCAAAATATCGCCAAAATCGTTGGCAGCCGCGCTATGCAAGGCTGTGGTTCCATCTGTGGTCTGTGTGGCGTTGGTATCGGCACCGCGTGCGAGCAGCAGATTAACGACGTCGAGTCGGCCTTTTGATACGGCCCCACGCAGAGGCGTCATCTTTTTTGGTGCCGGATGTCGCTTCCAGTTCTGCTCCGTGGTTTAGCAGCAGCTCGACGACTTCTTTGTGGCCGCAATAAGCGGCGATGAATAGAGGACGCAGACCGTTTTGTGCCTGTGCTTCCAGTTGTGCGCCGTGGGTCAGCAGCTCGCGTGCCACCCCCCACATGACCGCGCTCGGCGGCGATATGCAGTGCCGTCATAGTGCCCGAAGCATTAACATTTGCGTCAAAAGACAACAAGCAACGCACCACATCTCCATGTCCTGATTCAGCTGCTAAATGGAGTGGTGATGAATGGCGGTGTGTACAGACAGCATCCACATCCGCACCGTTCAGTAGTAGGCTGTTCACTACAGTAAGGTGCCCATACTTCGCTGCGTAATGCAGCGCACTATAGCCCGTTGTCGTCACAGCATCGAGCTTCGCATCACCCCACAAAAGATGCAGCACAACTGCGAGGTGACCCTGTCGAGCTGCTAGTATCAGCGACGTTGCTTGCTTCTTCCCACTGACTGCCTCAATATTTGCCCCACGAGCTAGCGCGTGCTCCACCATTTGCAGATAGCCGTGCTCCGCCGCGCAGCACAGAACACGGGACGCTGCATCGGGCAAGCTAGATGCGCACTCGTCATTGGTCAGTAAGAAACGCACAATTTCTACATGTCCGCGTCGGGCTGCCAACATAATGGGGTGTCTAGATGACTCAAGCGACGCAAGATCAGCTGAATTAGCTGCTCCACGCGCCAGCAAATACTGCACCATGTCAAGATGGCCATTTTTGGCTGCCAAACATAGCGGATTGATTTGACTGGCAGGACAAGGCTTCCTTTCTAAGTTCATCCGTTGTCCGTGACTCAGCTTTGCCCTCTTCTTCACCCGAAACCACATTGTCTTCCATATCCACTGCAACCCGTTTCTTGCGTCTCCGACGTCGCCGCTGGCGTGAGTTTTCGCCTACAGCCTCATGAGCTGCAGCGAGGTAATCTGTCGTCACAGCATCAATGTGTGCTCCGTGCGCAATCAGTAGCTCTGCAATTTGGACATGACCATTCTCAGCAGAGCGATGCAGTGGCGTCGTGCCGTGCTCAGTTGCGGCATTCACATTGGCCCCACGTTCAAGAAGCAGTGCAGCTACATGTAAGTGTCCCTGATATGCCGCCTCATGCAGCGGAGTAGTGCCAGCTACTGTACGCTGGTCGACTGGCAAGCCCTGGTCAATCAGGTAAGAGGCTACATCCTCAAAGCCTGACGCCGACGCCAAGTGCAATCCAGTAACACCACCCGGCATCGCAGCTGACAGATTAGCACCGCGAGCCAGGAGCACCTTGACCGTCTCCAACTGCCCGTGCATAATTGCGACGTGTAAGGGCGTGGCACCATCAGTGCCAGATAGTTTCGTCTTGTCTGTAAGAAGTGTTTTCCCTTCAAGCTTCTCAGGTGACGAGCACGAGGAAGAACTACAACTGCTGCTATCAATTCCACTGCCTTCAGTACCAGTAGAAGCACTAGAACCTCCGGACATTATGGACTTGACAGAAAAGCTCTCGAAAGACTTGGAATCATCGTCCCGCTCCTGTCCGCTCTTTTTCGATGACGACAAACTGTCAGATTTACTTGGCGAATCTTCCGGCTTTTCAACTTGTTGTTGGAGGAACTCACCTACGATCGAGTGCTCATTTATCTTGGCGATAAAGGCAGCATCATACCCGTCTACGTCACGCGCCAACACATTTGCTCCGTGTGATACTAGTGTCTGCACGAGGGATAACGATCCAGCCCAGGCAGCGAACATGAGCGCGGTGAAGCCTTCGGGTGTTGCGACTTCCAAGTGGGCACCAGCCCGCAATAACTCACACACGGCATCATCGTAGCCGCCAACGCATGCAAGGTGCAACGCTGTAAATCCATCTTCATCTGCAATATCAAGCCAAGCCTCTAGCGAAGAGGAGCAAGACAAGCGTTTTGTGATATCGACGCTTGATGACGGAGATGACGCGCTAATACGTGCAGTCTGCACAAGTTTGGTAATTTGTTTGACATCTCCTATCTGCGCTGCTCGCTGCAGTAGCTGTGTGAAGTTGTGACGATTGGAGGATGGCGACGAAAAAGGAGACATGGACTCCTCGTCCTCCGTGACGGGGCTGCCTCCGTTCTGATCACTCGATCTCGGGAGGTGCATGCGGCGATAGCTGCAATGGGGAACACGATAAAAACTAGTGTAGCGTGGGAAAATGTAGTGCCAGTTATGTTGCCCAATAGAATAAAAAGCGCCTGAAGTAATGAGGCTGCACGGCCTGAATACGCTCAGAGTTCAGTTGCCACGTTGCTCACTACCTCAAGACTCGAAGCTCTTGTGCGTCGTAGAACGGAGTGCAAAATGTCACCAATTGGAATGCAAAAAGTGGAGGGACGAGCGATAAACGATAAAAGGCGTCCAGTTTGGCGCAAAAAGAGGCCGAGGACAGGAGCGTTCGGTTCGCGCTACCGCGACTTCCAGCTTCGACGCCTTTACTTGAAAGCCGAGAGCCAACGGCACGAATCTATTGGCTGTTTTTCGACCGTGTATGGAGAAATTGAAGTGATCTGATTGGATGGACGAACGCAGGATACATGTAGACGATTTCACGATATAATGACATGAGGCTGTCCTTGACTACATTCTGTGTCAGTCTGACAGAGACGACAAAGCGTAGTTGCGTGCCAAGAAATTTGTAGTAAATGAAGACTATACTCGATCAAAAGCTCTAGAATAAATCATTTACCAAAAGTAACAAACTGCATGTACAGTGTGTGTATAGTGTGTCTTTGCGTATGTAGAAAACTTGTTGACATCGAGTTCTTGACCTTCGATTTTTGTTACCAATGAACTTGCTTGTACGATGAGCACGCGAAAAGATTTGCAACGATGACGGATCACTTTTGTCAAGGCTTTGACAAGATCAAGCCTCGATCGATATGTTTTATACATGCTACTACTACTGCATGTATAAAACGTACGACATATCTGTCGCGACAGTGTGCCCCACTGACCATTGACTCGATAGGACACCACAGGCTCTTCGTTACAGCAGCAGCTACAACAAGCGTCTTTTTGTAAGATGATAAAGAAAAGTCGTATCTTAAGGGCGCTTACAAACGTATCCTTATCCATCGCGGCTTTAGAAACGCAACATGGAGGCCGTCCCGTGTGTTTTCGCAGCACCGCAGCTAAACAAAACATCGAAGCTGAAGCACCATTCCCGCAAGTGCGTGATTCACGCTGCTATTACGATCAAAAAGCGGCAAATGTCACAAAATTGCATTTGCCGCTTTTTTTCATCGTAATAGCAGGAAAAGGTTCTATCTTGAAAACAACAGTCTGGCGCATAAGCTCTGTGAACCTTACTACAGTTGGTGCTCGTGACAAAGTCAATGCTTCTTAAGTACCGCGTTAAATCGAAGAAAGTAATGTGGATCACTAAGATTGAGGATGCTGGCGGAGACTCTTTTGAGCCAGCTGCAATGCAGTCCTTGTGGTCCTCAGCAAGACCTCTACGTACGATTCTGAATTCTTTTGCCATGAGAATCTTTCAGGCTCATTTGTTTTTGCCGCGGCAACAAATGTATGGTCCAGTTGACCGACCTGCTGTGCTTTTACGACTTTGAACAATGCGCACTGGACCCACAAGATTTGGGCCGACCATTCCTCATGCAGCAGTATGCCTTCACGATTGAAAGGTTTGCAGCACGAGCATGCCCAAATGTAAGTTTAAGACATAAGGTGCAGAGCAAGATGAAGTACCACCATGGTCCTGAATAGGCACTGCCAAATTGATGACAACGTACCCCAAATTGTACGTGTGTGTTATCGAATGCAGCAACTTGCATTCCCGCAAGAACAACAAACAAGCTGTAACCAGTAGCTAATAGCTCCATGAAACAAATGTATGTCGCAAAAGGGAGAGGTAAGGTTGATGCCAAAGAGAAGAATCATTGCCTTCTGTCAAGGGCATATATAGGTGCGTAGATGAAGAATAGTGCATGCTTTACGCGCTGACGTGGCTAGCATGTCTTGAGTATTGGATATAGAATTAACTCATGCTTTTGACATTTCGTCTATGAGAAACAATAAAGCCTGAGCTTTAAGATACCGGTGGGTCGGCGTTTTTCATATTGCTTCACCAAAGCACTTTTCACTAACGACTACGAACGTAGACCATACCTAAAATCAATTATTAAGTACTTACACTCAGCTCGTTTACAACGGACACGTTCTTGTTTTATATCACGTCCTAGATGTCTCTCATCCGTTCTTTACCCTGTCTGTCCTTTTGCGTTCGTGCACAATACTATCGATACCAGTCAAAACGATATTCTAGCTACATCACAGTTTCCAATCAAATTACGAAGCGGTATCAGCCCATTCCGACACCTCCTCGCAAAGCTTAAACTTGTGATGGGTATTTTTCACTTGAGAAAGCAAACGACGCAAGTATCACTCTGACAACGGGGCAGAAACTACCTGCGCTGCAGGTTCGCCTACCTTCAAACCCTCCAGTGTCCTGATCAGTAACGCCTTCTCCTCAATGAATTGAGGATCCTCTGCATCCACATCACGCAACAAAGTGAGAAAACGGCATGACATACCAAAAGTAAAGTGTTGTACCTTTGTTGTTCTGGAAATTCTTCAGATATGCAATAAGCTTCTCACGGTTGTTCACAAGGATCTGAGAGATCGCTTCTGGTTTCTTAGGATTCGCCACAAACACCTTAAACACGTGAAAAGCTTCAAACTGGATGTTTGCACTTGTGTCACGTAGCAAGTTCATCATCATCTTCAGATTCTCCTTCTCCCTGTAATACAACGCGAGGTTATCACCAATCTCTGCCAGCTTCTGTCAATGTTTCGTGCAACTTACCCAATATACTTCATCATGATGTCAAAATTGGATCGATCGAGCAGGATCTCCCCCAGTAGTTTCAGTGATTGCCGTCGGGTCACATAGTTCTCGGACATCAGCAGGCTATTGTACTTTGCAAACACAACGTCAAAGTTGGACGTAAAGAATGTCGCAGCAAGAGTCTTGTGGCGCGTGAACAGATCTTTGAAAGTCGCAAATGCGTCCGAGCCGACTTCAAAGTTGGGTAGGTGCACATACACATCAAAGAACTTCCAAAGATCAGGAGAGTACAGTATCTTGCCTGCCAGCATCTCGTGGCGAATTGACTGCATTGCACAAATCAGTTAATACAACACGATATACGTGTAAAATCTCAATAATTGGTAAGTCAATTACCTCACGCAGCATAGTACCACAATTCAGCGCCACTTCAGGATTTTCATAGCCTGCCACAAGCGCCGACAGAATTTCAGGCTTACGTTCCGTGTGGCTTACAAAGCCCCCAAGGTCACGACGCATGAGGTTGTTATAAACTTGCGCAAACTGCTTACGTGCCTCAAAAGGCAGCTTGTCCAGCCCCGTGATGAGCCTGGGAACGAGTCCGCTCGCAATCAGTAGCTCGGCCATTTGCGCACATTTCTCTGGCTTTGCCTCCTGTTCTCCATCCCCATACAGCAGCAATTTCATTTCACTCAGACGTTTCGTAACTTCTTCAACGGGCTGTGATATCTCAATGAATAGACAATCTCATTAGCAAAATCAATGGTAAAATCATAGTCTTCTATACTAGCAACTTACCGTCCCATCCTTAGAAGGTTTAGCAGGAGCAGACGGATCTGCTAGTGCATCCTTCAACAGCTTTACCAATTGATCAGGATTTTTCCGACGTGAGAAGAGCGACATTAAAGAAGAAGGGGTGGCGGAAATGCGCGGACGGCAACGAACGACAGCAACTAATTACTGCAGGACAAATGAAAAAACTGAGCCTTTTGCACGGAATAGGCAGTCAGTCAGTCAGTGCATGCGTATGCAGGAAAAAATATAAAAAAATCAGTAAGCTTTTGTCCAATAGATTTATAGCATTTCAATCACTGAAAATAACACAGTATTCAGTGGAATGCAAATGGAGTCTCATTATGAATGCAAATTGATACATTTTTACCGTTCATACGTGTTGGATATAGGTTGTTCTTTTTTGTAAACTACCACGGTTTTTGAGAAATAGCGGAGATGACATTGCTTTCAAAGTGATCCTTACGAATTGTACGTAGTAAGAAGGAAGCTATTGAGCTCGTACTTTTATCAGAGGCACTGAAATGTATCGAAGCTTTAAGACTTGATTGTGGGAATTTGTTGAAACCCAATTGAACATTTTCTATGTAGTGAGTGAATATTAAATATGCTTTTGTGGTAATGTTTTTTTCATTTAATCAATTGAATGATAGAGACCTGATAACATTGGAAGCTGTTGTCTTATTGCTTAATTTACTCTATTAAGATTCCGGTCGGAGGTTTGAAGCTCAGTAATTATCTTCAAGAAAAATTAGTGTGACAAGAATTCTAGCAAAGAAAATCGTCAAACAAATCAGCAAGAACAGTCACCACGCATTTTTCTCGTTGAGTGAAATGACACAAGCAGGTCAAGGAGTCATGTGTGAGCATATCGTTCATATCTTATTACTGGCGTTTAGTTATACCATATGGTAATAACCACAGCTCTCGAGTCGAGAGTATTTTACGCGCTTTGAAGTAGAAAATACGACTTTCACAATCCTTTTGCAAATTGTACTGATATATTAGTAACCCTCAGTGATTTCCGTGAGAATTAGAGCTTCCATGATAAATTAAAAAGTTAAGACAAATCTCAATTCTAAGCCAGAGCATCGTGCAAACTCCGAGATTTATGAGTCTAACTATGACATGCAGAGCCCACTTTTTAGCGGTAATGAGCTACAGAATGACACATTAACAGCACTTTGGTGAAGCTAAGTTGATCAGCTAATAATGACTACCGGGTGTCGAGCTTTAAAAGAAATTTAAACCTGAGAAAGCATAACTCTCGCAACCCGTAGTTCTCATAGTAAAAATTAAGCAGCAAATACAAAGAGCATTTCTTCCATTACATATCGTCACAAGATGTAACACTGCGCTACAATCGACCTGCAAGGAGCGCGCAAGTCCGAGTCAGTACTGCTAGAAGTAGTGCAATGACGAACTGCCTCATCTAAGATTTACTGACTTGTTCAACGCTGTGATTGGTCGGTCAAAACCTATGCTGAAGTAGCGTTAAGGAGGCAGATTGCATCATCGGCTGGGTGACATCATTCCGGTATAGTCGAATAGAGTGGATTTGGCTTACATATTTTGGGTGCAAACCGCACCTCTTCCCGTTACTTTCGCCGTAGCGAGCTCCTTGCCAGTTTTCATTTTGGCTGCTTCTTTCATCCCAAGGCGTGACTGGTGTCAAGGGCCGCTAGTAATAGTAAAAGTGAGAGAGAGAAAGCACAGAGAATTTTGTGCTTTCTCAGTAGAAAAATCTGCTCGAGATATTTTTCTACCAAACTCTTTGATACTCGATAGTATCGCCCAGTGCGACTCCTTCGAGACTCTTGTCTAATCCAAGCTTGTTGCTAGCCAAACGCCATGCTGCTTTCGTCTATGGACCCCCTCGGTTATTATACGATGCTCAAAGAGAATGACTTTTTGGAACTTGACGCCTCTTCCAGTGTTACTGGTCATGACGGGTACGCACTTCCGCCTGAGGACATGGGCGTTGTATCGTACATGAATGAAGAGAATAGTCCAAAAAATGGCACGAAATCGTCGCTATACAAAACGGAACTTTGCAAACGCTTTTCAGAATTTGGCAATTGTCGCTATGGAGGTTTGTTGCCCTTTTTCTATGAGTCTTTTGTTATCTGATACGTAGATTACTGATGATTTCTTGTTGTTTTTGCTACAGCAAAGTGCCAATTTGCTCATGGTATTGCCGAACTCCGTCATGTTGTACGTCATCCCAAGTACAAAACTACTAAATGCAAGTCTTATTGGGGATCGGGTCATTGCCCTTACGGCAGTCGTTGTCGCTTTATTCACGAAGAGACCGAGGGTTACGTGCAGCCGCAGTACAGTCCTCCGAGTCATTTAGGAGGCGGCATGTTCTTTAACGAGAAGGAATGTCTTGGCGGTCTGGGTGCTAGTGTTATGGCCTCATCTCAGTCGTCTGTGGATTTCAGCTATGGGGGTGGTCTTTACAATGAGCAGCCTAACCCTTCTCATCTTCATCAACTTCGTTCGCATCATCATCACCAGGTGATGTCTATTTACCCTAAAGAAAATTACTCTCTCTTGTCCTCGCTGGACAAGGGCTCCTCGTGGGGAGTACCGGGCATGTCTTCCTCCGCCAATCACCACCCTAATTATGCTGGTGCGCAGTATGGCAGTGCCTCTCTTAAACAGCAGGGCTTGCTCGGCAGCATTGGTCTGCATTCTGCTCAGCAGCGAGCCTCTCCGGTGAATAACGCTGCCAATAGTGCATCGTCACCGAGCTACCCGGACCTCCAGGATGCCATCGACGCATTGATGAAGTTTTCTTTGACCCAGGACGACGATGACGAGCTCAGCACGGACACCGTCTCCACGCCTGAGAGTACCCCAACCCAAACTGGTCGTGGACGCTGCCTTTCTGGTGTCTCTTCGCCATCTCTCGCCTCATCTTCGACGAAGACGACCTCTAAGAAAAAGCCGGAGTTCTCCCTTCAGTCAGACGAACTATGGAAAGACTTTCCGACTGCATCGTCGACGTCTTTTACCGTTGACGATCTGCAAACTCAGCCGTGGTCTACAGGACTGTCACTGAGTCTTGACAGCAAATTATTTGATAGCACTGCAGCTGCTGGTGAGGATTCTATGGATGCCTCTGGTAGTTGTAGTGAGGACGAGGAGAGCCCCCGACTGAGCGTGTTCGAGCGTTTTCATTAAGGCGTCGGAAGCGATAAGGAGAGGTGGCGCTCTGTATCTATCTATGAGCTCGTGCCTGCGCGGCGTGCTTCCGTCCATCCTTATTTGGTGTGGTCTTTGTGCTGCTGCTCGCTGCCCGCTCGTGTGTTTTACCAGCTCCTATTTACTTTACATATAAATATATTAAATACGGCGGCTGTCTTAGCAGCTGGAATGAATTATGTCTTGGCCATGGTAAGTTTAGTATGTTTGTAGCCAATGAAGCAAATGAGGAAAATTGCAAGCTCAGCAACATGGCCTTACACAATATAAGTGGGAAGGAGCTGTGCTCGGGGCGCCTACAAACAGCTTTTTGCGAACGTCGTGGAGGATTCTCATTGCACGCGCTGCTTTGCACGAATGTTATATCTGCGTGCGCTGCACCGCCTTCGTCGAGATTTACGGATGTCTAGTGGGCTCATTTGTTCTCATATACCGTTTACCATGCAATGCTGAAACGCAGCGTTACCGTGCATGGCTTTGCGATGGTGGCCTACATGCGTCCTATAACTACGCTTGGAGTTTTAGCAATATGCTCATCAGAGGCAAAGCTTGCGATACTAGGACACGTCAACATTATTACGAACACCACCTTCGCACGATGTGGCTGGCTTAGGCTTCAAGTTGGCTCTACTGGCAAAACATCCTTACGGTTTTGCCGATTCCTTACGCAACGATCTCCACTTTTCTCACTGTTTGATATTCAAAGAGAACGAGTTTAGGCAAGCGACGTCCTCCATGCACTCTCGATGCTCGATAGCAGACAAGTTTAGCGTGCCAATTTGTTTACAGACATGCACGTGAAGCTCATTTGAAACTGTAGTCACCTTATTTGCATCGTATTTTCCTTCTTCAGTACGCAGTAGCAACAAACTAAGCACTTTCTACAGCTCCTCATGCTCAGCGTCCTCATATTCTTCATTGGCATCCGCCTTCGGTTCATCCTTCTTTTGCTCCACACCATATTCCACGCCTTCTAGTTCAAACTTTTGAGCGTTTTTCTTCAGAAACTCTGCAAGGCCTTCTGCATCGCGCGAGCCTTCATACACAATCGGGCTTTGCTTGTCCTTGCCAGGGAAAAAGATAACCGTCGGGAAGCCACGTACGTCCACACCCGGATGATCAATCTCGTTGGCGGTGGCATCAATCTTAGCAATCATGATGCTTTCCACATCCGCAAACGTCTCAGCCAACTCCTCGTACTGAGGGGCAAGTGACTTACAGTGACCGCACCATGGAGCGTAAAACTCGAGCAGTACATCATTCTCGTTGTCCATTACACGCTGCTGGAAATCCTTGCCTACGATGACCTTCACAGCCTCAGCACTGTCGTCCTCAGGTTCGGCAGACTTAAGCTGGGGCAAAAGCTTGCCCTCAAGGTAATTCTTCTCGAAAACAACAAGATCGTCGACGAACCCGTTTTCCATTTTAGCAATAAGCTCGTCTGCCTTGTAATCAAAGCCGTACTTCTTTAAGGATCCGCTCATGTTCACAAGCACAATAGCGGGCATATCGTCCTCTGTGATACCAAAGTACTCTACAATTCGACTCTCCGTGCTCGGCATAATAACATGAAGCATTTTGCCCTTGTTAAGTTGAGCGGGTGTCTTTAAAGCAGCCTCGAGGCCAGCCATGTAGTCTTCACTAATGTTTGCGAAGGCCAAAACGTGTTCAGTGATAGAACCGGCAAAGATCTGAGAAGCCTTGTCTGCCTGGAATGTGATCACGAGAGGCTGGCTATGGGACTTGATAAACGCGGCTAAATTCTCCTTCTCAAAATCTCCGTCGTACACAACTTTGCCTTCGTCAAACTTCTTGTACAAGACCACCTTGTTCACAGCAGTTGCATCCTCCGCGACATCCGTGTTGGTCGAGGCAACGTGTACGGCCAGGCTGTGAGCATCAGCAAGATTCTCCAATAGACTACGTGCCTCACCGTCCTCAGCGTCAATCACAGCAAACACGACAACCTCGTTTGCTTCCTTGATTTCTTCAAGCTCTTTCTTGGTCTCTACAATCTTCACTGCAGGACCAGATTTCTTGATGACCCACTTTGTAATCTCATCAGCTGTGCGACCACCACTGTAATCCGTCACAGACTCAACGTTACCCTTAAAAAACTTAAGAGTGGGAAAGCCTTGGACGCCAAACTGTTCGCCCAATGCGTTCTCCGCTGTGGCATCCACCTTTGCAAGACGAATTGTTGGATCATGTTCCTTGAGACTCTTGGCCGCCTTTGCGTACTCGGGCGCTAGTTGCTTACAGTGTCCACACCATGGGGCGTAAAACTCAACCAGCAACGCCCCATGGGTCGATACGGCTTCAGCAAAGTTGCTTTCCGTGAGCACCAATACATCGGCCTCTTCTTCAAACTCAACTGCACGTACTACTAGCGCTACCGTAAGCAATAGCGCCAATGTACGGGCTGCTTGTTTCATAAACATAATCAAAACAAGGAAACGAAACTACAAAGTAGCAATGGGATTGCGGAAGGAATTGTAAAAATCCAAAGTGACTTAGGGAGGGAATGGAACAAGAATATAAAGATACTGTATCACTCGACACGTGGATTTCCTTCTACAAAGAGAATATCAAAAATATCAAAAGTAACAGGTAATGACGTCATTGAGACGAACGAGCTTGATGACGTCATCGAGTACTATTATATAATTACATCTAGTCTTTTTCTGTAAAAGGCCTTTGGAAATCCCTTTATTTCTAACTGTACTTGGTTACTAGCCTGTCATAGTGAATGATATTATATGAAAGGATATGATTGTCACAAGGGACGAGATATTGTTAAATCATCCGAGAGACGATTACAACTGCTGTTGGACTATATGGGACTGGCAAGTCTCGCCTCATGTGAACTCATGCAATGAAAGACAAGATTCAACAATTGTCAGCACTGGCAGCACAAAAACTAGTTGCTGACCCAGTTGCTGAGTTTAGTGACAATACGTCTTGAAAGACCTAAAGTTATTACCAACTGGCAGTACCTGGAGAGAATGTGGCTCATATGGATAATTGGAGGAGTTAATGTAAATCCTATACTTCTAATAGCGGCATAAGGCCAGGTATGCTGCCTAATTAAAGTCGTTGTTGTTGTTGTCATTGGTGTGGTTATCGAAGAACGCACCAAACTCATGTGCATTATGAAATAAAACGAACCCGTTTGTCACTCAACATGATCGTCTTCTTCTTTCTTGATCACAACAACGATGCGATGAAGTACTTGATCCTGTTTTTCTGACGTTTTAATGTGTTTTAATTCGACAGTGAGTTGCCGTCGATATACGAAACAGTGGATGTACAATTCATCAGGTTATGGAGAAAGGAAATGACTACTCGTGAGGCCATGCAAACATGTTTTAAACTATGCTGCAAATCTCGTATGTGCTGTGCTACCCCGTCAAACTCGTTGCCATACACTAACACCAAGAGTGCACGCGTGAGCATGCGCCGTATTTGATTTGTGCTGACGCCAGAATACTGGCCTTTCACGAAGTTATTCTGGCTACACGGTGAACACTTTATGCCGGTGCCGCAACGTCTCTATCTTACAGCAGCAATGCTGTCACCCACTCAATTTATTGTGGCTACCGATGTGCATTTCAGCCGTTGCCGCAACATCTCTATATCACAGCAGCAATGTAGTCACCCAGACCTATGGCAGTGGCAAGCAGCAAGCCTTTGTACAATGTGCTTCGTCTCTCCTGCTTGCGCTCGTAGAAACTGAATCTGCAAGCAAGAGTGGTAGCCGAGTTCACAAAATTTAGCTTTCTGTGGTACACAAGCTCCAATCCTCATCAAGAACCTACCTTTCGTCGTAAAAGCCCTTCGCGTAGACAGCAAGCATGTTGTGTAGTTCTGGAAATTCCACTTTCTGGTTTCATTCACAACAACGGGATTACTTTCAGGCTTACTCGCACTTGTGCCCTACAATTTTAGCCTCACCTGTGAGTCTTCAAAAAGCTCCCCGTCGTATGTTTTGCGCGCCTCGTCCAACTTGTTGGCAAAATGAAACACACATCGAACCTTCTCAGGTACTTTTGACTTATAATCTTCTTCTGCCAGACTCTTGGCAAATAATTTCTCGTGTTTCTTGGGCAAATTATGAACCTAGTTATCGCACTTCTTATCAGCGACAAGACAATCGTTTGCACAAGTTAACTCGAGCGCGTGAACTTACATGGGTTGCAAAAATCTCCGTCATGACCGCCTTCTGCACCTGAATAATTGACTCTAAAATAAGCTTTGACTCGACCTCGTTAACAATGTTGTCGCCGTCTGCATCGTACAGCTGGAACTGACCTTCTAGCACATCATGATTACTGCCGGGTCACACACATTATCAAAAATCAAATTGTGCAACGTACTCTTCAGCCATTCCGTTCCGTTGCCCTGTGTTATAACTTGCAGCAGCTTCTCTACCTCTTTAACGTAAACTTTCCCTGAATACCGTGCAGCAAAATTAACCGATGTCCAGCTGTAACAGAGCCACTCCTGACTCATATCCAACACAATATTGCTTACCATCCTTATCTTTATCCAAAAGTTCAAAACTAGCTGCAGTATGTGAGCACATGTGCCTTGCCAGCTTCATCTTTACTGCTTCTACAAAAGCGTCTGCCTGGGGACTATTGAGCTCCTCCGCCTCCATTGGTCCAATCATACCACAGTCCTGAAATGCCTCCTCCTCTTGTGTCTGGAGATAAACGTCAATCTCCTTCATGAACGCATCAAAGTCATCCTTATCCAGTTGCTTCAAAGAATTGATACTACAGTACGTCTTTATCCATTGACAATACGCGTCATTCTCGTTCAGACGACGTGGTGACGGATTCTTTGGGATTTTAGCCACCAGGTTCTGAACAGCTAAGATACTTCTAAGCTCCGGTAGATCCGCTAGCAAAAGAACACTCGATAAGATGAGTAACTAGTAAAGACTTTATAACAGTATAGAAGGGTCATACAAACCAATGAATTGTTGCTTAAACAGACGTCTTAGCGACAGACGCGACGTTATTGCTCGCATTTTTTCTATTCAAATATTGACAATGATGATGTACACACAAACGAGCTTTCGTTTAAGTACGAATGGCTTTTTATCTAAGTACGAATATCGTAATGATACACCAACGTCGTAGCCTGCGCTTGCTGTCTTCTCAATGGCGTGTTGCTACGTTAAGCACTATTGTCGCTGATAGCTTTCCCCTGGTAGTAGGAGAACTTACTAAGGTTTGCTACTGTCTTTTATCCTGATATTCTTGTTACAAATTTTACATGTTTTGATCAACTGCATGTACTCGTAGCTTGCTGCAGGAGACATCCCGGCTGTGGGTGTGGAGGCGCAGATAACACGCACCTTCTCTCTCAAAGACACTTGCGCCTTTGCTAGAATCTCAGGTGATAACAACCCGCTGCATATGGACGCTGATTTTGCTCTTAAACACACGTCCAAGAGCAAGCCCATAGTACAGGGTCTTTTGTCCGCCAGTCTCTTCGCTACGATCTTTGGTTGCACTGTGCCAGGTGCAGTGTACGTAAAGCAAAGTCTGCGGTGGAGAGTACCGCTGTTGGTGGATGAAAAGGTGATAGCTTGCATTCGTGTGACCAAGGTCCGCAAGCGCTTTGTCGAGTGCGAGACCATTTGCACGAAGGCAAGCGATGGCGTCGTCGTCGTCGACGGCTATGCTACATTGATGCTGCCGTCTCCATCAAATTGAGAGTCGACGTGGAGCTGCAAGCTCTAGCCTCATGTGGTAGTAGCTGCACAGTACTGTATAGCATTCATGGAGATCATGATGGGGAAAGTCGTGTTTAATTTGCTGCCCATTGGCAATTACAATGCGTATGTATCGCCTTAAGCTTCCTCTGTGTCATATATCAATAGCAATCTGTTTCTCCAGATATGGAAAAGATCAAGTAGCTTGCCATTGAACAATTTACGCCTCAAGCTTCTCCTTGTTAGGCGATTCCCGCCAAATGGTCTTGACCACTTCCGTTATGCCCGGGCCCTCCAGATTGACGCGCAGCAACCCCAGGAACATGAGCGATGTGGCACCCAGCCAGCCAAGACGCGCCAGCGTACGTACGTTCTTGGGCACATAGTCTGAGATGACATTGTTCATGCCGATATGGGCGTGTACTGGCAAGATGACGCCAATTGCCAGGTCTACAGGCATCACCAGCGGCGATGGGCTTAAGACAAAAGCAAGTGGTACGGCAGCCAATAGGCTTATGTTTGTCCAGTGCAGCACCTTAACTGATAGTACGTGGTTGTCGGCTGTGTGCGTACAAGAAAAGAGAGGAGCTCAATGAGCATAAATAGACAAAGACGACAAAAGATTCCTTACTAATGTCATACCTTCTACAATGCCTGCCAGACCTGTAGCTTCCTTATTCTCCGTATACTTAATGGGGGAACCTGCATATCAATGATAGAAAAAGAAGATGTCATCTCGTGGTATTCGCATCCTCGATTCAGACTGAATGACTCTTGCCAGAAGACTGGAGGCAAAGAAAAAGGTAGGAAATAAGCAGAGAAAAAACACACTTTTGCGGAAATGGCGTACACCCGATGACGAACGCGGCGTCATGCGCTTAGTGAAGACGTTTCCTGATCGTAATAGACTGCGATGCATCATCGTATTCTTATTGTTGTATTTGGTGTCTTGTTTTAAAATGCCTTATGGTTTCTCGCACATACAAATGTAAGGTTATCTTGAGACCCTTCCAAAATATTATTGCAACCTTCATGCAACATGCTCTGAAATGTAACGACTCAATACGATCAGCACACTTCATTGGTTCTATTTACATGCATGCACTGTGCTACAATGATACGATTATTCAACGACATCAAGACGTCTTACAGCGCTTCATCCTCATGTTAGCAATGTTACAAAGCAACAAAGCGACCAAATATGATAGAATACAACATACTATCTTTTACTTAGCACTTGTATTGCAATCTACAACCGATTGCTAGAATGTGTACATAACCTGCAGAAGAAAACTTGAGCATAGTTAGCACACGCAGGAAAAGAAAGTAGAGACCACGTTAGCAAATGAAGAAACAAAATATTATCTGAAGTAGCTCATCCACGCCATTCGACACTAGCATATACTGCGTCTAATTCTCCATTCCGTATGATTCGAATGGTGTTCCCACGTCCGAGTTTGTCTTGTCGACTTGATTGTCTGCAACGTAAGCGACACTGGACCACTGAAAACACTGCAGTTCTACCTTTTGTATCGCCAGGAACGTTATTCACAAACACCTTTGTGAAAACTTGTGCTGAAACTGACGAGCGTCACTCCTTTGTTGCACTCTAGTGCATTTCTTTGCATAGTATCAATTTTAGTGTAACGCATTGCTAGCATCAAACAGCAGTGTATCAATCAGATCCATGGTCTGGTGCTTGCTCTGGATACATGACCACGAGTCTTGCAATTTGACAAATGGTAGACACAGCATATGGCGCCGTGTTCGTGTCGAGATCTACCGGCAGCTTCGAAATGACCACCTTGAACTGTCTGACGACTTCAGTGTTGTTGTTCCGTTACTCGGCTGGAATATTCCAACATCTTGTTGATAGACTAGCACCACACAAATACTACCGCTTGTAGTTTGAATGAGTAGGGTCGCGTAACGATGTGTTTATCATAGCTCCTGGCTTTCACTTTGAGCAAGGCTTTCAAACAGTGAAAAAGGACCAATGTCACAGCATTGGAACTTGTAGGTTATCACACGGCGCCACGGTCAATTCGCTGCAGAATCACAGTGTTTAGTCTTCGAATGTTTGGTTCGTTTCGTCTAGTTCCTTCATCATCTCTATGTCCCACGTTCGTAACAGCATATCTTCCGTATCGAGGCGTTGAAAAATGACAAGATACAGCAGCGGCGGCCAGATACGTCTGTTGAACATAGACGCAAGCGTTCCTTGAGGAAAGCAAGAAAAGGCTGTGCGTACAAAAGTATTTGGCCTGGTGATCTTGAGCTTCCAGTGATATTTCCTCATCATGTCCGCGCTGCTATCATGTGGATGTCATGTTTTATAGCATCCGCGTCTCCGGAAAAGGCCACAAATATGCTAGTTGGCTTCACGCAAACGTTCTGCTGAATGTTGACATCACATAATGATAATCAATTATTTGGACGACAGCGTCCTCATTTCACCCAACGGTCCAATTGATGGCGACTCAAGCCGCTCTCGCGAGTTGCGGCGCTTCCGCCACCACTGGGTAATCGACACGTTGTGCCAAGGAAACACCGAAAGATCCTTTGAAGTGCTTTTACCCCCCACCACCAGCACTTTTTCGCTTCCTTGCTCGTTGCTCGCTGTCCTTTCCGCTTTTATGTCCAGCGTCCTCCCCCTCATCACTCAATCGGGCCTCACCGTCCGTTGTCTCATCAAATTCATCGAGAGGATCCAACAATACCATACCAAGATTTTCTGCCTGCTTTTCCTTCGCCAATAACGCCGAGTAAGATGTAAAGACGTCATCGTCTAGATACTTGCGCGGATTACTCTCAATAAGCTTCAACAATCGAACAAAGTGTGGATGAACTTCAGCTATAGGAACGTGAAGGTTGAATGAAAGCTGAGCATACACTGTGAACTCAGCTGTGAGAACGTCTCGTGATGGAATGGCGTGCACTCGGTCAATATCCTCTAGTAGCTCATGAATTACACGCTTGCGTTTGTCCGATGCACAGGGTTCGTTGAACTTAGCAGCCAGTAGAAAACACACTGCCATGTAAAGCTTGCGATTGACCTTCGTGACGTAGTGCTGCAGCACCAGTTTTTCGAAAAGCACACAGGCCAGAGCCATGGTGGCAACTTCCAGATCCAGTCGCTGACTGCACATGATCGCCTCTCGCTTCAAATGCCTCAGTTTGCTCAATGACAACGACGGGTCTTGCAGCCACCACGCATGCTTTTCCTGAAACTTTTGATTTAGCTCGTCCTTAAGCTCATGTGGCTTGACAAATAGCAGGATACTGGACACAATGGGTCCGAGACTCTTGTCACCACGCACCACATGTCGGTGGCGACCCTGACGGAATTCTGGATCATCTAAGAAACTGGCCGAGTATGGTACACGCTCCGGGTGAGCGTCTTCGCGATCTCGATCCGCATCGCAAGCCGACCAAGTGGCGTGCAACAGTCGGAAGTATGAGGTGCCTCTCCAGTCGTAGTGAGTCGATGACGGCCGCTCCAAGGCCAATGTGCTCATGGACGCAAACCTGATCCTCCTCGCTGTCGTTTCATTGCCATTGTACTGGTAGCAGTAAAATTCATGCACATCATGCAACATCATAACTTAGTCTCTTTCTACTCTGTCAATCTGTGTCAGTCTTCTCGTACTTACCTTTATAACAGTCGATGTCGCTAGTGGATACCCACGACCTCTAGAAAAGAATATTCTAGCGTCCAGTAGTCCTTGCTGAGCTGTAACACCCTCCCAACGTCGAACAACGGCTGATGCCGCTGGAAATTTTGTCGTAAAGCGGTAGCGGAACAGAGGTGGTACGTGTACAATTGTAGCTGTCATACCCGGTAATCTTCTTCCAGCCAATGGTTCTATATCAGAGCTATTTACTCCTGCATTCAAACCATTGGCACTATCCACCTTTGACTCGTCAGTGTCAATCTCCGAAGCAGGCGGTGGTTCGGTGACTGTGAGAATGCTCTCAGACCGCATAGGAATGTTCTGTAGGAAATCTAATGCTGCAATATCACGCGTCACCTTACGTGAGTGACGACTACGTTCGCTGATCCCTGTACTAGCTGGCGGAGACGGTACTACAAGTGGCGGACGAGCCGCTCGCCCATCGTCGACAAGCATACGGAGATATGCAAGGTGAAGTAAATGTATTGAGATAAGGCAGTTACGCAGTGAAAGATAAGGTGGCCCACATGAGCTCTGTACATCATGTTTACAATAATGTTTTCAAAAGGTAGCTGAAAATCGCCAAAAATGCTCTTTATATGTAGTCAATTCAATGGCTTATGAGCCAGACAATAACTGACACAACAATATGGACGAACTGCTGATGACGGAGCTATCTGCTGAGACGTTCGCAGCACTTCAAGCACATTTACTGGAACGTCATCAAGAAGATGAAAATAAAGACACACCAGTATCAGAAGATTTTCGACTTTCGCAATTGTATCAATACTTTTTTTCTCAAAGCTTTATCGTGTTGATAGATTCCAAACTGACTTGATGTGTGTATACGTTATCGATGTATAGCTGGTATGATGAAAAGACTGGACGTGCGTTAGCACAGGAGGCAATTGATCATAGCAGTAAAGAACTGAAGATTGCTTTTGTCAGTACACCAGCGGCCTATCGTGCTTTTTTAAAGATTCAAAGCGAAGAGAAGGAAGATGACAGAATCAAGGGCGACAATGTCTACATCTTTGAGTTTGACCGTCGATTTGGAGAAAAGTATGGGGACCGATATTGCTTTTATGATTACAATGCACCAATGGATCTACCTGAAAGGTTTCATCACTTTTTTGACTATGTGCTGATGGAACCGCCACATTTGGTGCGTTATATGACGATCCTGTGTGTCTTTATGGCTGATGTATAACGACACTGACTTATTCTGTATCATGCTGCAACTGATTAGAGCATTGACTGTTTAGATAAGTTTTCCGACACGATGCGGTGGCTTGCCAAGGATGTGGAATCAGTCCCTGGCAAGAAGGACCGTGTAATTAACCCGGCCACGTTCATTAACTGTACGAAAGTACTATGGGCAAAGATGTCCTATATAGCTTGGTCTGAGTGAGCTTATGATTGACATATTGTGTTGTTGTGCTATGTACAATACTTGTTAATACATGAATGATACAGCTCAGCTGCTACGGAAGGAGATGAAAGCTAATTTGGGTTTTACTCCTACGGGCTTCTACCCAAGCTTTGAATCGAAACTATCGAATCATCTTTTTACATACACGAACTACGAGTCAGAGCGTTTTGGTCCTTGTAAAGAGCCTGAAGATGATGATGAAGAAGATGATGATGATAACAAGTAGATCAAGTTGCATGTATGTAGACCGGTATATTAATACTAATTCTCTATCATCTCTCTCTATAGTCGTGTTACTCAAACGATTCGTTATAAACTCATTTGACATTTGCCATGAACTCGCCAATGGATACTTTACTCTCGAGCGAGCTTTCTGCCGACACGTTAGCGGCATTACAAGCACATTTTCAGACCCAACAAGTCCAGGAGAATGCAGGTGTATCCGAAGACTTTCGTCTCTCTCAATTGTGCGTGTATACATACATACTACTACTACTATATAGACATTAACTCTCTCTCTCAGTCTCTCTCGTAAACTAACTGTTGATAATCAATCATGTGCGTAGCTGGTACGATTCTCAAACTGGTCGTGCGTTAGCGCAAGAAGCTATTGATCAGAGCAAAGAGGATAAGCGTATTGCTTTTGTCAGTACACCAGCAGCATATCGAGACTTTCTCAAGATTCAAGAAGAATGTGAATCGTCCATTCATAGTGATAATGTATACTTGTTCGAGTATGACCGTCGCTTCGATGAAAAGTACAGTGGACACTTTGTATTCTATGACTACAATGAGCCTACGAATCTACCAAAGAGGTTTTATCGATATTTTGACTATGTCTTGGTAGATCCACCTTACTTGGTAACGAACGTTCTGGGGTTGTTTGTTCATGATAATGATGATATCAAGATGGTTTGAAATGATTGAGATCAATTGTATGGTATCAATATGTAGAATACCAACTGCATGAGCAAGTTTGCTGAGACTATACGCTGGTTGGTAAAAGACCTAGAAATTATTCCAGGAAAGAAGGACAAGATACTTACTCCATGCACCTTTATTACTGGTAAGGAAAATCAAACTTTCCTCTTGCACTGTAGATGGAAGGGTATTGTTCAGTTAAATGACTGTTGTATGTCTGTGTGTGTGTGTGTGCTGGTGATCGTTTCAACAGCACGTATGCTCCGCAAAGAGATTTACGCCGAGCTAGGCTTTACACCTTCAGGCTTTACACCAACATTTGAATCCAAATTGTCGAATCAATTCCTGACGTACACCAACTATTCCTCGGACCGTTTTGGTGAGAGCAATGAGGAATTTGAAGACTCTGACGACAAGAAGTAAGCCCTGTAGTCCAGATTAGGACTTATCCATGAAGCCATGTTGTACATGCAAACTTTGAGGTTTAGACATCGACTGGAGAGGTGCAATATCCACTTGATACTATTCTGCCACTGTGCCTTCATAGCTGTTGAATGAAGACAAAGAAGATTAATGGGCATGCAAACACCTTGTTCATTCGTTGTTGTCACTTATCATTCTTTGCAGCAAGAAGCGGCTAGTTTTCACGTCTTCACTTGCACTTTAACGTCCTTACAGCATCAAAGTCGGAATGTAGCAATAACTCGCCCATCCAAATCGACATGGCTTGTCCTAGGCGACGCAGCAGCCCTTCGGAGCAAGCATAGCAAAAACTGCGACTCATGATCAAACTGCCAACAAAGTCATATTTCCAGACAATCATGAACCTCAATGTATTTCCAATGAAAAAGCGCACGATATCGTCAGCAATGTCGTAGTAATATCGTAGTGTGATGATCAATTACCTAAACTTGCTCATTTAGCGCTTCCTTACAATTCCAACGCATGAAGAAAACCACACGATCTCGATTGATGCAAAACCTCGAGCAAAAGCTTTCACACGCATAAAGAATAAACATCAAGAATACATTGATTTCACCGTCTTCGTCCGTCACTTTGCCACCTCGGGATGACTTTTGGAAAGAAAGACCCAAGACAAATGCAAAGTGACTCAACCTCTGGACGTGGATAATACAGTCTCCAAACCACTTTCACTTGTTATCATTGATGATCAAGAACTGCACAACGTCGTGCAGTTCATAAATTCAGCAACGGTGTGAATACTATCAACTGATCATTGCTATAAGTCCACCCTACACGTAGCAAACTATCTTGCTGTAACTTTGAGATTCGCAGGTACCATTCTACTTCGCTGTAAGCATTGCAAAATGGTCACTGATCACGCTAATTCGACAGCATCCTAGCACTGCCAGTCTTTAGCCATGCGTCAAGCAAGCACGAGTAGCTCTAATACTGGTGGTCAATTGCTGCGATAGAAAAATATACAAGCCGTACAGTTGACGTGAACAGCTACAACAACAATCGTTGCACCATAAACTCGACGTCACCACATCCTCATAACAAGCGACAATCAATACGGACAGTTTGCCCTCCATGCAATACGTTCATAAATCCGTCAAACTGCACACATTGGAATCAACACGGCTTCGTAATTGAGGAAGCTTCGCTCCGACTTTTACACGAGCAAGACGACGACAGGGCTTAATTTGGGCCAACAAAGAGTTCAGGCAGCAAGGCCACATCATGAATCTAGATGTGGCGTTGAGAATAAATAGAGACAATATGTAGCAAATAAATAGTACGATCCCGGTAGCTGCCAGCCAACGGGAACGGAGGTAGACGTGCAAAGCTGTTCTCACACAACTATACATTTGAGCCTTGGACGTTGACCAGAATGAAAAACAACTTGGTAAAGAATTGCTTGAAACCAATCGTCGCGATTGTAAGAATGAAGTATTCATTCACATGTTCATAGAAAACCGATGTCATTGCAAGATCTGCCGAACCACTGCTCAAGCTCACTTAAAGTACTTTGTCTCTCACTTTGCGTCATCTCATGCTTCTGTAAATTTTAAATTGTAGACATTCATCGATAAGTTCAAACAAAAGAAAAATGCCACGGGAATAATCAAAGCCAAGGCATCAAGTAGATACGCACGTATTACAAAGAAATAAATGCTTCTTCCAGTGTTCTTTTCCGTAAATGTCCCATCTGAAGGCACGACATACTTCACACTGGCTTCTTCGTGCTACGGCCACGCTTGATCGGGTCCAACCAATTCAAATCAATAAATGCATTTCCAACTAGCAACGTCACCACTTTCAGTCACATTTGCCTCACGTAGCCAACTCACAATGCATCAATAGTGTAAGCTGTCCTCCCTTACTCGTCGTCTTCTTCGTAGTCCACGGTCAGATCATCCACACCCGCGTACAACTCATTACGCGCCACGCCCACTCCTTCATTATTCACCTCCTTCTCCTGAGGTTGTGAATCATTCTCATTCAACCGAGATTTCTTATCGTTTCCAAAAACTTCCTCACCTTGGTCGTCGCCTTCAGGGTGGCGACTAAAAGACCGACGCGGGGAATGTCCTGACTTCCGCCCACTGGATACAGAAGCGTGTTCTCGACGGACAGGTGATGGGGTCATCGAAGGTTCCGGACGAGATGGACGCTTTTCTCCTCGCTCACGGTGACTGCGGTGGGCATTATCGTCTTGACTTCGGTCGTGGCAAGAGTGGTGACGCCGCTCATGACGACTAGGCTCACGATCGTCAGCCTCCAAGTCAAGATCGTGATGGTCAGATGGACCAGCCGATCTATACGAGCTCGGAAGTAGAGGTGACGGCGGAGGTGAGTACGCAGATTCGCGACCATGCAGTGCAAACTCTCCGCGGCGATCACTGGTATAGAGTTCACGCTGCTGAGGAGGCGAAACGGGAGAAGATGAGTGCTGACGACCACGCGGTGGTGGGGAAACTGAACGATGATGAGCGGGAGGTGGTAGTTGGGAAGGCGAACGATCCCTGGGAGGCGATACGTCATGACGGATCATAGCCCCGCTTCGACCGACCCTGTGTGACTGTTGCACATGATAGCGATCACCACGACCACCACCTCGCCCACCTCCGCGACCTGCGCCGTAGCGACTCAAATTAGTATCACGGTGACCTTGCTGCTGCTGTTGCTGCTGTTGGAAATATCGTTGACGCTCTTGCTGCTCATCACGGGCAACTTCGGCGATAGAGCGATCATCTGCGAAGCGGGGGCGTTCTACCTGGGAAGACTGTCGTTCATCAGGCAGCTGGTTCCCGATTGAACGGTCGTCACGGTCACGGTATCGACTAGACCGTTGACTCATGCTACTCCCCGTCCTCACATCTTGCTGAGGTGAACGCGAGCGTAACGGTGACTGAGGTCTACTTTTGGATGATCCGGTCGCGTACTTTCCAAATCGTTGTGGGCTGCGGCTACGGCTGCGAGGTAAATCCAACACACCGCCGGAAAGAGCTGCCGGGTGTGTCCTGCCACGACCCCCACGTAAAGTTTCACGGTATATTTGACGATCACCTTCAATGACGCCATCGCCACGTCGGTACTCACCTGGACGTTGGCTTGCATGATCACCCTTTCGGCATCGTCGTGCAGGAGGGGATAAAGAAGGACTGTTGCTGCGGAAGTCGCCATGTCCTCGACCTTCCTCTCGAAATTCACGACGCTCACGCGGTTCTCCAGTGGAGCGCAGGTTATTCCAAGAACTATCACGCTCACGGGGTCGCCCGCGCGGTCCAACCCCCACGTGGGCTGCGCTTTCATAGCTTCTGGCATCCATTAGATACGGTGAGCGACGGTCGTACTTACTACGGATCGAACGACAAATTTCCTTGTCGGCCGGTATATTATGCCCAATTTCATGTAAAAGAGGTTTCTTCGTTAAGGCCACAGGCGACCTAGAACGCGAATGAAGCAGCTGTCGATCCTTCGAAAATCCACCCATAGGTACAATATACCGATCGCCACCACTACGAGGTTTTGGTGAGTAAGGACGTGATTGCCCGTGGGCACTCTCACGATCACTACGAAGGGGGCTACGACTAAAGTCACTGTATGTTGATGAAATAACTCCATCACGTTCTCGCCGTCCATTAGAACCAGCCGTATAGTCATCATCTTCTTCATAGTGATGTTTTTTACTGCCGCGGTAATTTGAATCCCCTCCAACTACACGACAAGTTTTCGAACAGGCAAACGCAAGTCAGAAAGTTATCACGTCGGTACCAAATACCCACAAATTGTCATGTTTGCACAAATCTTACCAAGTCGTCCTGACTTCAAAGTAAATCCCTGCTTGTTGTGTACTTTGCTTCCACGACGCGTCGAATCAATCGCAAACTGTTCTTTCGTATCGTACACAGGATAGATCTCGTATCCCTTTACAGTGAATAGTTGCTTGCGAATTGCTGCCTTGGCATGCTCCGAGCAACGAAAGCGCACGCGTCCATTTTCTGCAAACGATAATGGACCAAAACGCTCCAGCTGCTGACACAGCACATCCCATACTTCTGGGTCACACTTTGAAAAGTCAAAGTCACGAACAGCTCCCTTATCCTCCATTTTCACATATTCACCCGTTCGCTCCACAAAATGCACCGTATCCACCGGTGGTCCACGAGCAAAGTTAGCATTCAAGACAGCGCGGCCACGAAACTTGTTTGCGGCGACATAATGAATCGCTTCGCGCGCGTGTTCAATTGACGGCATGCTCACAAATGCATAGGCCGTTGCATTGTGGTCAGGCTGTTTTAACTGCACACTCATGCTGTCAATAGACGGCCACACAGGCGTCAAATACTCAACAATTTCGGAGTTGGTTGTGTGGCGGGGTACACTGCCTAGGAACAAATAAGGGCACGGCGGACAGTTGCGCGGAGAAAAAGCGTTAATTTTCGGGCGTCTGCCTTCATTCTCGATCAATGGACCGTTAGACGACGGATTCTTAAACACTTCCGCCGAAGTATCGCCGTTGCTGGAGGACTCACGGTTGGGCTCCACAACCTTTCCCTCATCGCTGTAAGTAGAAGTCGCCTCATCATCGTATTTCGTCTTCTTTAGCGCACGTTCGGACGATATATAGCCTTCTTCTTCTTCCGCCGTGTCACTTTCATCCCGTGGTTGCTTCAGATTTCGCTCCAACGGCAACATCTCGTCATTCTTCTCCATGTTGTTCTTGTCGTTATTGCTGTTCTTCTTGTTACTGCTGTTGTCCTCCTCATAGTTATCCTGACGTGTCATCTTGCTTCCAACATTTATCTCTTCATTAATCTCTGGTTGAAGTCGTTCTTCCAGCACCTGACGCAACGGCGTTACCTGTCGTAGAATCACGGACGATTTCTCCGTGTCTAACATATACTGCACGGCGTCATTGATATGTTGTAACCACATACGTGTGTTCTTGCGCGCTATAGATGCAGCTGACGTAGGTGTAGATGCAGCAGCAGTAGCCGGAGGTGTCTTGACGATCTGTAAAAGTGCACGCAGCGTGTGAATGCGTACGGCCTGTGATCGATTTGATCCACAAAGCTTTAAAAGCACATCAATGACATTAATTTGTACGTGTGGAAAACGAAAGAAATGTTTATGAAGTAACTGAGCCGCTAGACTCAGAACAATGTCACTGGCATCACCACTGGCCGTATGAATAATCTGTTCAAATGCATCTTCTGTCTTGTCTTCATCACGCTGTGGATCATCAATGGATAATGACGAATCGTCTTCAATCACGGAATCCCAGGCGTATAGTTCACCTAATACATCCTCTGCAGCAGGTGCCATACTTAATTCTCTCTCCCTTGCTTCTTCTTACTCGTTTCTTTCTTGTTAACTCCTTCTCCTCAACTCCCTCTTCTTCTTCTTCTTCTGCTTCTCCTTCTTCTGCTGCTTCTGCTTTAGTTTGGAAATTCCCCAATGAAAGAAAACTTACACTCACCTCTGTCCACATATTTTTTTTCTCTTTAGATTTCGTATATTTCGTTTTGTGTATTGTACGTTAGACTAACGTGGTCTTTTTGATACATTTATATACGATAACGTATGAATTATATATCTTAAAACGTTCGAGCATATTTTTACTATCAGTATTTGTGAAATCGTAATATATATTTCATTCAGAGTGACGATGTTGCTGTCTTGCAAGGAAAACCTCATACATTCTTCTTACTCTTTAATTGCCCATAAGCTCCTGGATATCAGCACGACTTTGCTCTTTGACTGGTAGCTCTTGAAAGCGCATGTCCATTTCTTCAACACGTCCCACTTTTTTCAGTGCGTCGAATTCCGGCGCAACGTCGAGTGGCGTTACAGTGTCCCCCATTGCACGATGAACTTCGTAGAGATAGAGGATGGAAAGATATTGTTCATAGTTTTGCAAAATTGTCACCACTTTATGGCGTCCTGTGTCTGTTAACGGCAGTGACGCGTAGGCTTCAATGGCTTCGGCAAAGCGTCCACGAAAGCAAAATTCCTTGACAATACCAGTGGCTACATACATTGGTACCCACTCCCACTCTTTATTTGCAATCAGGATCGTACTTGCTTTGCCTTGACTCAAGCAGACATTGTCTTTCTTCTTCGTAACTTCCTCGTCTCCTTTCTCCTCTTCATCGTCCTCGTCTCCTTTCTCTTCTTTCACTACCACTTGTTCCCTAGACTTTGAAAAAGCATCTTTGTGGCTTTTATAAGCCTTCATATATGCTTGCAACGGAGCTCCCGACAGGAAAAACTGGCGCAGGAAATACCGCTGCCATACGACGTTTCGAGCCATATTCGCATGCGGTTCCAGCGCTGCAAATACAGCATCGGCTGCGTCTGAAGAATCGTCCTGGAGTTTCTGAAAGCTCCATTGAACCAAAGGTGTGAGTTGATGTACTTGCTGCGGAGCAAAGAGCGTCTTGTATGGAAGTGGACGGACTTGTTCCTTGGCTGAAAGCACACGTTTTATATCCTTTTGATCCACCATTAGATACTCTAATACACGCTTTGTTACAATCGATATAGGTAGCAATTTGTCATTTTCCATAGATAAAAATTCAAACTGAACATTTGGAGCATGAACGCTCGAGAAACAGCGACGAGCAGGACGACGGACGAGGAAACGGACCATGTAAAAACGTCTAGATGTTTCTCAATATGAATGGTTAAGGTAGAAAATGCTATCGTTCAAAAAGAGGTCATACAAATATCAAGTGATTAGTCGATACTGTCGTCGAAAAAGGCGATATGTGTGGTGTTATGTCGGACTTTCGTATTTTATGATACATAAGAGACCGTGTGTATATGAACTGAACAGCGTCGCCGTTATGAAAAAGTGTCGAATGAATGAAACGACCGAGTACGTTTGTGACTAAAAGAATGGTGCTGTGTTCATGTATTCATCAAGTTACAAGCAGCTTGAGCTTCCTCTTAACAATAGCAAGAATGGAAGTTCCTCTTGAGACGAAGTTCTTCCCACAGAGTCAACTAACAGCGGACGAGCAACGACGATACGTGACGATTGGAGAACAAAGTGCTACTGCACTTTATCATTCCATGAAGACTCTTGACTGGAAACAAATGATGGAAAAGGATGGAGTCACTTACGCCCAAGCATATTACATTAACGATGATAGAAGCAGTCTCACCTTCTCATCGTCAGCAACTACGACAACAAGCACATCTCATGACGAGCCAGAAATGAACATGTCCGCGTGTTTCGTAGTCAGCGCAACGGCTTTTGCAGCTGGAACTATTAGTGAGGTCCTAGAGGCATTGGCGTCACCTATCACAGAGGACTATCGGCGTGTCATGCAATTTATGCATGGCTCGTGCTTTATCGATGGGACATGCTTGCATACGATTGCAAAAGCAAAACCTAACAACTGCTTCAATACCACTAAGCACAAATCGCAGAGTTTCACAACCGTTAAATGGGCAGCTTTTGACGATGGCAAAGCTTTCAATACAGCAGAATTTCCTGCTGGTACCGATTATTGCTTCCTCGAGCACTCAGGCATACATCGCGGTGATGGAGTCACCAGTGGTGCCACCAATGGTAGTGACACTGACCTGTTTGGTTTTAGCATTCAGGAATCCATCGCACGGGAGCATGAAGTACCGTCACTTGCTGGAATCGGGCCAGCCCGAGGCCATTTCCATCAAGCTGGCATCCTCGTCTTGCCCACGGACCGCTCCAATGTGGTACAAATTACTTCCATTTTACAAAAGCGCATGCCGGAAGGCACGGTGGGCGATGGCAGCGAGACTCCGTCGAGTTTTGGAAAGGTTGGTGTATTGGCTTTGGCACAGCAAATGCGCCAGCGAGTGTCAGCAGTCGGAAAGCTGTATCTCCTGCTGGAGCGCCGTCGGCTTAGCAAGTTAGAGCATGTGTCACGATCCGATTGGGTGCCTGATAATGCCCGCAAGGCCTGTGCCGTGTGCGTGAAACCATTTGCGCTTAGACGGCGTAAGCACCATTGTCGTCACTGTGGAGAGGTCGTGTGCTCGTCATGTGCTCCCGCGCGCGAAGTCGACCTCGACGCCGCTAATTCTCCATCTAGTACAAATGTTCGTATTTGCACAGCATGCGTGGTCCAGTCACGAACCGAAGTTCAAAGTCATAGCAATCGCGACGTATTTGTGTACTGTCTGAGAGATACAGGATCCATGTCGTTATCTCGGTCTTCAAGATATTCGGCAGGAAGTCTGACGGTTGTCGACAACAACAACGCCGAGCTTGACACTAGGCCAATATCGATGTCATCAGAAAGCAGCACTTTTTCCATTTCAATCGGGTCACAGGTCTTCACTCAACTAACATGCTTCGGATACAAAGACGGATCGAGCAGCTTGTATGATGATGAGAACAATTATATTGACACGTTGCCACGCAGGTCTAGCATCTATTCTTTGACACAACTGGACGCCTTCGACAGTTTGTCGAGCTCTCCTCTTTCGAACCAGGACGAGATAGACTGTGAATCTGTACGATACAGACGTAGCAGTGAAGGAGGAGATCATAGTTGGTCTCATGCTGGTTCAACACTACCGATATGTCTCAACAACTTGAGAAACTTGGAGTCAACTAGCAATCTACTTGAGCGAATTCAAGGTATAAAGGCTGATTTGTTTACAATGACATCATCGTACCGGCATTTCAGTGATGCAAGCAACTTTAGTATCGGCAGCAGTTCCGTCAGCTCCTTTATGGACAAACAAGACGTCACAAGGTGGTCTGATGATGTCGGTAATCTCGAGCCAAAAGGCTTCGTACACGAAGAGAGCAGACAGCGAACAGGAAGTAGCAATTATCAAATAATTCATGAGGCAAGAGACAATGAATGGATCAATAACAGCGACCAGTTCACATTGCTACGTCCGGATACACTCAGTCGTCAGTGGTGTACACGCATCAGCAGTCAAATACAGCAAGACACGAATGAGAACGCCCGTCTCAGCACGAGTTTGTCCAACATGTCGTTTGTATCGACATTGTCCAACTTGACGATGCTTGACGATGAAAAAGAGATTGAGCAGCGTAAGTCACGAGAGATCTATGAGACTATTGAAGCTAGTGACAGTCAAGTGGCACTACAGACACTACAGCAGCAGGTTGAGGAAATGCCTAGCACGACGACTGTAACACCATCAATTCTTCTGAGACTATTTGATTGGATCAACTAATTGTCATTTATATAAAGTGTTAAGTTTAACAGTTGAATAACCAACCTGTGCGACGTAAAAGACTTATGATATTATGTGGTAATAATACAAACAGATGATTTGTGCTAAAATATTAAATATAGCAGGAAACGAACGTTTTGCCATCTGTTCTGACGGTTCTTACGGTACTGGATACTTCTCGCCATGGTGGACGGACGACGCCCATAGATCATCCCGTTCACTAGTACCAGGGAAAAACAAAAAACAGGTTGTGAAACTCGTGGCTCTTTTGTGACCCAAAATTGCGCATTGTACTCACTCACTCATTGGGTTCAACACCGTCACTTTGTGAATGAGTATATATACATCTCTACAGTAAAACTACTACTACTACTACTGTATGTACCCTTTAACTTGAACAAGTTTATATTTTCATACTCTTTAACTTTTACTATTGAAAAAGCATCATCATCATCATCACGACTTCAACAGAAGAAAAGTGTGTGATTGATAATAGTCTTTCGAATCCCGTATTCAACACGTTAGAGGACATACAATAAAAGAGATTAAAGACCGAGTTATCAACTCACTTACGTCTAGAATAGTAGTAGTAGTAGTAGCAGTCGTATATATACAGTACAAGAGAGTAAAGTAATTGTTGACGTACGAAAAAACGACGTCTTCCGTTGTAAGACGGACCCAAGGAGAACAAGAGCAGTAGCAGCCGATGAGGACGGTCACTGCTGCAATGTGTGTAGCTTTGACAACCTCGTCTCAGCGTGTGTTTGGGCCCCCGGTCGTGTCCTCGATTTGTGATGGACTGAAGGAACGACCTGTGCATGTTGTTGGTGTAAGAGGAATGTTCTGCGTGCCATTGCCGCCATGTGAAGGAGTAGTAAACATTGGGATGAAGGAGCCACTTGCGTGTCCTCAAGAAGGCCAGCGAGATGTGCTTGGAGAGGAGGAATTAGCCATGGACAGCTGCTGTGCTGTAATCGATAACGATAGCGGTGCACTGGGTTGCATTCTAGTAGAAGAAAATGAAGAACAAACGTCAGCGTGTCTCTCGTCTGTAAACTTGCCACGTGAACGAGATTTTTCTCACTTACGTCGACGAAGAGCGAGAAACAGGATGATGCAGGATGTCGTGGCAGACGTCGTCTTAAGAGGTTCATTATCTCGTGCAGGTTCAATGCATACGCAGGAAGTGACGGAGACAAACCCAGCAATATCTACAACGACAACGATCGTATCAGCAACAACAACAACGACACGAGTGAGTACGACGTCAGCTCCGGAATTGACTGCTCCAGCGGCTATGACGCTACCTACAACGGCAACGTCGACACCAGATCCAATATCAACGTCGACATCAGATCCAATATCAACGTCTATATCAGGTCCAATGACAACGTCGACATCAGGTGTGATGGCTACAACATCAGCTCCAATGACTACAACAGCTTCAGTGGCTACGATGACATCAAACTCAACCACAGCTATGTTTGAGACGGAAGGTATAGCGACTACAATGGATGCCTCAATCGTTACGACGACAGAAACTTCAGTTGTTGCAACGGCAGCTCCAGTAGATGCAACAAAAGCGTCAGTAGTGACAATATCACTACCAGAGGCGACGACATCACCTTTAGCAGCAACTCCAATTCAGTCGGCATCAAATCCAATGGCAACGTCGACATCAGATCTAATGACAACGTCGACATCAGGTGTGATGGCTACAACATCAGCTCCAATGGCTACAACAGCTTCAGTGGCTACGATGACATTAAATTCAACCGCAGCAGCTCCAGTTGCTACTACATTTGTTTCAGCAAATTTTACTTCGGTTCCAGTAACTTCCACCTTAGCTTCATCTGATACATCTGCGACGGTAGCAATTCCTGCGGCTATTTCGGTAGTTCCCGACTCGACGCCACAAGCGACAGCTACGACAATCAATATGACTGCGCCTGCTACATCCTCTGGATCAAGTCTTCAGCTTAGCGAACGTTTGGAACCTACAAGTTCACCTCCTGTTGGTACAACGACACCTCCAGTAGAATCGGGCTTGATACTTGATTCGAGCAGTATCCTTCCGTCGCCAGTGTCGATCCCTAGAACGAATGTATCAAGTTTGCCTCCGCTTACGACGATACCTTCATCAAATCTAGATTTCAATACTGATGGTGTATCGTTTACGCCCACGACAACCCCAACACAACCTTCTTCTGTAACGGCAAGACCCACGTCGTTAAATTCTAGGCCAACTGATCAATTAGCAACACCGACACCGGGATTTCCTCTTATTGAATCGGTATCAGAATTTTCCTCTGGCTCTAATGGTACTGCTGGGCTGGCGTCCGCAGTCGATGGATCATCAATCGCATCAAAATTAGTTTCTACGCCGACTGCTGATTCTGGAGCTGCTGGATCACCGGACTCATTACCAGCGTCAAGTGGGAGCGTACTGAGTGCCACAGCAGGAAGTCCTCTGGAGTCGGGGTCAAAGTCAGCAGGACCAACAAGCTTGAGCGGTGGGTTGAGTGCTGACGCCACAGGTGCTATTAGTAACGGCAATGGGGCATCGTTGTCGTCATTGACGTCTTCACTGCCAGAGTCAAGCTCCAGGTCGGAAAGTACTGAGCCCAGCGTTTTAGGTTTAACAGCAGCCGGCAATTCGGGGGAGACTGGAAGTTTCGACAAGTTGTTCAGTGGTACTGTAGGGTCACCTTCTGTGGAAAATGTGGTATCCAGTCCGTCGCAGTTACGTTCGTCTCCTTTGCCGTTAGACTCGTCTATTTTGCCATCAGATCCCTCGTTGCCGTCGTCTTCGTTATTAATGTTGTCATCGTCTAGTTCGTTGGAGGCTGAACGTCTCACTCCATTGCCTGCTGAGTCTACTTTGTCGAAAGATGTGTTGCAATTATTCCCTATCACGGATGTTAGCAGTGATGATTCTTTATCTTCAGGCGAGGATACAGGCAGAAGTAACGCACTGGGTTCAAACGCAATGACGTTTATTACAGTGGGGACCGCTGCGATGGTGGCTTTAATGTTCGGGATTTTCTATCTTTGTCCAAAGCGGACGAACCCCCATGAGTTACTAACTCCATGCGAGCCGCCCCAGCCGTCAAATCATACTGGTGCGTATCCATACAATCATTCCCTTGAGTTGGAAGCTGCTGGTCCATACGATGCCGCAAGCACACCACGGATTGATATAATTCATACAAGGCTAACGTAACGAGCAAGTAGCAGCTTTTGAAAACATGTTAGATTAGGGTGAGAAGAAACAACAACATCGTCTTCCAAGTATTATGAATAGTGAAAACACCGAGAGTGAAAACACTCTGAAGACACACAGCTGGCAAAGGTCGTTTTGGTTTAGTTGAGTTGTAGCTTTTTCTCTTCCCTTTAGCTTCGACGATGAAAGTATTTCTGCTAGTAGTACACAATGTCAACGCTTTTCTGGATCTTGCAAAAGCCTACAACAAGATTCATACATTAACAAAGCAGCACATTACACATAAGGAGCAATGAACAGACAGTGATCGATTGACAAAAGAACCAAAGGTACGCAAACGTACGGTGCTTGAAGAAATCATAGCTTGAAGCTGCGTCAAAACCTGAATCTTCCACAATAAAGCTGTCGCGACACTGCACCTGTGTCTCCTTGGCGTTGTCCAACATGGTGCTCATATCTTGACGGATATTCGCTATTGCTACGTTCAAATCTGTACTGCTACCCTCGCTCTGGTTGGATGCGCTAGAAGTTCCGACAGGCTGTTGCTCATCGGAATCAGCCACGACAGGGCACGCAACGTTGCCTACTACGATAAATGACATTACTTCCTCCGCGACTGAAAGTACAGTACAAACGACGCTTGCGTCCACCATTAGATCCGCGGGTGGGTGAGCATTGTCGACACTCGTGTTCTCGCCATCATCCAGCGTAAACCCCGCGTCTTCCTCTGTATCGTGAAGCTGCTTGTCTTTCTGCTTCTGTTGATGTTGAAGTCGATTGTGCCCTTTAGCTGCTGCACGTTTTTGCTTCTGTTTTAATTTATACTTCTGTCGCTGTTTCCGACGCGTCGCTGCAGCATTTTCTAGTTCAAACTGGTTCGTCACCACCTCGTCCGACAGTATCATGGGCGTAGCAGACTCTTCTTTCTCTATCTCCTCCATGCCGTCCCGGTGCTTCTTGTCTATCTGCCACTTGGCTGATGCCTTCACAGCCGGTCGTAGATCACTATACCGCAAGAAAACAACGTCATCTTCCGATCCACTTTGTGTCTCCTGACTAGATGAACCAGCCACAAATGATTCCAATGATGATGATGCTTCATGTACAAGTCCTCGAACCATCTTCCTCTTGGTCGTAGGAACTAGCGTCTCTCTTTCATTCTCGTCCACTAGCTTCTGTCCTGTCACTTTGTCATCCTCTTGTTTGTTTCTTTCATTGCAATTACTCTCGTCTCGCAGCGTTTGCACAGAGGTCGGTTGCTTATCCTTGGCCTTCCATAATAGCTGCTTCAATAGTATTGGTTGTTGTTGTTGTTGTTGCTTCTTCTTATGATTACGTGACTTGGATCGATAATGATTACGACCTGACGGTTTCACATGATTGTGCATTTCCTGCTTGAGTTGCTCTGGTTGATTACAGATCTCATCTTGTACCTTGAGTTGCTTAGACTCGTCCTCGTTTCGTTCCATTGGTTCTTGCTTTATTGTTGTATCCATCGGGATTGAAACTTTACGACGATAACGTAATACATTTGTGGAAGAAGATGTGGACATGAATATCTGATGCTTCTTGGATGTGCTTGTCATACTATAAGATGGATCGATAGTAGTAGGAAGAAGAAGAAGAGAGCGAGAAGGTCCAATTGGGTTCTTCTTGGCTTCAAGACATTTGGCGCGAAAAGCTCCGAAAAAAGACGACATACAAATATCAAGTCAAACTCTTTTTCTCGCTTTTGATGAAAAGTGACCAACGTGACGACGGCCGTTTTCAGGTCAAATATACTTAACACGAAAGTTCCTTGAAAATGTAATTTATCTATACTTAAATCTCGTTTTTAAAAATGCACGAATTATGATTAAAAAGCACGAATTAGCTACTAAAATGAGCTCAAACCTTCTTAATTCTCCTCCGTTAACACATTCAGCACAACATTCAAATCACCATCACTCTTCTCCAGAATGTCGATAATGCGTGCCGGACTCCTGTTTGGGAAAATGCCATTGACAATCGACAATTGATCAGCCCATTTGACTTCAGACTCGGAAAAAGCCACGGATGATGCAACGGACAACGTCTCTTCCGTATCCTGAGCAGGTGGAGCGTCCTCTACGCAAGCAGACGGTGGCACAGTCACCACATCCAGCAGCGGCTGCTGTTGCTTCTCTTCCAGCTTGCATGTTGCCACCGGCACTGCAAACGCAGCCGCAACTGGAGCTGCTGTCGCCTCTCCTGCTTTTTTCTCTGGAATAAAACGATTAATCTGACCCACAAAACCCTGAGCAAAGCTCGAGAAGCCTCCAGCTGCAGTCTTGGGTAACTCACCAGCATTGTCTTTCATAATCGGTTTTAGTGTCACCTTTGTGGTAGGAGCGGGAGTGGCGTCCTGTTTGAGCTTCTCGACCATCACGGCCAGTGCTTGCATGAGGTGTTCCACGGACGTAATCAGAGGATCCACTACTTGCTCTTGGAACTCTACCTGACGTCTTGTAATGGCAGAGAACTTGAGTGACTTGATGGAATCCTGAGTACTCATGAAAACGCGCACAGCTTCCTGAAACTCGGCGTCCGTCGTTACGTTTACGCAGTCGCCCTCGGGATCGCGATACTGCACTACAAAGTCACCTACAGGCTGATGAAAGGTCGTTGCCATGATTTGCGTGAGATGCGTCAAGGAGAAATCGCGTAGATCCACGCGTAGACGATGAATGTCGCCATTGAAGGCGATTTTCAGAGCCACTTGTTGCGATGTCATTATTGTTGTTACTTGGAAAGTCTTTTTCGAAGAATGAGGAGAGAAACGGAAAACAAGAGTCGGTTCAGAGAATTGGGTCTGATATAAGAACAATAAAAACCAATTGATTGTTTGCAAATGCTGATTCTGATCATCAGATTGCTAAAGTCAATCGGGCTACAAATAGCGATGATGATTCAGAAACTGATTTTGTATCCGGATAATTAGACATTGTAATATTTTCTGATTTTTGAAAAAGTCCAAAATAAGAATATTACATACTTGTAGTAAGTAGTAAATGATATTCTAATACTATTGCATAATAGTTAGTATTAACTGATTGTGTATACTTCCTATTCTTTAGTTATACTTGCTATCACTCACATATACATATATCTAATAACCCATGTAAGTTCGGCCAAGGACAATTGCTTACTATGTAGTTGAAGCCTGTTAATTTACTGGACCCGACACAACGTGGGCAACGAAGAAGATGATGTTACTTTTGTGCAGCAAAGGCAGTGGTGATACTGGATGAATGGACAGTACTGGGAGGGTGTAGTAGTCCTGAAATGATAGCAATCATGCAAGATGAGCTATAATCAACATGATCACAGTTGTAGTCAATGCAACTTGTTCAAGTGAGTAAACGTAGTGTGAGAAAATGATGAATATGACCCAACCTCTGGTATTTTCGCGGCTCTACATTAACTCCACCACAACCCAACCAATCATCTCCACCCCATTTCATGGACGGTATGTATGTGTATGTACATTGCTATTTCCTCATTGTGTGCGCTGCTTGTAAGTTAGTCGTAAAAGTCAAGAGGATGACGCGGGGCATCGCTCTGCTTGAGCTCTTTTCGTATCTGGTGTTCACCCGAAACATCCATCATATGCTGGTCGTCTTCCTCGCGATCTCGTGCAGCAGCTTCTTTTTCTTCTTGAATACATGCTGATAGAGGGGCAACCGTAAAGGAAACGCTAGGGACAGGCTCAATCTGACGAAGATTTTCGTGAATAGAACGCTTAATGTCATCGAGGTAAGCGGGTGTGTTGAGGTTTTCCATGTTGCTCACGGGCAAGTGAAGGCGGTATTCAGGGCCGTAGTATTCAAAATAGTCATTGTAAGGCATTGCATCCGGAATATCGACACCCACTAGTAATGAAGCCTCGTAACACCAAGCACGTGCGACATTACGCAACGTATAACCTCCGCCACCAACAACTAAGGTGGGGATATTGAAGCTCTTTACGTAAGCCACACAGTCAGCATGACCCTTGGCTGACAAATTAAAGCTTCCAAGTCGATCGCCCGACAGCGAGTCTGTACCACATTGAAGCAACACGGCACCCGGTGCAAAATGCTCCATTACCTTAGCGATAACGCTGCGAAAAATACCCGTAAAGCTTTCATCATCCATACCATCGCGGCAAGGAAAATTTACAGCATAATGCTTCCCTTCTCCATAGCCAATATCCTTGATATCACCCGTACCGGGAAAAAATTCTCCGTACTTGTGGAACGAGCACGTCATGACACGATTCGTTGTGTAAAATGCTTCTTCTACCCCATCGCCGTGGTGGATATCGATATCGATATACAAAACGCGCTGGTAGGTCTTCAAAAGTTCCAAGATACCAAGCACACAATCGTTTACATAGCAAAACCCAGAAGCCTCGGAACGCTTGCCGTGGTGCAGTCCACCCGAGTAATTGATGACAATATCGGCCGAGCCCGCATTCAACTTGGCAGCACCACCGATCGAAGCCGATGCATAGAGCTGGCAAAACTCGAAAAGGCCGTCAAAGACCGGACAGTCCTCACCTACATTAAAGCGCTGCAACTGGCGCAAATATTCGTGCATATTATCAGGTGTGATAAGACGTAGAAAGTGAATGTAGTCGTCCGAGTGAAAGCGGGTAAGCTCTGTCCAATCCACGAGTCGAGGACGCTATCATAGCAGCAACAACTGAGAATGTTAGCGTCATACATGATCAATACACACAATAGCAATAATCGATGCAGAACGTACGTAGACTTCCATGTGCTTGGTCAGTCCATAGTTTGTAATGAGATTGTGCGCCATTCGCACACGATGAGGCTGTAGATCAAACAAAAAAGATCGAGTGGTGATAATCAATGATAGAGACACAAGATAACGCCATTAACTAGACTTGGTCATTACCTTCATTGGATGATTCTGACCGTAGTGGTAATTGCCAATCTCCGCTGTATATACAACAGAAACAGAGCCAATAGGATCAATGACACACACACAAGAGACACGAGGCACGAGACAACAATCAGTTCAATGAACAAAAGAGAGATTCAAGAGCAAAACAAAAAAGAAACAACAGGAAGAGTACATACAGTCATAGAAATAGGCAACGCGGCGCTTCGATGCGACAGTACCACCACTAGTGAGCGCCACGGAGCTGCCGTTGGCGCTCATGATACTTCCTACCTGTCTGCACTTGTTGCGTCTCAGAGAATGGGGTGGGGGGGCTGAAAAGTATGTTGCATATGATGTGGTATACATGTAGTAGCGTGGTACACTCCATTCGGTTTCCTCAGCCAACCAAAAGGAAAAAGCCCCCAGTGACAATTTCGAGGATCATGCCAGCTGAACCAGAGACAGCGGGAAAGGGTGATCAGAATGATGGACAAAGTTCTCAGTCTGTAGAAGCAGCAACTGAACAGGTGGCACGATTGGCGGTAGCAGCTTTTGACGACGAAGAAGAAGAGGAGGAGGATAATCTAGCTAATCTTCCGAAAAACGTGCTGTTGCGTGTGGACGCATTGCGCAAACTGCAGGAGGCTCAGGCGGAAGTAGAGGAGGAATTTGAAAAGGAACGAAAGGCTCTGGAACTCAAGTATGAAAAGCTGTATCAACCCTTCTACCAACAGCGTGCTGAGATTGTGTCTGGTGCCAAAGAAGTGGAGGCTGTCACGGCTGCAGCTGCTGAGCTTGAGCAGGTTGAGGACGAGGAGAATGTGAAGGGAGTGCCTGGATTTTGGCTTCGTGCCTTCATGAATCACTCAGCACTGGCTGAGCTCATCCAGGAGCGCGACCTGCCCACGTTTGAGTACCTTATGGATGTACGCTCAGTCAGCCACGAGGAGAACAACGGCTTCAAGCTCACGTTTGAATTTGCAGAGAATCCCTTTTTTTCCAACAAAACGCTGATCAAGGAGTACGATGTTGGTGATGTCTCAGAGCTGGGTGAGGCTGTGCTGCGCAATATAAAAGGTACCGTCATTGAGTGGAAGGAGGGAAAGAATTTGTGCGAGGTTACCAAGAAGGTCAAGCAACGCGCAAAAGGTGGCAAGGGGGCGTCACGTGTGGTAAGCCGCACTGAGCCCTGCGAAAGCTTTTTCCAGTTTTTCACCCCGGTTGAGATGCCGTCGGAGGAGGACGACGAAGATGTAAGTGGCTACAAGCATGTATGAATTACTCTTTGTTGGTTCTGGAGGAACGATGACTAACTGTCAGTCTGTTTTTGTCCTTATTGTCATATCAGAGCGAAATGATTATACGGCAAATGAGCGGTGACTTTGAGATTGGCTTTACAATTCACGAATCTATTATCCCACAGGCCCTACTTTGGTTTACTGGTGAAGCCGTGGAGGATGACGACTCGGACTATTACCCAGAGGAAGACGAGGACTATGAAGAGGAGTCGCTGTCTGGCGACGAAGCTCCAAAACCTCGTCGGGGAAAGAAAAAGTTTCCTGCTTTGGAGAGCGGTGCTAACTCGACAGAAAAGCCGCCGGAGTGCAATAATCAGTGAGTTGCTGCGAGATTTATGTATTGCTGGCAATGCACGAGGGTTTGAGACTATAACCAGTTGATATTGAAAAAGGTCATTGACCAATTTATTACCGTTATCCATTAGCATTCGAGCTTGATATTTGAGCTACAAATCAATCTCTAATCTCAAGCTTCTCACCATAGAATAATAACAGCTACAGATTGGTCCTTTTTGTCAAAGTCAAAAAAACTTTTTATCTGAGCGGAATGCTATACTTGAATTAAGTATACTTGTCTTTTCCACCTTACTGATCATCTCATACCAAAACATCGTACGTCGTCAACTCAACTCAACTGCACGTCAAGTCTGCTGCTGGACGCAACTTCCCGTCATGTCAGACGACACCTTCTCATGCCGCATCACACGTGACCTCGGCGTCTTTGATTTCTTTCGCAGCCGCACGTTTTCTCTGGGTCATCGTAAGTCCCGTAGCACGTCTCATCCGTCCTCTAGAACATCCGCTAGCCAGTCTAAGCCAATGGGCCACTTGTTTGCGGCGTCCGCATCGATGCCACCGCCTGCTTCGGATTCTGAGTCATCTGAATCCTCTCATGCCACCCCGTCGGCTTCTTCTGCTGCTCCGCTTCCTTTGCTGACTTCTCTGGACTCGGTGGACACCACGGCGTCGGTCGAGTCGTTCAGCAATGACCATCTGAGCGACGATGATAGCGACAGTAGCTCAGACGAAGACATTGGCTCTGCATCTACTGAACGAATGAGCAGTGGTAGCGTTGGAAGCGCAATTACCAAGTACGAGGTGGTACGCGAGCTCGGACGCGGCGCGACGGCAGTTGTCCAGTTAGGCCGACTGCGTGGCGGAGATGACTTGGTCGCGCTGAAGGTATTCAAGACATCATTGCTCAAGAAGATGCGAGATGTGAGACGTGTGGGTAGACGCATGGTGGTGTCTACTGCGCTGGACAAGGTGCAAGTGGAGATTGCTATTATGAAGAAATTGCACCATCCGAATTTGTTGAATCTATTGGAAGTGTTTGACGACGACTCCGATACGCTGGTGCTCATGTTGGAGTATGCACCGTTAGGCCAGGTGATGCAATGGTACCCTGAAGAGAGACTTTACAAGAAGGCTGACAGCAAGGAGGAAAACACGTGCTTTAGTGAAGAGGAACTACGCTTGTGTGTGCGACAGCTTCTCTTGGGACTCGAGTACCTACATGAGAATAACATTTGCCATCGTGATTTGAAGCCCGAGAACATTTTAATTGGCCAGGATGGTACATACAAGATTGCCGACTTTGGTGTTGCACACTTTTTTGAAGAAGACGGCAAGGACTCTAAGGCCAACGTTACTGGCAAGGCAGCATCTTTGATAGCAAAGCCACAGAGGAAGGGATATGTCTCGACAACAGCAGGTACGTACGCGTTTATGGCTCCAGAGACACTCAAGGGTGGCGAATACAGCGCCTATGCGGCTGATATTTGGGCACTGGGCATTACGGTCTACGCTTTAGCCTTTGGCACGATCCCGTTCTATTCTCCCGACGTAATGACGTTGTTTGAGATGATTGAGAATGACTCGGTCGATTTCGACAACCGGGTCGAGAAAACTGACAAAGGTGACGGTTTGATTGAGCTGCTCCACGGTCTGTTGGAGAAGGACCCCGAGAAACGCTGGTCATTGCAAAAGTGCAAGGAACACTCGTGGGTGCTGGATGGTTTGTCCGATGAGGAGAAGCAGCAATATGTGGAGACGAGCTACGTGGCCGTAACGGTTGGACCAGAGGATTTAGCGTGTGCCGTGACGCGTGTGACATCGTTAAATATCATTTTGCGAGTAAAGCTTGGTGCGAGTAAGTGGAAGCGTAAAGCGATGCAATCACTGGAGGAGCGACGGCGTTCTTTGAATGATGACAGCGAGTCTCCATCTTCACGATTTTTAAGTGTGAGTTTGGTCGACTCTATTGAGTCTGAGACGAAGCATTTGATTGAATCTACAGAATTTGTAGGCAATCAAGTCAAGATTTAAAAAGACTGGAAGAAGAGAAGAAGAGAGAAGAAGGGATGTGTCATGTAGCTAAAATGCATTTGAATTGATTGGCACTCTATATACATGTATTTTTCGTACTTACACGAACTCAATACATTTTCTAAGCTTCTGTATAGATCGTGCCAAAGATAAAGGCCTCGTTCATGCATGCAACGGTTGAACCATCATCACACGCAGCAGTCACTCAGTGAACGACTCATGGACACATCAAATCGATACAAAGACTTGGAAAATGAGTCAACATCGTTTCGACAAGGTGAGATCTATGGTGCATACACGTCAATGACTCAGACGCGTCACCAACAGCAGCAGCAGCAACAACAACGGCATCGTCAACATCATCGATCTACCAGTTGTAGTAGTAATATCACAATGACAACTGAAGCTGCAGCAGAACTCGACGAGGAGAAACAATATACACTCCAACTTGTTGCCTATCGAATGATTTACATCCTACAAGGCGCATTAATGGGGATGTTGGGCCCTGCTCTTGTCTTTTTTTCAACATTAGCGACAAACCAATCAGGACTTGCAGCTCCAGTGTATGGATTTGGACCAATCTTTGCAGCTCATGGAGGTGCAGCACTCATTATGAGCTTTATGAGTGATTTTGTGCTCACTTACTTTACCGAGAAAGAATTGATGAAACAATTGATTGTTGTTCTTCTGCTCTGCATTGGAGCATGGTACGCGTGTCTCACATCAATTGCTGCAGCTACAGGAAACGTTGGTGTTGGGGTTTATTTTATTGCGAAGGGATTTCTAACAGCATTGCTCAATATCTCGTACGTGTGTGATGACGTTCAGAGCTTTGAATTAGTTAATGATGAACACTAATGGATGGTGGAATGTATTTGATGTTTTCTTGTTCATGATATTGGTAGACTCAATCGATGTTCCTTATTGATTGCTGGAGAGAAAGGACCACGGAGACGCAGTATCATCACGTCGATGAACATCAGTTACGGTCTTGGCTGCGTGCTGGGCGCCATTAGTGCGTTGGTGCTCACTAAGCTCGATATCGACATGGGCTATGCATTCATCGGATTGGCTGTACTAACGGCCTTCCCGGTCGTTCTAGTTGCGATGCTGCCTAGCCCACGCAACTACTACGGACGCGACGAACATCAAACGCTACTATCATTCGAAGACCCTACACGTCGTGTCCCTACCGTGCCTAGCCCCATTGTAGGTGGCGTCTTCTTACACGCCAAACATGTTAGTGGGTCCAAGAACTGCAATCCGGACACATATGACTCAAAAAACAACTTTATTATCCTGCTCGTGACCATCTTCGCCACGGTGCTTTTCGGTATCCAGCTCGGTCTCGCAGCCTTCTTGTACGACTACATTGGCACTGTGCTGATAAAAGGTGCCAAGCTTGTAGCAACTGAAACATCAAGCTCCAGCAATAGCGACGTCAAAAGTGATAACAATCAAGCTGTGTGGCAGTGTGCGATTATGGTGCTGTTTTGGGGATCGCTTACGGTGTCATACGTGATACTCCCAAGGTTCTTGTTTCACGACAAAAACCTCTACTCTATCGTGGTTTGTGCAGTGATATGCGGAGCAAGTTCATTTGGTCTCCTTTTTGGCATCGAGGCAGGGCTACTTATCTTTATGGCATGCATCTTCTTCTTTGCGGCTGCACTGGCTCCACTCTTTACGCTCAGCATCCACTGCTTGACTCGCGTAATCAACGAACAGCTTATCAGGCGCGTATCCTCGCTCATCGTGTTTGGTTGTGGTATGGGTGAAGTGTTTATTCCAGTGCTGATGGGGTTCTTTATGAGCGGTCAAAGCGGGCAGGCTAATGGAGCTGTTGCCGTCAGCTACATCACCTTCATCCTTGCTCTAACGCTTGTGGGCGTTAGCGGCATGCTGCTTTGGATGGTTAGAGCAAGGTTGAAAGAACTACCGGAACTCATTGATGAACTTGAAGGCAACAGTGAAATGGGTCACATGCGGGCAGCTCGTGCAGGTCACGTTGTTCGAAAGATGAATCGCTATTGAAACGAGAAGGTTTTGAGGACACGATGCTACATGTGAAGTACAATTGATATGAAGGACATATCGACCATACTTGCTTATTTGTTGTAGTGTGACACCAGAAAGCATATGAACAAAATAGTAGTTGCTGTGCTTGAGTAGAGGAATGGATCGACAAGATTAGATGGGAACACTGTCTCGCAAGATGCCCACACTGCATCATATTCAACAACAAGAAGTGTATCACCATATCAAATCATTCTGTTCCACTGGACCTCCTGAAGGCAAAGTGTTAACAACGTTGCAAGGATTAACACGTCACTGCCACTTTGCCGCACTGAAATCCACTGACGTCAATCGATTCCCTGTACAGGAAACATAGTAAAAATAGCTTGCTAATACATTCATTTAACTTAAAACTGAAGCGTTGGACATAACACGAGCAAATGGACTGTTGATGTCGCAAAAATGCACAATTCCAGTGTTTTTGTTCAGTAGGGTTATGACGAAATAAAAACAGACATGGACAGACATCTGGTCGCTTGAACGTGTGCTGAAGGTTGCACAATAACGTTGTAAACGTCAGTTCGCTGCAATCACTTTTCCAGCAATTATCTCGTGCATTAGTGTCGAATTGTCGCTATAGTCACTTCATAATGATACATCGTCACTCTCTTACTAAATCTACCACTGCACGTTCCAAGCGCTCGACGGCGTTAAGACGCTCCGTTTCATACACAGCCGCACTCCCACTTCCAGTCCCACTGCCTGTGCTTACATGGATGCCACCTTCTGCCAAACGGAGACCACTTGCGACACAACATCTTGGAGTTGCAGCACTTGACGCTGGCTATTGCTGTCATGAATTCACAAAGCTTCATTTGAATGTTGAGGGTCGATTGGAACGGCAAGTTGTTCGAGGTGCATTGGAGAATGCTACGGGTCAGACACTGTTTCAGGTTCGAGAGAAGCCCCTGTCGTTGCATCGACAGCGCGCACTTGTGGACACAACCGAGGTGCCTGTGGCTACCATACGCATGAGTGCATTTCGTCGGAATAAAGTGAGTTACTCGTCATTTCCACGCATGGAGACGTCCAAAAAGCCGCAATTTAAGTTTACAATGACACACAGCAAGTTGGAAATGACGTTTACAGACATTATGACAAGCGAGACGTGTCGACTCGGATCAGAGGGCAAACAGGGCGATGTGGAAATTTGGCTCCAGCGAGGTCTCTCTGAGGACACTGTAAGACAGCCTATTGCACACATGTACCGTGCGCCACCAGGCTCACCGCTCGGTTACTCGCTCGATATTGCAAAAGGCGTGGATGTGGTCATGGTCATACTTGTGTGTATTGCTGTTCACGACTGTGAACCCAGTCTCATACGGCGAACTCTGAGTCATTAATTGTCTCTTGCAGTTAGAACGTTAGAATACACTTGTGGTCATTAAAGACAGGTGAAGTAGTAGTATGCTACGACGTTGTGTATGGGTACACTATTTATCTTGAACAAAGTATATTTGACCAGATTAGATTGTCCCTGTGTACAAAAGACAAACTATTCAGTCGCCGCGACCTCTTTCTTCATCATGGACATGCATCAAGTCGTCTCCAGAGTACAGACGATCGAAGCTCTGCGCCATTTTGTTGCTGCATTTGACGTTACACATGTGGCCTCAAAGCCGATCCAACTGCGCGTTACGGCGGACGCGGTGGTAGACGTAATGAATCAGGAGACGTTATTCCTCATCCAGCAGAAGCATTACTCACTCCACCACCAGCGGACACTATTGGATGCACGCAATCAACTGCCAGTAGCGACACTAAGACTCAGTATGTTTAACAGAACGCCGACTTATTCGGCTTACCCACGGACGGAGCATGAAGAGACGCCGTGTTTGTTTAAGTTCACAGTTGACGATACAACAGTGCGCTCCGAGTTTACGGACCTAGTAGGCGGGCAGCATTGCACAATTGGCTGTGATCCAGCCGTGGATGGAAGTGAATCGCTCAACTTTTGGCTCGTTCGCGGGTCGGAAGAGACGGATCGTGTGCAACAGACTATCGCCAGACTCACGTACACGCACAAGAACCACCCCAAGACGAAAGCAGAGCAGAGCGTTGTGCTGGATGTAGCTCCAGGCGTGGATCAAATGATGATGGTCCTTATTTGCATCGGTCTTTTAGACGAAGGTTGTGAGGACGAGCACACGCAGGAATAGCTGCTTGTCAAGCATAAGATTGAAGATTACTATTCCAGCAGCAAGACGAATATTCGATCATTTTGAGACGAACCAATGTTCTTGATACGAACTGGTTCGACTTGGACGACAATTTGACTTGATTAAACTATCGGTTTGTGTATGTATGTATGTATAGCCGGCATTGATGATATTTTTCAAGTAAAAGCTTTGGAAATTTCACTTGAAGACAGATGTCGAGAAGTTTTTTTTATTTAAAACAGGGACATTTCTTTCTATATGTAATACAACATCCGGATATATATACCTACGACATATAAAGTCCCATATAAACATTTCACAAGATTCAATAACACTAACAAAAAGCTTGCGCAAGAATTAGGTTTCAGCAACAACTTGCTTCATATCGACGAGTTTCCTGCATACGGATACAGAATATTGCACGTGAATAAACATTTAGGTGTAGAACTATAGCATCATACGCGACTTTTTCAGAAAATCCAGACGTGCATTGTGCATCCAAAAGGTATAAGGCAAGCTTCGTATAGTCCAGGCTTTGCAACTTGAAAGCACGAAGGCTAAAGAAAACGCTTGGCCATTTTTCTACACCACGACTTTGTTTGCGGTAGCTAGCCATGAAACCGAAAATTTCGGTGCCTTAGGAAATGAATGCAGAGATTATGAAATAAAGCTGCTGGGATATTCTCAAGTATCATGTGTAACAAAGAATACCAAGGATGATGTTGCTGTTTTTATCAAGCAAGGAGCACCTGCCAATTAACTGGATTCGTCGGTATTGGAATTCGGCTATTCTATTACAACTTCTACTACTACTACTACTACTACTAGTCCAACACTTGATCAGTTTTTGTGCTACAAATGAAGCCGAGACAGTCCAAACGGTAACCATTCTTCAAATTCCTTTCCTTTGTCTATCGTCCAACGTTCTTTGCTTATCACCTCGTACAATAATGGGCTGTGCATCTTCTTCTGCTATTCCAAAACTACCGGAAACGTACCACCAACTAGCACCCGTTGAAGCAAAATTATGCGCTTCTGCGATCACGACGCTTCGTTTGCGTGACCGTTTCTGGGATTCACCTAACGGTGAGGATTTTGTAATTTGCAACACTGAATGGGGCCACGATGTGTTCCGTATTCAAGGAACAACGTCGGCCATGAAAACGTTACGTGACCCTCTTCGTAATCCACTCGTGCATATAAAACGCGAGCTTTTGGCTCCCACTCCGACCTATAACGTATACGACGCCAAGACTTCAGCATCCAAATTGTTTTCAATCAAGGCATTACCTGAGCTTAATGTCGAATTCCAGTGTCCTACTTTGGACCAAAAATGCCGCATTGGACTCACCGGCAACTGGGCGAAGCGTCAAGCTTCGATCTGGATGGAACAAGGACGGAAAGGTTCACGCACTACCATCGGTCGTGTCTTCCGTTCGACTGCGAGTCGCAGCTCTGTCGCCACTACGCGCAGCTCCTCTTTGTCCTGTAGTCAAACAGATGACGAGTACTTTCTTGCCATTATGGGTGGGGTAGATATGTCAATGATGGTACTCATCTGCATCGCGTTGGAGCAGGCTCATAGCGAGGATTGGTAAGTGCTCACCAACCACCGCCATGTCGTATACGTTAGTTTAGCACTCGACAATATGCGTCAATCAATAACAGGATGCAGGGAGTATTTATCATAAGGTTTTCGTTGTCAATCCAATCTCAACTGCGCATTCTTGTGTGTGTGCTCTAGTCAAAAATACTCAAGTACAGCCGTTTCTAATGAATCAAAACGCACTAACTGACTGTCACACTTTGTCTGACTCACCACCAAGCACTATATTCCTTGCTTCCTTGCTTCTTGCTTCCAAGCTGGTCCTCTCGTGCAGCTGCATCCTGCACAATTGTCCGGATCACTTCGTTGTGAGGATAACGCTGCTCAAGGTTCAAATTGACGTACTCTTGACTCACTTTGTCAAATTGTTCTAGGAGAAGGTAGCTCATTAGGTAGCGCTCATAGAACTCGTCGCAGAGCCTTCCACGGTTACTTTTTGAGAGTTGCTGGAGGAGTTTGTGGCCGATACGAGCATTGGCTTCAAAGTGCCCACGTAACTCATTGACCCCCATCATCTTGACGATCGAGCCAATAGGTACACGACTCACACCAAGGTCTATCAAGTAGTTTACTAAAAACTCGCACTCGTCATCCAATCGACGGTCGATACACTCCTCCAAGAGCAGGTGCACTAGAAATCCCTGACCATGTAGTACGGAAGAATGCTCTTTCCAGAATTTTAGTGAGCTCTCCACTGCAGCACGCGACGACATCTTCTTTTCGACCATGTCGTACTCAAACATGCGTAGTACAGCTTTGCGCAAAGTCACTGCAGCACCTTTCGAGCCAGTAGCTTCCATGAGGTCCAACACCTGTACGATGGATGACATGGCACGGCGGTGCTTCAGCAATGCCCACAGCATCGTATTAAGCATTTCAGTTTCAGCTTCCTTGTTGATCGCAGGAATGCTTGATGCCAGCACTGCATTTCCCAGCAGCAATCCTTTAACGTCCGGGTTGTTAAGGTAAACGACATCTTTGTACGCCTTCCTTTCGTCAAACAAAGCCTTCGCGTTTGGATACGCGGCATCGTAGCTGAACCAGCAGAAATGCATCATTTCGAGCGCAGTAGGATCTGCAAGGCGGCTAGCTGACCACAATACCTGACGAAAACTGCTCTGATATTCTGGTACGCAATGGCGTGGATATGTTTTAAAAATGTCGAGCGCGAGGTCTGGACGACGCATACTCAAACTCACCTTGACAAGTGCGGACCAAAGGTCAGGTTTTAGAATGTAGCCACCATCATTGAGCAGTGCTCGTGCCAAGTGAATAGCAGACAGCAAATCACGCTCTTTCCGGTTGCGATCGCGCAAGTTGGCGCGGATAGCAAGCTCATAGCAACCTAGCGGAATGACAGCGGCAGGGGAGCATTTTGATATTGTGTCGATCGCTTGCCTTGCCAGGACTCCGTTCTTCTGGTCAAAGCAAGCGCGAAGGATCAAACGCAAGCTGGGAATTGTATAACACATCCTTTCAAGTTGGTGTTTGTCGTTCTCAAACAGCCGTATAATCTTCTCTGGCTGCTTCAAAGCAGCTAGAGAGCGAAGATAGAGCGCATACACTGAACGATACAGCCGCGTTGCTTTTTCAATCGGCACGTGCTTCTCTGTTGGTTCTAACTTGGCTTCATCTTCCTTTGCACCATCACTACGAACGTCAAGCGGCAATTTGGCTGCTGCAAGGAGTTGGTCTTCCTGCAACCAGACACTCCGGTCACGGTCGTAAGCCTCAAAGAATGCTACCGCGAGCTTGTGTTCATTCATGCCGTGAAAAGCTTGAACGATGTTACCCAATATTAAATTCTCATTGGTCACCGCCACATCAGCATCGTCCATATCCACCTTAGTCGATCCCAGAAACAGAGTTCGTGCAGAGATGTCGGCCGAAAGTTGCGCAAAGACGTTAGCAGGCACAATCTGCAAGAGCCAGGGGCAATCATCACCCAAGTCCTCACTCGATGCTAGCCGCACTTGAAGAGGTTCTTCTTGCTGTATTACAAACGGTCGACATTGCGACACGATCTGCCATATATCCAGTAGCTGCTTGGACGTGGGCACATGTTTGACCTTCTGCGAGAAACGGCCAAGCACTTGAGCAGCTTCTCTTTTCTTTTTACGGTCTTGAGATCTATGGATAGTTGGAAGTAAGGTGTCATCTGGAAACTGCGATCTCCAGGCGCGCTTGAAGGCCGGACGAGTAGGCAGCGTTTTTTCACACTTGGCTGATGGCTGCTTCGTGGGACTCGTAGAGCTGTCAAGGCTTTTACTGTGTCCTAGACCCAGCCATGCTACGAAATCGGAAGCATGGCTCCAGATCATTCGTTGGGATTGGCGTGAGACTGTCAGCAATGGCAAGCCATGACCAGGTCTTGACCGTAGCATCTCTCTCTCTCTTGTCCGTCGTAATGGGAGGATTAAATGAGTGGTACAGTGCGCCTGTGAAAGAGTGATGATCACTTCAACTTTTAGTATTGTCTGCTTAAGTAAGACAAAGACTCGCAGATAAAAAAAAGGACTTTGTAATATGTTATTTATCTCATATCTCGTTACTTCAGAACCGATGGAGTCGAAATATATATTTTTTTTAACTAAAACTTCCAGCACCAGTAGTTTATTACTATAAGGCAGTGATAGCCAACTGATACGGAGGTGTAGAAAACGGGATGGTATGCTGATAAGTGAGAGATGATTGGACACCACTTAGAGCATGGCGTAGACGACCACGGCTGACATGAAAGCAAAGGTCATAGATGTCAGAGTAGATGCGCTGCTGGTGATGGTTGGACTGGTCTTATACGGGAGGTAACTAATGGCCTCGACAGAACCACTGCCCGATGAGCTGTCCGAGCCGGAGGTAGAATCGAGGGTGTCCTCGGGAACCCGAGACGGCTGTGGTTCGATTTCAAACTCGCTGTTGTTCGTCGTTCCATCGGTGTTGATGGCAGAACCGGAGTTGGGTGTCATCGCGACCTCGATTTGACCGATTTCGTTGAGCATACGGTTCTCGTTATCGATGGCGTAGGCCGAGACGGCTCCGGTGATGGCAGCCAAGAGGAAAACGCCATTGAGCACACGCATGACAAGCGACTCTTTTAGTAAATTGAAAAATCAAATCTGAGGCATGGGACTCTTTCTGATCGTGGCTACTTCCTGTGACAAATCGCTGTATTGTGCGGCTCACGTTGCGCAATAAATGACTTGAATTCAGTATACTCGCTAGCCGTCACACTCAAACTGCAAGTTGAACCAACATTCTTTATTATGGCAAAGGATGGATGTCACAGCAATACAGCACTACGACGTTTCAGCTTCATAGTATAGAAAGAATAGTAAGAACGATCATGTGACTTGTCGACAGCAGAAAATAATCCAAAATGCTGCTGCAAGAGGTCGGTAAAGCTGAGAGAAAGGAAGTAGAGAGAGACGAAACAAGCAGTAGAAAAGGCGCAATTCTGTCTACGCCCAAGACTAAAATAGTCTATGATTAGTAGGTATACAACTGTTATATCTATCTCCGCCCTGACGCTAATACGTGGTCTTGTGATACAAACATGTAGAATAAGTTGTACACATCAGACTTGCTGAAGGTGCTACCACCATACTGCTCATGAATTATTCTGCAAAGAGGAGGATGCAACAGGGATACCGTTAATTATCACTGGCTTTGACTTGCTCGGAAAAGTATCCACTCACGTATTCTGCGCGTTCCATGCGTTCAGGTTGGCCAAGAGCTTCGTAGGCACGCGAAACAGCGCTCACGATGGCCTTGCGATCATTTTCACTATTTACGCGAGAAAAGTCGGTAAGCTCGAACACCTCGGTCATGAATGCATAGTCAGACTCCTCTTCAAATATTTCAAGAAGCTTCTTAGCAAGGGAGCCTTTGATCGGTCGTTTGTTCACGGAAGTGAGCAACCCCTGTTTGAGAGCAGTTTTGATCACTCCCACGCGTTTGCTGTGGCAGCATTCACGGAGGAACACACCAAAATGGTGTGCACTGGTACGGAGGTGGAATACATTGTCAAAACGTGTCATAGTCTCTATCAATTCCTCGTCGCTGACGCTGTCGACGCTGGAACAAAGCGCAGGTACTAATTTTTTGAGCAAAGAAAGCGTGTATACACGGTGCAAGCCTAGCCTTTTTGCATCATGCATCAATGAGATGATGTCTGCGCCGCGCTTTTTCATGCACAGATAGTTGAAAATATTTCCCAGAAGCGGATAGCGATGAGGCTCAAGGACTGGGTTTGCCTTGCGAATGAGACCCCACGCCTCTGCGGGTTTTTCCAGGAGCAATAAAGCGTTCACAGCCATGCGAACTCCAGCATAGTGGAGAGGTTTGTCAGCATGATTGCCATGTAAGGCTAGTAGTTCTGGAACGCGCTCACATTCCTGAGCGTACACAGCTGCTGTAATCACACGTGGAAACAATTGCTCATGTCGCGGGGTAAGTCCATCAATCTCCACCATTGTATCAAACAGACCCAGCACGTTCTGTGCAGCATCAACGATCTTATCAACGCGTTCTGGGTGTTCCTCCTGTTCACGAATCCGTTGTACACACATGTTGTACGTATCTCGAGGTGTCACGAGCACAAAATCAGAGTCCTTCGTCATAATCTTGCTGTGGTTTCGTTCATTTGACTGACGCTTATTTTTCGGTTTCGTCTTGGTAAAAAAGTACTCGTTATCATACGTACGGATGGCACGCAGGTAGTCATCATCACGCAGCTTGAAACCCTTGACACGCATATCTTCCAGAATCGAATCCAAAAGCTCGACTTTGCGCGTCACAGACAGTGCAAACAGTAGATGCCTGTAGAAAAATACTGACGTGGGCCGGTTCTCGCGAATTACAAACTCATAAAACTCAAACACTTCGTCGTATCGTCTCTCTACGATTAGCGCCGAAATGTACTGGACGTTCATGTTTGCCGACGCGTACACACCTGCGTCCTGCGAGCGTTTGTAGATGTCAAAAATTTGTGGGTAATATTTTGGACCACACAATGCGTAGGCACTCATTGCCCACGAGTAAAACATACGGAAATGGCTGCCCAGCGTCACGACGTTCTCGTCCTCCATGACGTTCGTCCCTTCCAGCACCACACCTGTTCCTGCCTTTGCACGCCTTGAAAGCTCTTCAGCGAGCTTGCCACGATGTTCTACAATCGCTAGTGCTAGCATCGGCTGTTCAGCCATGACGAGTAGCGCCATTGCTTCTTGTTCTGTAACTTTGGTCAACCTGTCGTCGAAGCGTAGCGGCTGATACTCCGTTTCAAGCTCGTGTTCTCCTTTGGCCTCTTCCCTGACAACCGCCAGCAGCGGACATTTCTCCTTCAGCCTCATAGCCTCATACAATGGTGCATAACAGTCAGCTACGCTTTTGACGACACTTGCGTAGAGCTTTTGCTCTGCAAGTGACTGCATCCAGCGTTTCTTTTTCTCCATTCCACGTTGGAACTGCTTCTTGAAAGCACGTGCACGATCTTCCTCCATTTCCTCCACGTTCTTATCACTTCCGTACAAATCATCAGACATTTCATCATCCTCTAGATCATCGTGACCTTCAAAAGCTGCAGCAATAGCAAAAGACGGCGTGTTCTTGGACTTCTGTGGATCATTTACGCCGTTCTGGGGCACGAACGAAGCGTTTCGATGCAAAAAATTGGCAGTGACAGTGACAGAGGATATGAGTAGGTAGTCACGAGTTGTATGGGCTCTTGCAGAGCGCCGTAGTGTCCGTGTCAGCAGTGCCAAGCTCCGCAATCTTGGATGGAGCATGTGGTCTGTATCTGCTGTTGTTTTGTACCCATAATTGTTCATCAAAACATCTTATAAAGTCTGACAAGAGTATAAGAAACTAAAGGTAAGTCAAACAACTGTAATACTTAATGTTTATGTCAAATCTTATCTTTGTATGTCTTATGTAACGCACACAGCTTTACCTTAAATAGAGAGAGCCACACATATACAAGGTTTATGCTGGCGAAGGTTGCGTATCGGCGCTCGTCATGGCTGCGCTCACTGATGGCGTCTCAATATCTATCATGTCCACTTCATAATCATGTGAATGCTTGCATACGAGAGGATAAAAATGAAGAAGAAGAGGAAGAAGAGACAGCTAGGAAGAGGCTACAAGTTGATGGGAAAAGATCATCACTTCTTGATCAGTCCAAGAGCCTCAATTGCCATTTACAATGGCCATCGAACATTATAACTACATTGGAAGATGTGGAGAAGACAAGAAGAGTGATAGAGCAATCAATAGGTCAGCAAAGAGTGGAGGAGAAACAGGTAAAACTGCAGGCGGATACTGATGCTGGGAAATTCCTGTCGCTGATTACCAGCAGCGGAATCCCAGCTACAAAAGACGTTGTCAAGGCCAAAACAAGCTTACAAAAGCTAGCAAGAGATCTGGCGGATCCTCGTGCAGCAGTGGTTAGAGAGTCAAGTTATCAGAGAGCAAGGAGGCAGCTGAAGGCAGCAACGGGCAAGCTAGATCGTATGCTGTACGCTATGCGACAGCAACAAGATTTTGGTCAAGTGGAAGCAGTAGCGTTTCTGTGGGAGGAAGAGTTTCCGCAGTTTGCGGGGCAACGTAAGCATTGGTCTGTCATTTGTGAGCATTACGCCTTAGCTCTGAACTACCAGCAACGATTCCAAGACGTCGTGGACAAATTTTCTGATTGCTATCAAGGAAGTGTGGATTGTACGCAGAGTGCACAGGGAGTAAGTCTGCTGACGCCGCGGCTGGCTCAATCGATTTTTGTTGCGCTTGGCCATCTGCGTGATGCTGCGAGAACGTTGCAACTGTTGAGGACGATGGAGTGCCATGATATTCATGTGACTAAAGTATCTTACTTTCACGTGCTGAATGCACTGCTGCATGATGAACGTTTTACTGATTTTGAAAAAGTGATGCAGATTTGCGAGAATATTGTTACTAAGCTTCCTGGCGAAATCGTGCCACTGTCGTTATTGCCGATGATTATGATGACTGCAGCAGCTTGTGGCAAATCCGAGCGAGCACTGAAGTTTTATAGCCACCCACCAGACATGCCCATGTCGACCTTCACCGAATTTCGTTTCGAAATCTGCTTACAGCAGCTGATTCATCTGGGAGACGATGTGATGCTGATGGAAATGTACCGCAATCTGATGGTGTCAGTACAAGCAAGTCTCGATCTCAAAGAAAGAGTGTCGAAGTATTTATTGCGAAAGAGAGTTGAGCATGTTACGGCTACCACTCGTAACGAGCGTCTTAGCACTGCATGCGAAATTTTGGAAATTATGAATCAACACAAAATACGCGCAAGCTATCGCGTCATTTACTCATTATTGCGCGCGTTATTAATTGACCCACTACGTTCAAGTGATGACGATGGAGATGATGGCGATCAACATGACGAGCAGGTCTACATCCGGGTGGGATGCGCAAAAGACTTGCACGACTTTTTTTCGCGATACTCGCATTCGTTGGAGTGGAATACATTTGCTTTATGCGAAGCCATTGTTGCTGGTGTTCGCTCTGATCGTGCTGACTTGGTAGATGATCTCTTTGTTCATGCGCTGGGCAGTGGTATGCCAATCAAGTATGCAGCGTTAGAACAAGTGGTGGTTTATTATTACAGACTGGGTCTTATCAACGATCTGGAGCGAGTGTCGGACATGGTCCACGCGTTGCGTTTGAACAAACACATTTCTCTTGGTATTGCAGTGACAGAAGTTGCGATGGCAGCTAACCTTCGCCTTCATCGATACGACGAAGTGGTCATCCTCTTTGAGGATTTCTCATCTTTAGATGGTGAGAGGAGACGTGTTCTCCAGCGCCAGTTTATGCTGAAAACGGTACTTGAAGCATACACGTGCTTGGGGCGCAGTGATGAAGCTATGGCGATCCAAGCGCTGCTACATCAAGTGCATGGCACTCTGCTAGATGAAAGTGAGAATACTGAAGCCGACGAAGCGAAGGCGGAAACTAGACTAGATGCAGAAAGCACAGACAAGAACAAACTGATCGATGATAGTAATTGTGACCAAGCTCGTGAGCAAGAAAGATTCTCGTTGCATCGGTTTAAGAGCTAAACAGCTGTAGTCATACTTGCAAAGCTCAAATGAGCAACAATATACAAAGCCGTCGGCTGACATCAAGATCTGATGAGATTGTGAGCTGTATAGCATAAGGATGGATAACTGCTGCGCTGCTGATACGACTTGTAGCTAGCTACCTGAACGTTTGGTGATGGATATGCTAAAAAGAAATGGGTGCTGAACTGCCGAAAGTATGAAAGCCATCATGTCGTTAGTAGAAGACATACTGCCAGCAATAAAGATGCAAAACCACACAACCACCAACACATTCCTACCACATTGTGTGCCTCGCCAAAGATCAGTATGGAGTTTTCGATGGAAATACCGACCGAACGCCATGCCAAGGGTCAATGAGATAGTTGTACGGCACAAAAGCAATCTTCGCTTCAGATAGCCGATACCCTGTCAAGAAAACGGGCATATCTACAACCCGACACTAAAACTGTCGCACACAAGGCGTCATTGACACGGACAGTGTGATCCACCGTCTTCTCCTTCAGTGTATAATTCCTTGCCTGTGCTTGATGCTTTAACCACTTTGCATATGAGTCAAAGCTCAGCTTGTACATACATCTAGCAAGTAAGCCCAGCAGAGTTAGATCCTCGCACAGAAAACAAGATTACGAAATGTCTGCTGACTCATTTACCTTCTGTCTTTACAAGTCAAGCGACATGCAAAGTTTTGCTGTATCTCTTGGAGCTTGTACACCTTTTCATTCACGCACAAAAGCTCTCGAGATCCAAGGACTGCGATATTCGGATAGTACGACGTATTCTTGAGCTCCTGTACCACCTGTTTCAGCTACAAATGAGTATGTGACGAATAAATAATCCTTGGGAGCTGTAGTGCCTCACTGTTGCTGCTGTCGTTTTCTATACTACCTTGCCAGTGCCTGTAGGGTTTTCAAGAAATGGCATTGTGTTTCAACATAAGTGCCAACATCATCTTCTCCATACAAATAATCTGTGAATTCTATGGTAATGCATGGAAATTCGACAGAAATGCCACACATTTCGACCATCACTATCAAAAGTAGCAATTAATTCGAGAAAAATCAAAATAGTTAGTTTGGTGCACCACACCAATAAAAGACCCCGAACGTCGTTGAAGAAGCGGAGACAGCAGTCACTGGATGCTTCCTAGCACTAAGTGCTGTGAAAGCAAGGTCAGTAGTTAGACCTCACCTTTGACCTTTTTGGGAAGCAGTTGCCGGTACCTCACTCGCGTGTGAAGTACTGTTATCTGCTTCAGGAGCAAAAATTACGCCGTATATGGCTTTGTCTATATGATACGCAAGGCGTAAAGACTTTGGGAGCTCGAAGGCAAGTGGGTATAGCACTTTATGGCTCAATAAACATGTGCTGAGCATTTCCGTGCACTTAGGTTAGTGTAAAACACTTAGCTGCTTTATAAGCACGCATAAATCATTATGAAGCTTTATAAGCAGGTTTATAACACTGTGGGGATTTATATAAGCAAGTGGCAAATAGTTTGGTGCTTCATAAGCAAATGTAACACTGAAGGCTTTATATGAGCAAGTGCGAAGCAATATAAAGCTTTATCAGAAGTGTGCAGCACTTTGGGCTTATATAAGCAAGTGTTAAACACTTCGGGGCTTTGTAGAAGCAAATGTTTAGCACTAAGGCGCGTTACAAGCACGTGTTAACATTTAGTTGCTTTATAAGCGAATGTTGAGCACTATGGTGCTTTAAAAGTAAGTGTTCAACGTGTAATTACTCGAGATGCTATTGTTAACACTACGGTATCTTATAAGCAAGTGTTAAGCAGAAATGTGCTTTACAAGCTAGTGTCAGACACTATGGTGCTTATACAATAGTGTCTAACACTATTGTCTAACACTGTTAGACACTATTGTACATTGTTAGCTAGTGTTAGACACTAATGTGCTTTAAAAGCTAGTGTTAAACACTAATCTGTATTATAAACTAGTGTTAGCACTACGGTGCTTTGTAAGCAAGTGTAAGACGCTCATATATGCTCAAACTCTTAAAAGCAAGTATTTAGAACACTGAATGCTCTAAAAGCAAGTGCCAGACATTTAATGCTGTAAAAGCAAGTGTTCGTAAACACTATGGGTTTTATTACCTAGTGCTAGGCACTTCCCTCTGTACAAGCAAGTGTTCGTAAACACTAAATTCTTTAGCGTGAGTGCAATGCACTGTATGCTCAAGGAGCAAGTGTCGTAACACTTTGGTGCCTTAAAAGCGTGAGTGCAAAGCACATATACTCATAGAGCGAGTTACGTAACAAAGCTTTTTACGCAAGTGCGAGCACTTTATTGCGAGGCAAGCAAAGTGGAAAGAAAATGATATGACAGAACTCCACATTAAGTTCGAAAATCGGGGGTACGTCAGGTCCCACGGGTTGGTGGAGGAGGGTGTAACGGGGTTACACAAGGTGTGTATTGTACATACACACCTGCCAGACCATTGTGGTGTGACTGTACTTTGAGTACAGTGGTGGGTGATGTGACCGTACCTAAGGTACGAAGGGTCGCATCGTGGTCACTATACTTAGTTAAGTATAGTGCTATACATATTTACATATTAATAGGCTACAGAGCCAGTAAATAGTGACTAGCACGAAGTAAAGTAGGTGCTTCTATATTTAGTGCTAGAAGATATACAGTCAATAATCGGTTTCAAACCTGCTTTGAATAGCATACGTGCTAGAGCGTTCTCTTCCTTGAAAAAAAGAAATTATACTTTTAATATTAGTCTCTTGGAGACGTGGTTGTTGCAACCAAAAGGCATAAGCTTGTAAAGCTAGCCTGAAGAGGAGTAAGAACCCTAAGACGTTTAAGCTATTTGAGCTTGTTCCTCTGCACGCAGTGCATAAAAAGCTTTGCTACAATATCTGCTACACATTGTGATTAAATAATGTACTGCTCATCTTTTGGCCCTGCATGCTATTCAAATGAACGTAGCGTGTTAAAGCGAACCTGTAGGACTATTACGTGCTTAACTAAATTCAACCGATGCAAGCCAGCATTTCGAAGTGACAACATCAAGTCCAATGCTAGTAAGATTGAACTGTTCAAAACGATTGACTTTTACGTTGGTTTTTTCTACCAAATATATTGAGGACGTTTGTTGATTGATCCAGCCCAAAAATGTACGTGCATCACAAGTGTCATTCATCATTTTTTATTTTACTCTCAAGACCAAATGTCTTAAATATTTTAATATTCTCTGCTATTATCAGATCAGCTAAGTTGCTTTGCGTGAAGAAGCTAGTCTTTATCACGCTATTTGCGTTTTTAACAACGATGGTGACAACTGAAGAATCGTTTGCGAGGGCCTTACGTGCGTCGACGACGCAAAATGAGGCTTCTGTCGTCTCAACCAAGCGTTACTTGTCGGATACGAAAAGTAGAAGCCTCAACACTTTGAATAAAAGAAGATTTCTGTAGCAGAGCTACTGTAGCACAGCTTCTTATGCAATGCGTGGGGAGGAAATCAAGCTCAAAAGCTTACACGTCTTAGGGTTCTTACCCCTCCTAAGGCTAGCTTTACAAGCTTATGCCTTTTGGTTGCAACAACCATGTCTCCAAGAGACTAGTATCACAGATACATTTCTTTTCTACAAGGACTTAGGCTTTAGCAACGAATGCTATTTAGAGCAGGTTTGAAACCAATTTATTTACTGTTTATCTTCTAGTACTAAATATAGAAGCACCTACTTCAGTACTAGCCACTATTTATATGGGCTCTGTAGCCTTCTAATTGTAAACACATGTATTTATAATACTTAAAGTAAGTATAATGACCACGTGGCTATCTGTCACGATGCGACCCTTTGTACCTTAGGTACGGTCACTCAACTCTCCACTGTACCCAAAGTACAGCCACACCACAATGGTGTGGCAGGTGTATATGTACAATAGACACCTTGTGTAACCGTGACAAGGTAGATGTAAAAGTAAATTGTTCTTATTATTACTATGCCTAGTGCTAATGATATGCAATTACATGCATATGCGACGGGTATGCTATAGCACTCGTCTGTCTTGCATCCTATCACGCGTCACGTCCCATGTGATGATGGATCTCCTAGTCTCACCTAGTAGTAACGGTCCTTGTCCGTCGATCGGGTGTAGGCGCATCTTACCTATTACAGGTCTTGACGTTGAACTTGCGCTTGACTTAACCCATTAAAATTAATAGATTCGAACAAAGCCGATATGAAACGCTAAGGACAATAACGACTTATCCTTAATATGAAATAGAGGGAGATAAAATGACGTAACGGATCAAGGGAGATCAGCTGAAAAGGCAACACTATTTCACGCAGTCTAATCATGAAGGGGAGCTAGTAGCAGCTAGAGTGGCCTATATTGGTGAATGACTTGCGCATAAACCAAATTGCATCGCAGCTTGCCAAGGTACTGACTCTGTTGCCGATTGAGTATGACCAGTTTGTAAGCATTCAGTCGAAGGAATCAAAGCAAGTATATGCATATCGCTAACTCTTTTGAAATGCTTGAGCTGATGTGCTTGTTAACTCTACTAATACAAACAAGTATGGTGAAACTTGAGTACGTTCTTGCACAATTGGTTTTGAAACTTGTTTACGTACGTCTTCTACCGAATGGACGAGGAAAGGAACGATAATAAGGGTGACCATCAATTCGTAAACGGACGACGTGAGCTGGTAACGTGAAAAAATGTATAGTTGCTCTTGCCTCCTAGCCACCGTTCGTACAGGTGCAGCAAAGAAGCCGGCGGCGAAGACGAAAAGACCAACGCACAACTTACACTTTGACAGCTACAGGATAGCTGTAGGTAAGTACGACATAAGTCGTCATATGGAGAACAAAAAATGGCTGCATCTTGAATGAAAAGCCGATAACTACTGGAGGAAAACAATGAGAATGCAAGTTAGTCGAGCTGCTGGAGCGACAGATCATTCAGTTTCTTTCATACTGTGGTGTAGTCATTGCAGAAGCGTGCGCATCTAAGTTCAACTAAACGCTGTGTTGATGAAGACACGACAGCAGCAAGAATAAACCGCCTAGCAAGAGAACAGTGGCAAGCATGTTCTTGCGCCTTTTTGCTATTAAATATTACAGGTAACACTATAAAATAGGGTATCAAAAAGAGCTTAAATTAGGCAAACGGTTTACAAAGGTTTTATTTTTCCTTGAGTCATCATCATCATGACAATGGAGCAAAGGCCCGTGCATTTCGACGACGAGTCCGACGAAGAAGAGCAGAATCCTGGTGCTTTTATGTGGATTGAAGGTGATTCACTTGCACCGCCTTGTCAGAGTGACCATGATGTTGTATCAAAAATTGTGGAGATTGCGTGCTTGACCCCAAATGACGTGCGTCCAGTCAATCGCTTGTTTCGACCGTCAGACTTTTCGCTCACTTGTTTTGTAATATGTCACTCTCATGTTCCCTCTGTAGGTTCTATTTGATTTAGGATGTGGTGATGGTCGTATTTGTATTGAAGCTGCGAAGCGCTTTGGTGTTCGTGCTAGAGGCGTGGAGATTGAACAGTTCTTGGTCAAGCGTTTCCGCAGGTTAATCGCTACTAACGATCTGGAACGACTTGTGAGTGTTTCTCACGGCGATCTATTGGATGAGGACCTGTCGGAGGCTACGGTTATCGTCACATACTTGTTGCCTAATGCACTGGACCAGCTAGCGTCAAAGTTTGTCAAGCTATTGGGTCAGACCAACAAGAACGTGCGCATCATCTGCAACACATGGGGCATTCGTGGCCTTACTCCTGACGAGCGCCATGACGTTGGACTGTATAATAACGTGCCACTGTTCGTGTACAAAAGTCGTAGAGTCTTATCTACATCCACAATGGAAGAGAACAAGTCTAACAAAGGCATAGCACAATAGAAAGACAAGAAAGAATGTAGTAGATTATGGTCCAAAAAGGGTGAACTGACTGAACTTCGTACGCGTACAATAGATTCAGCGTTAGCGTGCCGATTCTGAACCGGAATCGTCATCCATCACTAGCAGTGTCGATGAACAAAACACTCGAATGCTAGAGTTCGTCTAACATCATCATCACTTGGGCTCAAGTAGTACCGGATTTGTTAAGACGATGGACGACAAACATACTCGTGTCCAGGTAAGCAAGTGTCACGTTCTTAATACAGTCCTTCTCCTTGTATGAAAGCTCTGAATCAGGTTTACTGGCACTACATTTGTCCCAAGCAATTGCTGTAATCTTTGAAATAGCCTGTTGAATCAATGCACGCTGTTGCTCTTCCATAATCATTTGCTGCACTTCTGCAGCACCAGTAGATGGACCATTTCCCTGAAGAGACGATGAAGAGGTTGGTGAATCAAAGGACGATGGCACTGATGGTGCACTATAATCATACGATGGTTCTTCATACTCGTATGATTCAGACAATGATGACGAGACTGTAGACTCTGGTGGTGTCTTACTCTTACCAAATCCAAAGAACGACATACTCGACTAACTGGTGTTTCCTAGAATGAATGGATATATGTGTGTCACGGTGTACATTTTATCCAAAAACACATAACCACCTAACGTAAAGTTGCGGCTAAACTAACTATTTACAATTGTCACACGGTTTTACCGACTATATTACCGGTATATATTCTCTCTGTACCACATCTCTCTTATACTTCAAACAAGTCATTTTCATTGCTAGAATGAGTTGGTTGCGCTCGAAACTTCGTCTCGTAGCAGCACGTGCATCGGATGTATTAGCAGACATTATCGCTCCAACAATATTTGAATCACGTGTGGATGAATTTCATCATCGATGGACAACTGTCATGCGTTTACTTGAGTCGATTTTATCACGTGAGTTAGACCCATTGGAACAACGTCGGTTGTTACTTGAGAGTCAAACCCGTGAAACTTTATTAAAATTAGTATTACTTATTTATGAAGAAGAAAATAATTCCGATCGATGGGAAATGATTATGGCACGTCCACGGGGCAATACTGATGACGTTATGATGATGATGACGGCAACAACAACAACAACGACTGAATCACGCAATCGATCATGTTCGGAATCGCAATCATTCTTATTATCATCACCATCATTCATCCAAGAAGATCAAGGATCATCCCATGAATGTTTAGAATATTTGTTATTAAAACAAATCATTCCACAATTATGTGAAGCAGGACGACGTGATCAACCTTGTGGTATTATGTCACTTACAATGCAATTTGTTGGTGCATTATTAAGTCGCGTGAATTATCCAATTTTACCTACACGGGAAGTTCATGTATCGGTTGTTGCATTGATTCAAGCAGCAGCACGTAAAGAAGTGGAAGATCCGATTGTACGGAAATATTTGATTAATTTACTCAATATCTTGTGGAAAAAATTACGTGGAGATCCCGTACAGACGGAATTCTTTTTTCTTCATGCTGATAAATTGATGATACGTACAACAGATATGACAATGCAAATGAATACAAGTACGAGCACGAGTGACGTACCACTTGATGCAGCTAATGATGATCCATTCTTGTATCTTCATAATCACCATACACAGAGTGAAGTACCTGAACTTATTTTGTTTACGGGACTCTTACCACATATGTACGCAGTGGGGAAAATTGGAGAAAAATGTCGCGAAGCATTGGTCATTGCAGCAGCAGTACATGATAAAGCACTTTGTCGCTTTGTGCTACAGCTTACTCCGTTCTGCCACTACGCAGTCAATGGTGTTATCTCAGCATTTGACGCACTACCCAAGACGTTGGCATCGACGACAAAGATTCTTGCTGCCGCAGCAAATTCAGTCGATCTGGATGCAAACATGGATGTGGAACTTAGCTTTCTTGCTGTACGATTGCGTTTTTGCTGCACACTGGCGATGGTGGCTCGGTACGAACTGGAAGAAGTGGATGAAGTCACAGGTGAATTGCAGCGTCGATCTATTGCTGATGAACTTTTGGATCAGTTCCGGACGCGTTTCTTGCAAGGTCCGCTTCTTGAAGGACTTTTGCACACATCTGAAGCTGCCGCTTGTGCTGCCACACTCTACGCGCGCATAATTTTGGAAGAGCTGACAGCCTGTGGTCGCGACACTCGAGCCAACCCACTGCTTCTCATTTATTTACAATTTCTGCTTGAGCGCGCGCCTACGTATACAAAGAAGACATCTCAGGTGAATCCAATGGCAGTCATTGGGAAAGAAAAGACACTGGTGCCTGTAGATCCAAAACCACAAACGGATAAATCTTCTGTAGCACATCAGCTGCCGTCGGAGTTACTACGTCACGTGGACTCTCTTTCATGCTCCTTGTGTATTGCTACCATTGACTTGTTCACAAGTGTACTGGAGCTACAGGACGAGTATGCGGACAGCATACTGCTCGGGACAGGTAATGGACGAGAGAGAAATGCTGAGAGTGGAGGCGCGTGGAGCCCGCGGAAGCGCTCGCCCACCACTTGCTCGCTATCAAGTCTTAGTGCATCTAATAATAGTGCTGTCGGATTCGCATCGCGGTTTCCCGATTCGTCGGTGGCTTCGAACGTCCATCTTTGGAAAATCCGTGCATTTGTCGGACCAGAGGATATCACGGCGGAGATTCCGGTAGCCGACGATCAGGAAGACCAGGTGCTGTCACTGCTTTCTTACATTGCTGATGCCGAGTACGCTGCATGCCAGCGCCGCCCTGAAGAGACGGATGATTTTGATGACGATGAAGTTGACTTGCAAGAAGAGCTTATAGCATCACCGGTAGCAATATCACAGTCGGAAGAGGCTGAACGCGCCGCTCCATTTGCTGCTGCAGATGCGATCTCGCCTACAAAAGGATCGTCGAGTCAAAGTACTGCTACGCGCAATACGGTGAAGCCGCTGCGTGATGTGTATTTAAGCATCAGTTTGCCGTCGTTTTCGCCTGCTGAACCGGCTAGGCTTCGAGAGCGGACTCAATCGCCATTCCCGCAAACAGTGACTGTTGGAAGTGCTGAGGGAAACTTACCGCTCTTTTTACGCATTGTTTTGAGTCGCGTTGAGCGTCTGTTGGAAAACTCTTTCCAGGAAAATTTAGCGCTGTCGGGCTTGATATGTGCTCTTGCTCAAAAGGACCGGTGCTCAGCGCTCATTTTTGACCTGGACGAAGTGATGCCAGTGGGTGAAAGTCTGCGCAGTATTCTTGAAGAGGTGTATGCTGATGCCGTGCGCCGCTTGGATCGTTTGCCGAACGGTCCCGCCCAGCTGCAAGAACTGCGTAAAAAGCTTGTGGAAGAGGACAATGATACAGCGCTCAACGATCACGAGGCAGAGACACGGCTGTTGTGCGGTTATGTGGTGCTGGACGAGATCCTGAAAGAGCTTTGCTCGCTTCTTTTTGCCCGCGAGCGCATCAAGACTCTCCCGCTTAAACCCGGGGGATATTATTTGGAGCCAAAACAACGCGCTAGATCGGTGTTGCCTTCGTCGGTGATGCAGCGCGAGCGCGCACCGTCAAGCGAAACCTTTTTTTCAGACGACGACTCACAAGTGGACGAGGCTTCACCTCGAAAAGAAGTTAGTGCCAGCAAGGAGTTTGAAGCACTGTTGGCCGAAGCTCAGTCTAGCATGGATGACTTACTGATTGGTTCTGGTGAGAACGCGGTAGTGCATGCTTTAGAAGCGGAACTGGAGACCCTGATTGCATAGAATGGGACAAGTGCAATGATCCTACAAGAGATAGCATGGGATATGATGACTGGATCTGATGAAAACAAAACGAGTTTGAGACGAGAGCGTGCGTTGCAGAAAAATCACATTGGATTGGAGTCCATGATGTGTAAATATCTTCACAGAAGGCGAGCTATGCTTGCCGGATCCGAGATGTGACTTTAGTTGCTTCGACTGTGCCAGGTTGTTGTAAGAATATGATATAGACCGCAGACACGCGGTGTCGTCGATGCCAAAGTGCATGGATGACACACGATGCTTTTCTCGAAGATAATCTTGACTGAAGTAGACACGACTTTTTGTTTGATTAGCACCAGCAGGAACAATCAGCTTTGTCAGACCTCAATGCCCTTGTTATCGTCGGAAGTGAAGCAGATAGATGTAGAATAGATGCCGGCAGAATAGCGATCGCTGCTTCTGTACGTATTACACAGCGCAAGAAGCCCATGCATGAGCAGATAGCTTTTGTAAACAGTTATGGTTGTCTACATTTGCAATATGGAGCTCAGTGTGAGATGCGATAAAGTCACATATCTACTGACGGCCGCACACTTGCTTCATATGCTTTCTGAGGATGGTGCTCAAATCGTCAATCTCTCTGTAAGACGGAAAATAGTTGACATCAATCACATACAGATCTTGCGAGTCATCATCCGCCACGATGACATCAAATCCAAACAGCGTCAGCTTCAGCTCTTCGCGCAGTCTCTCACCGATCGTGCGCACGGCCGCAAAAGTCTGCTCTTGCGTCCATTTACCGACAGTCTCATGCTGCGCAACGCTGTCACTGGCATGAGAATGGAAATCCTTACTTGTGGGATAGTTCTCTTGGGTGTTGAAATGCACTTGCTGGGCATTTCCCGCTACGAGGTTTGGTAATGAGCTTCGCTCCGCCACGTTGATCAGATCACCCAGCACGTATCCCTTAAAGAGGCGGTTGGAATGATTGACGAATTCCTAAGGTAGCATCGATAGCAAATTAATGTCAATAACTCTCATATATCGAGCTATGGATCTCGAGCTAAGAGAACGAACCTGGTATAGCACAGGATACTCGAGATAGAGCAAGTCCTCGCGCTTGGTAATGACACTCATCATGTGCGACCGTTCCGTTGCTACAAAAAACATGGCACAGCAACTTATATCAGTCTCTACTTACTTTCCACCACACGACCAGTGAAGTAAAGCTTCATCTCGACGCATAACGCACCACAGGCCTCGACTGACTTGCAGATAAGCGGCAATTTTGTACGTCCAGTGTCCAGCTCGTTCAGCAGCTTCTGGAACTTCTCAGGGCTGTCTACCATATGAAAAATGGGCACCTTAAACTTTTGCGTCTGCTCAGCGTGATTCTCCATCGTCTGCAGCATCTGACAAGCCTCATGGCGGCTCGTAAGCAGCCGTACACTGTCTATAGGGTCCACCACACGCGCTAACGGATTCTGGCGCAAATAGACTTGTACCAGCTTCACACGATTAGCAGCATCGTGATCTCCTAGTTCTTCAAACACCATATCATGCGCTAGCTTGTGCAGCAACGCGTCCAGAGGTCCATAGTGAGCGGCAAAGCGCTGGGCCGCATCTTCCAAGTCGGTGGAGCTCACAGATTCCCCAGAGGGAGTAAAAGCTTCCAAGTCGATTAACACGAATCGTACACCATCTGTGTCTGAATCCAGCACTTCTTGAAGCCGTGCAATCTTCTTGGCAGGGAAGATAATGCCAACGATGAGAGGCTCAACGTTCTTGACCATGTTACGAGATGGAAAGTAAGAATCAGATTGGATTCTTTCTATGTGGACCACGTGATTGAGTTTGTTGGTGGACTTGTCTGTCGTCTTGAAGAGCAAATTTGGAGGCGATATAATGAGCTACATAAGAGCTGTTTGATGTGTCATGTGTGTACGTCTTGGAACGCGCGATACGTACATGGCGGCCAAATACGTTGAGTACAGCAGCACCCTGAAACCATAAACCAAGCATAACTTGTTATGGAGATGATCTGCAGCAACAGAAGTTGCAGACGTTGTCAATCTTCCTTGAGCTCCAGAGTATCAGCTTCCAAACAACAAAGCAAGGTCATACCATATAAGAGCAATGATAAACCGATTACGCATAATGTACTCGCTGTGGAAGCTTTTTGTTCGTCAGGATCGTGCGCTTCTTTACCAATTGCAAGCCGCAATCAAATTGGATAATCTTGAGAACGTAATGCCACTGTGAAGAACGTTTGTAAGGGTACCGCCATTTACTGGAGAAGCGATCGTGGCCGTCAATCGCAACATCTTTAGCACCTTTGCGGTGCAAATTTGGGATGTTGTTTGCCAGTATACCATGTCACTGGCTGTGCATGTCGAAATGTTGTGTTAGCAGATTCATCTGGTTCAAGTGTTGCCAAAAGCACAGAGCCGTCTCAGCGAACATGAAGCGTTGCAGCTTCAGATGCAATTGTGTCGTGGTTTAAAGCTGGTTGCTTTCAGTTGGTATGGCAGTGGACGTATGTTTGCAGCTTATTTGCGGTGGTGGTCAGACCCTTAGCATAGGCTTTGATGGCTATGACAAATAAACATCTTTCTCAGCAACTGAAAATGTAGTTGAAAAGCTCGTCTCAATTTGAAAACATACGATCCAAAAACACTTGGAAGCTGAACGTCAGATATAGCGGTCTGGTAAAGCAGCACATAAAGATTGCTATCTGGGCACAAATTATCCATCTCACTTAGTTGCTAAGGTGAATTCTGCATAGGTCACGGAAGTAGCAGCGAATTATGCGGTGTTCAGCTTCTCTCACGACCGGTGCGGGATTGGAGCTATTCAACTCGGGGGGACTGGATAAGGTTTGTTAACAGCATCACATATCTGAACAACAAGGAACAACACGAATCGTCAATACACGAGCTTGAACGGTGCAGATCACTTGCGCATACCTATCATTGTGATATTTCGGACTCGAGTGCAGGTCCACTAATAACTCCAGGAATGGCAGCTACGAGACGTATCATAGTAAAGGAAATACATCGTTTTAGTTCTAGTACCTTCCACAGTAAAGAGATGCAAACAATGGCTGAAGTCCTCGTACCTCCCAAAAATACTGAAAGAATGCCTCGTCATGGGATCCAGGGGCAAGACGCAAGATGCGGAGGCCATACTTGAATTCTTCAGGCATGAAACACTGATACAATACGGCAGCTGCAACATGCGCACCTACTTTTAAAAGACATTGACTCTGGAATTCACAGGATGAGGAACGAATAAGAACATCACAGCAGAAACAACCACGCACGAAATGTTCACAGAATGCGTACCAAACGGACAAGTGAGCTTTGATCAATGATGTCCACCACAGAAACCATGTCGGCGAAGAAATTAGTTGCCAGTGAGGCTGCCACCAAATAACTTTTCAGAGCGCCACATGGATCTGTCAATAACATTTTGCAACTGTTACAAAACATAACTCGAACAGGTTGTACTCTGAAAACAAGACTCACCAGAGGTCGAAGACAGTCGTTGTTTTGACAGCGGGTTTAGGAGTATATCAGCTTTCGCACAACGCCACCTTGGCTCGCGACCACAGCGACACACCAAGCTATCAAGGGCTCTGGAATGCAATCGTACCAAATCATCCTGAAACGTTTTTACGAACAAAACAGTAGCGCCAGCACTTCTTGGTTTAGATGCTATTGACGGTGTATCAGGTGCAAATGCCTCCAAAAACGCGAGGTCCCCGTACGGAGTAAGATCAAAGGATACACGGTACTCACACGCATTGCGTATGTATGCGCGGTGCAATAGCCCAGCGGTGACACAGACAAGAGTCTCCAGAAACCACACAGGAAGACAGATCAACAGCTTCTTTGACTCTGTCTCAGTCTGTTTCTCGTCATCAGAACTGTCTGCCAGGCTTGCACGAATTGCACTCACCCATTCACGCCATTTCAGCAAGATCTCAGTCACGAGCATGTTACTTGTCGCGATGGAGAATTCGTCGTTTTTGGACCCTAATACGGAAGACGTCTCAATTCCTGAGTTTGAAATCTTCAGTGCACCAGAAGAAAGCGAAGGCGACGCAAGAGAGGATAAATACTGCGTCAGCGCACCACACGCCACCACAAACTCCAGTTCGTAGCGCAAATGAGATGAAACAGGTGCCATAACCTCGCACTGACTTAGTAGCTTCCAGCAATTGTTGGCTGCGCAAAACGCAATTAGATTCCGAGAAGGTGTGCTGTACCTTTCAATCCTCATGCCCCCCGCCATTTCTGATGTGTGCGCAACGTTGCCGGCCTCGGACACGTCATCCAACTCGTCCTGGAGAGCAGCAACAAACGCATTCTTTGATCTCGCGTTAGCAAATGTAACTATGCTGCCCACGTCTGCCATCATGCGAAAATACCTCCTTTGCGTAGCCACTGCAGTTTGAAGGCGTTCTTCTACCGCCACTGCACTGACCAAGCTTTCCGCAAAAGGCATAACTGCAGTGTCTTCGGCTACATGAAGGCCACCGCAGCGTCGAAGGAGATCTGATACGTCTTCCAAATCGGTGATGCACGGAAAGTGACGAACGACCTGACAAACAAATTGCTTGATACGTGACTCGGCATTCTTGTTCGGGCTGTTCGAGAATGCAAAGCCACTGAGCGCTAGCACGAAACGAGCTAACACTGAGAAGTTTTTCTTGGTCTCATTGTTGTTGCTGGTGTTTCGTGTTATTGAATGAAAAATCTCTTCTTGAAGCATACGGACGCATAGGCAGACGCAAGTCTCTAGAGACGTGGTCGATTCCTGGTCACCATTTAGCAAAAGAACCATCACGGCGTTTTCCATCACAACGCGTTTGTAAAAGAACCTTATAGTAGAGATAGCACCATGTGGACCATCTTCCTCCATTACATTGTTGCAACTTGATCGCAGCAAACGAAGCGCTTGTTGCTCTAGTGCAGCTCGATAACCCGGTGACAGTCTCGTCAGCTCCGAAGCCACAATGTCACTTTCAAGTATCTGGATCACCTTGTCCCAATCTCGTGCTTCCCATGCTATTTCAACCTGCATCCTAGGTGTTTTTAACAATGCAGGGCTCTCGTTCACAGATTGCACCTCGAGCACAGCTTCACATGCGGTTAAATATCCTTCCAGATCCGCTCGATTATCTGCACAAAACTTGCTTGTGCCACTTTCCTCCATCTTCTCGTCACTATTTTCTCCATCCTCCCCGAGTTCCAAAGCGCGACTAAAGCAGCTGTAGGCCTTTTCAAACCCGTTAAAGCTGAAGAAATAAACACCTAAATCATAGTAAGTTTCCAGTCGAGTCTGTGCTGTCAGTTTCTGCTTTTCATCATTCATCAAAATCGTCAAAACATTCTGTGCAATCTGCAAGTGATTGACCATCAAATCCCCTAGTGCCATTTGATATGTGGATGAAATCTCGTCGGCCTCACTACGTGTGCTACAGGTCAAGTATCCATTCTGCGATTGTTTCACAAGTGCTCGTAGTGTCCATCGATTATGCAGCACATGGGCTTCGTAGGGCTGAATGATTACACCCTGCATCAATTCGTTACGGCTGTTGGGCAATTGTTCGGCAAAATCCACAATACCGTCCATCAATAATCGCTGGAAATGCAGCGCCAGTGCTTGTTCAATGGCGGAGAGTGACAGTTGCATTTGTAATGCAACTTGAGCTGCCATGAGTAGCAGGGCACTATACCGTTTATTGCGTACGTTACCCTCATCGGCTACTAATTGCGCCTGCTCTAGAAATTCACGTACTAACTCGATTGCTGAAGTTGCACTATGAACATCATTCTCTTGTTGAAGTTGAAGTTTCTTCAACTATCGTGAACAAGACAAGATCATAATAACAGAGTGATGGTCAAGTTGTGAAAGGAAAAAGAAAAGCCAGCAAAAAAGCAATAAAACCTCGTACGTGTTTCTGAAGCGCTGCGGGGTGTAGCAGGAATTCAAACCAGGCATAAGATGGAGCTGCAGATGGTATATCTACTACTGGTTGTTGGAATAAAGATCGATATATGCCATCCTCTTCCTCTTGAGGCACAGGTGTGCTTGGTCGTGGAGATCCAAGCATAAGCGGCATGGTTTGGTTACGTCGAGGTTGAAATTCGATCGTGTGCACCACATCGTATTGATTGTGTACGGTTGGTGTGGCAGGTACAGCTCTGGTGTGACATAATCAGTCAATCGTACGGCCAAGAGCAGGAAGGAGACCAAGTCGTCATGAGCTTTCAGGCCTTGAAGAGGAGCGTCCGTAGTCGACACGTCATTGCACGTCATGTCTCGGTCAATATGAATAGAACTACATGTTCAAAGGGGATCATGTGTGCTGTTCAGCACCAGACGTGCGTCTTTTCGGTTGTTCAAGACGCCGCGTTGCAGCACAAAAGGTCTGTCTTCCTCTTTATGGCTATATCACTTCTCATCGATCAGTATATGACGTAATATGATGTGGCTAGCCTACTGCGCTTTCAGACATTGATGATGACTCGCCCATTCTCTTCTGGTTCGAGTATTGGACGGGATTCTGCTCTGGAATTATACTGGATTGATCGTGTTTCTTATGCCGCTTTCTGCTTCTGCTATAGCTGCTGTTGCTGAGTCGGTGCCTGTTCCATCCATGGGTGACTCTATCTCAGAGGGTACAGTGGTTGAATGGCTGAAAGGTACTGGAGGAAATGGCAGAGTTTTAAGAGAACGACTGACTAACGGACTTACTGACAATCGTGGGATGGTGCAGCCCCCGGTGACTTTGTCGAGACGGATGAGGTGGTTGTAGTCTTGGAGACTGACAAGGTCAGTGTCGACGTGCGCGCGCCGTTCTCAGGCGTTCTGGAGGCTCAGCTGGCTCAGATCGATGAGAACGTACTAGTTGGTGCACCACTTTTTAGCGTCGTGAAACAAGCTGCTGGGAGCGCACCGGCAGCTACAACCCCGAAGGCAACCTCTGCTGAGTTTACTTCAGTAAACGAGGCTGCCCCTACTGGAGAGGAGGACCTTGAGACTATTAACGTGCCGTCAATGGGCGATTCGATTTCGGAAGGCACCATTGTGACCATTCTGAAGAGTAAGCCATCATCTTTGTAGCCTGTATTAGATTTGTACACGTCTATTTACTTTTGCTTTTTATCGTTTGGCAGACGTCGGTGACTATGTGCGTGCCGACGAGGCTGTACTTGTTGTAGAGACGGACAAGGTAAAGAACAGACTCTAAATGTCGCGCGGAGCCTACTACTAGACTTATGGAAGCTGTCACGATGTGTGATTCTGCTAGGTAAGCGTGGATGTGAACGCCCCAGTTTCCGGAAAAATCACAAGCTTGCTGGCAAAACTTGAGGACGTTGTAGAAGTAGGATCGCCCCTTATTGTGATCGATAAGGCGGCTCTTGCGCCGACTGAGTCTGCGACGCCGGCGCTTAAACCTGCACCTGTTGCACCTGGCGCACCTGCTCCGAAGGCTTTGGCACCCCCCGCCGCAGCCTTCAACACCCGCCCCGGCTGCACCTGTGGCACCTGCCATGGGCAGGTCTAATCGAAATGAGACGCGTGTTCAGATGAGTGCTCTGAAGGTCCGTCTTTCGCAGAGACTTAAGGATACGCAAAACAGCGCCGCCATGCTGTCTACATTCCAAGAATGTGACCTGAGCAATCTGATTGCTCTACGCGAAGAGCTGGGTGAGAGTTTCGAGAAGACTCATGGTGTGAAGATTGGCATCATGTCATCTTTTCTCAAGGCGAGTGCACAAGCGCTCCTGCGCATTCCTGCGGCAAACTCATGTACGTTATGATTGTTGTTTGGTGCGGCGTTGTTTTTACGTGTGTATGCATGGTCAATTATCTTAGACATCGACATGGATGCCAAGGAAGTCGTTTACAATGATTTCGTGGACATCAATGTGGCTGTAGCCTCGGAGCGTGGGTGCGTTAATGTAGTTTTGAATGGGTGTGGCCATGTCGCCGTTGACTAACGTGATGTCGTGTTTTGGTTCTTAGGGTTGTAATGCCTGTCATCCGTAATGTTGAAAAGCTGAGCTTGGTGGACATTGAGAAGACGCTGGCTACTTTAGGTAAGCAGGCACGGGACGGCACTTTGGCGCTGGAGGACTTGGCGGGTGGGACCTTCACTGTTTCAAACAGCGGCGTGAATGGAGCGCTGTTGAGCACGTCGATGCTGACGGCACCGCAGTCTGCGGTTCTGAGCGTGCATAGTGTGAAGATGCGCCCAACGGTGCACGCGGGCAAGGTGATGCCGCGCCCCATGATGTTCCTTTCTTTAACGTATGACCACCGCATCATTGATGGACGAGAAGGTGTGACTCTACTAAAGACAATCGCTGAGACCATCAGTGACCCGCGTCGCCTGCTTTTGGACATTTAGTAAAATCACGTACCTCTTGAGAGCGAGCTTGTGAAAAGGTTGAACACAGAGAAGAATGAATGAAAGGACTTCCATGTTCTCTAGATGGACGGGTTGTTGTTACAGCAGACACCTCAGCCAGTAGAGCAATTGGACTAGGATGTTGTCCGGCGGATGTGACGAAGTGCCGGCGCTGGCGCAAACGCGGTCAGCCCCTCTTTTACAAAGCCAGCTTCGCTTTTCTCTTGTATCTCTCATCGTGCTTTATTCACAACTAGTACTGTTTTACATGCAAAAGATCGTCAACTTGCCTCCATCATGGCAGCAGCAGCTCGTTCGGCCAGCCGAAGCATTTCGTCGAGGTTCTGCAGGTTTTGCATGAAGGAAATCTCTTTCTCTTCATCTTCGTCGATACCGTCGTTAGCAACGCACTCAATTAGTCCATCGGTAGCGAAATCAGCTGCCGCATTTGCTTCATCCATCCATACGTATGCACATTCATCAGACTTCAAAGCGTCGTCCGCTGGAGTCACGTCCTCGCTGTCACTAGTGCTCTGCGTAGCCGTTCCAACATCCTCAACATGTTCGTTCGCATCTTGACCATGCTCAGCAGACTCTGTGTCCTCGTCGTCCAACCCGACTGCGGCTTCGATCGCCACAGATCTCTCGTCCAGTTCGTCGGCCAAATCAACTTCGGACACAGAATGCCTTCTTTCAATCTCAATGAAAGGAGGCGATTCAACACTTGCTACTTCATCCATTTCGTTGGCAGCCTCCTCCTCCTTCTCCACTTCAGCCTCGGACGGCAAACCCGACTCCTCACCAGCCGCCTCAATATCCGTTGAAGTGCCCGCAGCTTCTTCAACGCCCTCCTGCAAGTCAAAGTCTTGATTCGACAAGTCTTCGGTCCATTCAGGCACTACCGTATCTTCATTCGGTACACCAACGGCGTACTCTTCTAGCTCCAGCTTGCTCGCTATCTTTATCTCGTCAGGAATGACCACCCCGTCTCCAGCTTCTTCGAATTTCTCCTCAAGCACATTCTCATCATCAACGTTATTTGACATGGGTTCCTCCATTTCAGCATGAGATACCGTTTCGTCATGATCATTAATACCCTCCTCTTCGGTTACCCCATATCCACCGTCCGACGAACAAGCAGTGCCCTCCTCACTCACAATTGCATCCGCAACAACGCCCCTCGAGTTGAATGACAGCTCAACAACAGACTTCGCCAGGACAAACTCTTCATCCGTCACCATGTTGACATCATTTTCGACGGATAAAAACCCTACCTCTTCGTCAAACGTCGTCTCCGTCTCCTGAGCTTCAAATTCAGGTGCAGGTAGATGATCCAACTCCTCTGTGTCAGTCTCCAACTCACCTCCTTCATTCAGCGAGCTGCCAGCAATCTCCTCACCGACTGACATCAGCTCCCGCTCGTTGACATCGATCGGATTTGGCAACTCGCTTTCCTCTGCCACATATTCGAAGTCGGAGCTCAACTCAGCTGAAGGCTCTACCTCTAAGACTTCAGCGCTTGTTTGCTCCTCTTCGACATTCTCTGCCTCCGCCTCAGTTTCAAACACCTTCCTCGCTGTGCCATCGTCTGACTCCACATTCATCACTTCCACATCAGCGTCGGCAAATGTACTCGTTAGCGAAGCAAGGTCCTCGTCAACATCGCTCATCACTGATGCAATATTGACCCTCCAATGCACCAACAAAAACATCATCAAGCTCATCTTCACCCCTAGCTGCCTCCATCTCCATCTCCGCGCTAAAAGCAGACAGCGCTTGCCCGTCACCGAACAACGGCTCTGACTTTTTGTCCATGAACAAACTAATATCCAATGACAAGTCCAACACAGGCTTTGTGTAACTGTCATAAACCTCTTGCGACGGTACTTGTTCCTTCACAGTCGCCACCCACGGTACACCAAACGATTCAGGCGTAAACGGAACCAGTCTCACCAAGTTGACAAAGCTTGCACACGAAAAGGTCCCAAACACCGCACTTTCGCGCGCCTTCCACTCGGAGCAAAAACAAGCGTCCGGATGTGACTGGCTCACGTAAGCAGGTATGCGCTCGTACGTAAAAGTATCCAGCTCCTTCTTCAGCGGCAGACAATCGTCAGCAGCTTCCAACTCTTGCTCCTCACTGTCAAAAGCATGGCACCCCCACGCATCCAACACGACAAAGCTGACAAAAACAGCTCCAAACGAGAAGTACAGCAGCAGTGACAGCCAAAACAGCAGCGAGATCGTACGAATGAAACAGCCGCGCTTCTTCCCGACACCCTTATGACCCATGCTGGTACGGTTCGCACGCTCCAGAACGTCCAAATTCTCTTCCAACCGTTTTACGCTCAGTGCTCCATACTTCCCCTTCAGCAAACCAACAAGCTCACGCTCCTTACCGGCGTACTGTTTCGCGACAATAGAGACGTTTTTCAGCTTATCAGGTTGGTGCTTCTTGTACAGCTCCTTCAGCAAACCCTCCAAGGTCACAGCAGGACGTTTGGCATCTGGACGTGCGGCATCAGTATGTGTCTGGCTATGACCAGACGATTGATGACGCTGGCGAAGCCCCAAAGACGCAGCGTTGCTGTTATCCATTCCAGTCTGAGGACGGGGAGGCAACTGGTTGAATTGACCAGGCGGCTCTCCATGTCGAGTCATTAGAACAGGCTTACTCGTGAACGTGGAGTCACCCGTGCCAACAGCAGTCGCACTGTCTTCTTTGCCAGTCTCTTGCAAGTTTGAAAACAACGGTGGAGAGCTAGAAAGAGAAAGCATGTGGCCTCCGGACTGACGCTTCTGAGGTGAACTTGCCGAGTCTGCAGACATTCTTTCGCCCCGAGTTGAAGATCTATCACCTTCTTCGGCAACCTGTTGTGTCTGCGAGCGAGACTCCTCCTTTTCTTGATGTGGGACAGCCGGAAAAGACATTGCAGACATACTGTCTGCATTGCTGGCAGGTATAGGTGGCTGCAAGAACTGTGGATGTCGTGAGTGGACTTGACGCCCTGCCTTTGGATGAGTCGAAGCATCCGACGAGTGCGTTGCGTGATGATCACTGGTGCCACTGCCACGGTTGTTGACAGTAGAAGCATTGCCACCACTTCCATTTTCGAATCGAGTCTTCAACGCTGTCACCTTCGCCGCACCATATCGCTTCGTCAACTCTGCAAACAACCACTTCTCGCGGCCCGCATACCGCTTTCCGTAAACCTTTGCCATCTTCAATCGTTTGTTGTCCACCTCCGTGAAGAAGTCTACTAGCAACATCTCTAAGGACACTGGTGCACTTTGCACATCTTTGCTTGTGTCCCGGAAAGCGAAGGCAGGTTCATCGGGCTGAGCCTGTAACGTCGGAGACGACTGTGAAGAGAAAGTAGTAGGTCGATCAGATGCAGCTAAGTGAGTATCTGGATCGCGTGGCGAGGCATGTACCGGCAACTGCAATGGTAAACTAGTAATATGTTCTACTACGGAAGTAGGAGATGGGTCCTTATTGTCTGTCGAGGTCCGCGCAGCTCTTATTTGCACGTCTTGTTTGTCTGAAAGTCCATTCCACACATGTAAATCACTATCGTGAATAGCGGCTTTTATCTCCTGCTGTTTGCCTCGTTTCTCCCGGATTGGACGTATTGCTTCGACATGGCGCATCGCATCGGATGTCAACGAAAATTCCATCGTCATCGCCTTTTCTGGCATCTTTCCATGAGCTATGTCCTGTGATGTCGGTGGATCAAAGTCAAAGTCTTGCTGAAACGGATGTGGCGGCGACGGGAATAATGAGTCACTCCTTGATACTAAGCCAGAGCTTAGCGTCGCAGACAAACCTTCATGTTGGTCGAGTGGCGCCACCATCGACGCATTTTCCTGCTGCTGCTGTTTTTCGTTTTCTTGAGCAGAACAAACACTTCTTGAATCTTCATGGAAGCCTTGTCCTTTTCGCGAAGACAACAGTACTGACTTTAGCTCGTAATGTCCAATCTTGCTATCAGCAGGCTCTGTGACTGATGTCACCTCAGCGTTGAGTACTGCTGAACCTATCGTAAAGACCGGCGGCAATGTACTCATGGTAGTAGCACCTCCTGAAGCCCATGGATCCCATGGCGGGTGGTTGGGCGATCGTGGCGAAGCAATCGCATACTGAGTGGACTCATCCTGGATAGTCTGGTTAGAGTGTAGAGGGGGTTCTGGAGGCTGATTTTGCTGCAATGGAGGCAGACATGCTTCCACGGTGAGGGATGCAAGCGTTTTTGATGGGGGTGTTTCTGATGAGGGCTTCAACCATTTTACGTCTTCAAGAGGTGTGTGCTGGTCTATTGACCGTGCCTTTGTCTCAATATGTAAATCAGCTTCTTCCTCAATTCGTGGAAGCTCATCGATAGAAAAGACGTTTCTTCGACAAGGTTTCGTCCTTTGTTGAGTCGCCTCTGCCTTCTTTAGCTTGGCTGCAAGTTCGCGAATACGTTGCTCCTTTTCGTCTAATTTCCGTAGCGATCGCTTACGATCTCGCTCTACCTCCTTCATTGTGCGTTGTAATTCGTTCAGCTTCGACAGCGACTGGTTCAGCTCCTCTTGTGTATGACGCTTTGTATTTAACAACTGTTTACGCAGACTCGCCTCTGATATTTTCAGTTCATGCAGGTAGGTCAGCATATTATTCACACTTTTGTACGTAGGTTGCAGCTTGGACACAATCAATTCGCCACCCCGAGATGAGCGTCTTTTAGTAAGCAAATTCTTGTGTCGATTCGCATCAACGTCACCAAAAGTTGACGGACACGATCGTGGTCCACTCTCTTTGTCATCGTACACTGAAGAGCTTGTTGCAAACAAATCCGCCGAGCTATTTGCTCGAGAGCAAGAGCTTGCTCGACTGTCACAATTTCTTGACAAGTCCATCCTCACGTGTTGAGCTTCATTTTGTCCCCATTGATTATTGAGCTTTGTATACGTTGATCGATCTTGTAAACTACGTGGAGATTGTAACGATACATCCGTGGCAATTGTACAGTCAAGCGAAGATGAAGAAACGTTTGACAATGGTTCTGCTGTTTGTCCGACTGTAACAGTAGCTGCTACGTCACTCTCACTACTGCTACCAGATAAAGAAGGGGACGCATACTCTTGATGTTGAGTATAGACTAAAGACTATATAACGCATTCAGAGTATAATAACAGTAGTAGTAGTAGTAGTTAATGGATGTAGTAATCATTACAATACAATCTAAAGTGACGTACATGGTGTCGTCCGCTCGCTTGATTCGATCTTGAATTGTTTCGACAAGCATCAGATGTCCCTGAATAACCACTAGAGATTGTATTGGATGAAGAAAGTAGTGATTGTAATGTCGTTGGACTAGTGTCATTGTTGCTATTGTCAGTCTTAAGCTGATTAAGCCCAGAGAAGCTCTTCAGTCTACTACTCTTCTCCATTATAAGAATGTGTACAATTGCAAACGCTGCAGTCTTTTCATAACATAAATGTATCCATCTACGACTTCAACATCAGTTAGTTCTTGTCATCTACTTATTTTGTTTCGCAATCATATGAGCAGGTCAAGCTCTATTGAGAATTTGCGTCAAAACAAAGAGAGCTAACACATCTCGTCTTTCTAGGCAGAACTATTACGACAATAATCTTAAAGCTCGTCATCTACTTTGTACTCGCTCTCCATGTTCAAGATAGGTGAAGCTATCTTAGCTGCTTCAAATGGTTCCACAAGCCGTGCAAGTACCTCGTTCATAGCAGAGACAAAACCGTTATTTGCCTCCTCTTCAATAACAGGAGCTGACGACTCGTCGACGGCTACCTGCAGCTCAGTTGCCATATCGTCGACGGCTATCTGCAACTCTGTTGTCACATCGCCGACGGCTGTGAGTCCATCAACTTGCGACAAATCCTCATGATCATCGATTGCATTGAATTGGTCAGTTGCCGGAGCCACTTCTAACACAGCAGCCTCTGCTTCGTCGCTCATATAAGTTTCTTCATCGACGATGCCCACATTACCTTCATCACCAGCAATAGAAACCTCTTCAAGAGGCTCGGACTCATCAGTCACCGGACTACTTCCTTCTACCAAAGACAAATCATCATCCTTGGTATCCACGACATGACCATTCACTTCTTGAGCGTGCTCAGCAGACTCTGTGTCCTCGTCGTCCAACCCGACTGCGGCTTCGATCGCCACAGATCTCTCGTCCAGTTCGTCGGCCAAATCAACTTCGGACACAGAATGCCTTCTTTCAATCTCATTGAAAGGAGGCGATTCAACACTTGCTACTTCATCCATTTCGTTGGCAGCCTCCTCCTCCTTCTCCACTTCAGCCTCGGACGGCAAACCCGACTCCTCACCAGCCGCCTCAATATCCGTTAAAGTGCCCGCAGCTTCTTCAACGCCCTCCTGCAAGTCAAAGTCTTGATTCGACAAGTCTTCGGTCCATTCAGGCACTACCGTATCTTCATTCGGTACACCAACGGCGTACTCTTCTAGCTCCAGCTTGCTCGCTATCTTTATCTCGTCAGGAATGACCACCCCGTCTCCAGCTTCTTCGAATTTCTCCTCAAGCACATTCTCATCATCAACGTTATTTGACATGGGTTCCTCCATTTCAGCATGAGATACCGTTTCGTCATGATCATTAATACCCTCCTCTTCGGTTACCCCATATCCACCGTCCGACGAACAAGCAGTGCCCTCCTCACTCACAATTGCATCCGCAACAACGCCCCTCGAGTTGAATGACAGCTCAACAACAGATTTCGGCAGGACAAACTCTTCATCCGTCACCATGTTGACATCATTTTCGACGGATAAAAACCCTACCTCTTCGTCAAACGTCGTCTCCGTCTCCTGAGCTTCAAATTCAGGTGCAGGTAGATGATCCAACTCCTCTGTGTCAGTCTCCAACTCACCTCCTTCATTCAGCGAGCTGCCAGCAATCTCCTCACCGACTGACATCAGCTCCCGCTCGTTGACATCGATCGGATTTGGCAACTCGCTTTCCTCTGCCACATATTCGAAGTCGGAGCTCAACTCAGCTGAAGGCTCTACCTCTAAGACTTCAGCGCTTGTTTGCTCCTCTTCGACATTCTCTGCCTCCGCCTCAGTTTCAAACACCTTCCTCGCTGTGCCATCGTCTGACTCCACATTCATCACTTCCACATCAGCGTCGGCAAATGTACTCGTTAGCGAAGCAAGGTCCTCGTCAACATCGCTCATCACTGATGCAATATTACCCTCCAATGCACCAACAAAAACATCATCAAGCTCATCTTCACCCCTAGCTGCCTCCATCTCCATCTCCGCGCTAAAAGCAGACAGCGCTTGCCCGTCACCGAGCAACGGCTCTGACTTCTGGTCCACAAACAATATTGGCACCTCAGCAGACAGTGTTTTCAGCGCTTCGTATGTTTCTGTCTCGGGATAAGACAAGTCGACACCCTCTTGACGTACTTCCACCTCCACAATACCGCCCGATTCCGCCACAGCATCTACAAATGATGCATCTTCAGACAACACTTCTTCATATAACACTTCATCGTTCACTTCCACTGCAGCTTCATCAGATACTTCCTCAACATCGTTCAAAGAAATCTTCTCCGCTGCGACATTCACTTCTTCGGTCTCGGTAAAAGCAGACAATCCGTCATCGGCATCACGAACCAATTCAACATCTCCTGTCAGGGTGCTAACCGAGTCGTCTTCGGTCCAAGTCTCCTCGACTTCGACCGCATTGGACAAATCCTGCTCGCTGGAATCGGTCAGCTCAGACGCTTCAACTGGCACAGCATCTTCTAGCTCCACGTTGTTGATCAGTTCAATCGTAGCATGCTCCACTACCTCTGTTTCGATAAAAAATGACGAGCCCTCTTCCTTCGCAAGTTTCATATCTTCGCTATCAGAAACCACATCCTCATCCTCCGCCAACACATTGTCCGTTATGTCAGTCGGAGGGTCGTTCATCGAAGGACCAGTAGGCGCAGAATAATCAGCTTTGAGCTTTTCGGCAAAAGTATCCACGTCCTCTTCAACTCGGGCTTGCTCCAACACACCGAGCCCTGCCCCAACAGCTTCATCCTCAACCTCCTCTGTTACTAGAATAGCGTCATTCACGTCGTCGGGAAAACGTCCATTGCCCACATCAGCCGTTTGCTCAACCAAACCTTGATGCGCATCACCAGCACTATCTTCGGCAGCCAAAGATGCAGCTTTGCCGTCAGAATGAGCCACAGCATTCTTCACAATCGTAGACTTCTCCAAAGCTTCATTATACCCTGCCAGGTCAAGAACAGATGTCCACATGAATAAACTAATATCCAATGACAAGTCCAACACAGGCTTTGTGTAACTGTCATAAACCTCTTGCGACGGTACTTGTTCCTTCACAGTCGCCACCCACGGTACACCAAACGATTCAGGCGTAAACGGAACCAGTCTCACCAAGTTGACAAAGCTTGCACACGAAAAGGTCCCAAACACCGCACTTTCGCGCGCCTTCCACTCGGAGCAAAAACAAGCGTCCGGATGTGACTGGCTCATGTAAGCAGGTATGCGCTCGTACGTAAAAGTATCCAGCTCCTTCTTCAGCGGCAGACAATCGTCAGCAGCTTCCAACTCTTGCTCCTCACTGTCAAAAGCATGGCACCCCCACGCATCCAACACGACAAAGCTGACAAAAACAGCTCCAAACGAGAAGTACAGCAGCAGTGACAGCCAAAACAGCAGCGAGATCGTACGAATGAAACAGCCGCGCTTCTTCCCGACACCCTTATGACCCATGCTGGCACGGTTCGCACGCTCCAGAACGTCCAAATTCTCTTCCAACCGTTTTACGCTCAGTGCTCCATACTTCCCCTTCAGCAAACCAACAAGCTCACGCTCCCTACCGGCGTACTGTTTCGCAACAATAGAGACGTTTTTCAGCTTATCAGGTTGGTGCTTCTTGTACAGCTCCTTCAGCAAACCCTCCAAGGTCACAGCAGGGCGTTTGGCATCTGGACGTGCGGCATCAGTATGTGTCTGGCTATGACCAGACGATTGATGACGCTGGCGAAGCCCCAAAGACGCAGCGTTGCTGTTATCCATTCCAGTCTGAGGACGGGGAGGCAACTGGTTGAATTGACCAGGCGGCTCTCCATGTCGAGTCATTAGAGCAGGCTTACTCGTGAACGTGGAGTCACCCGTGCCAACAGCAGTCGCACTGTCTTCTTTGCCAGTCTCTTGCAAGTTTGAAAACAACGGTGGAGAGCTAGAAAGAGAAAGCATGTGGCCTCCGGACTGACGCTTCTGAGGTGAACTTGCCGAGTCTGCAGACATTCTTGCGCCCCGAGTTGAAGATCTATCACCTTCTTCGGCAACCTGTTGTGTCTGCGAGCAAGACTCCTCCTTTTCTTGATGTGGGACAGCCGGAAAAGACATTGCAGACATACTGTCTGCATTGCTGGCAGGTATAGGTGGCTGCAAGAACTGTGGATGTCGTGAGTGGACTTGACGCCCTGCCTTTGGATGAGTCGAAGCATCCGACGAGTGCGTTGCGTGATGATCACTGGTGCCACTGCCACGGTTGTTGACAGTAGAAGCATTGCCACCACTTCCATTTTCGAATCGAGCCTTCAACGCTGTCACCTTCGCCGCACCATATCGCTTCGTCAACTCTGCAAACAACCATTTCTCGCGGCCCGCATACCGCTTTCCGTAAACCTTTGCCATCTTCAATCGTTTGTTGTCCGCCTCCGTGAAGAAGTCTACTAGCAGCGTCTCTAGAGACACATGCTCTACTGGATCAGCTGCGCTCTCAATCTGTGCAGAAGCAGGTCTGAACGTCTGAATATCAGAGGTTGGGAGAGGTAGATGTGAAGATGAACCTGGTGGCACAACGTTGACAGTCCTTGCAACCACATCTTCTGCTACACAAGACTCTTGCACGCACGATGCGACTTGAGTGCCATCGATAAAACCTGTAGGCACCTCAGACTCCTCGTATTGAGGTTGAGCGTTCTTTACCGACACCTGAGAGGGCGGCAAGACTGATGTATACTCGGCAGGTATTGATAAAGCAGGCGGTGCTTTCTCCTTGATGCTTGTCCCCTCCGCACTAACAAAAGACAAGGCCGAAGTTGTAGACCGCCGCCCTTCTTGCAGATCTTGATACTCATTACTTCTCGTATGAATCGCATTTATCATGTTGCCATCCGTCCCAACAACCCGAATATCCTCATGTTCCAATGGATTTGCAGGAGATAGGGACGTCATTGCAACAGGAAGCATTGAAACAGCTTGAGATGGATATTGCATAAGTGGAGCCACATCTTCGCTCCGCATAGTACGAGCGGCATTTAATTTTCCCGTCGACGCATAAGTCTGCTCATGCGAGTACGTTGGCGACGGCATCGCCCCCATATTAAACATTGCAGCAGGGCTTTGCTGTATAAACTCTTGTTGTGTGCCGGGAGCCACCGTAACATCGTTCTGCTCCATGTGCTGCACAGAATTACCATTTCCAAAAGCTTCAATCTGGACCTTTTCCTGGCGCGGAGACGACAATACTGACTTAAGCTCGTAATCTCCAACAGAAGTCGGGTTTAGGTCTGTCGACATCTGATCACTTGGTGTGGACGAAGACACCACTGGATCTAATCCTGTCGACCCTATTGTAAATACAGGTGGAAGGCTCTTCGCCAAATTCGCACCTCCTGATACCCATGGATCCCAAAGTGGTCGGTTTGGTGATCGAGGTGATGCGAGTCCAAACCCGGCAGCGCTGTTATTTTCCTGTACCTGGCTATGGTACAAGGGGATATTGGAGATTGCTGTTCATTGCGCTATTGCTTCCTGTGCTGCTATGGTGCACAGGGGATATTGGAAACTGCTGTTGCTGCATTGCGGGAGTTGAGATCGAAACGTCGAGGTCATTCTTTTCAGCTATCATAGTCGAAATCCCAATCTCTGTTTGTGAGCTTGCTTCTTCGGCGATCGCTGGAAGCTCATTAATAGTGGAGACAGCGCTAATCTTGGACTTAGCAGCCTCGGCCTGTTTCAACTTGGCGGCAAGATCGCGAATAAGTTGTTCCTGTTCCTCCAGCTTCCGCCGCGCAAGCTCGCGATCTCGTTCCACTTCCTGCACAGTTCGTTCTAACTCGTTCACCTTTGACAACGAATGAGTCAACTCCTCCTCTGTATGCTGTTTATTTTTCATCAACTGCTTACGTAAAGTTGCCTCCGACAATTGCAGCTCTCGCACATAGCCCATGAGGCTGTCCACACTACTACGCGTGGGCAGCAGCTTCGACGCAATCAACTCATTGCTTCGCAATTGACGTAGTTTGTCAATCGAAAACTGGGGCTGTCTCGTATTATTAAACAATGATGGGCACGATTGTGGACCATTCTTTTCCTCGTCATACACTGGAGAAGATGTGGCTGCAAACAAATTGTCTGTACTATTGGTACGAGAACTTACATGACTGCTCGCATTGATTCCATCATCACAGTCCAGTGTAGAATTGCACAGCGATATCTTACGTGGTTGTACATCGGCCATACCCGTCACCTTCCTCTCAGCAGCAGCATGTAGTTTAGTTCCAACTGGTGTCCCAAAGAGTGATGCCGCTGAAGCAACGTCCTGTTGATCTGTAGATGCTGCTTCTTCTCTCGCTACAACCGACGAAGCCCAGCTCAATCTCGTCACCTGCTCCTGTTCATTGTGCACTGTGGTACAACCTCCACTCGACTCAATCTCACTGCCACTCCAGCTCACATTGCTGTCAATGGATGAAGACGACGGACGTTTGCGGTGTTTACCATATAGTGGTGACTGCTTACACGAAAAATATACGTATAAGTCCCTTCTATCAACAAGTGTTTAACCAATTACTAGACTCGTACGTACATTATGACGTCCTCCAACTCGCTCCGGTCGCCATTTCCGTGTAGTAACGCCAGTATTTGTGTTAACAGGCGTTGACAAGCCAACTGACTGTGGTACGTGAGGAGAAGAAGAAGGAGGAGGAAATACGCTCTGATTGGTAGCTATGGATCGTGGAGAAGCAACATGTCGATTGACAGACCCTCTTCGATGCGTGAATGGCTGTGGAGTGGCCGTAATAGCGATAGGGGGACCGCCAAACGTCCGTTTCCTTTCCATGGATTCTTGAATATTGGGTGCGGAATGACAGCCACGTGCTCGTTTGGTGGTACAGTGTGTATGCTGAACCCTCATATTGTCTAGAGGCACCGTCGCATTCATAATGTTGACCACATAACGCGGGAGATCACTCCCGCCAAAACGATTCGAACAACATTATGGCTCGAACCAAACGTATGCAGGTATCCATCGAAGCATTCGTGGGCTCCGATTCCACCACACGCGTAGCTGAAGATGTACAGTTTAAAGTACCTTTCCTGCCATTGACGTCTCCACAAGAACCAACACCTGCAGCTTTCCGTGCAAATGTACCGCTCTATGAGCACCAACGTCGCTCACTGCACCGCATGCTGCAGATCGAGACACGTGACGAGAGCGTGGCTAAGTTCAACTTTGGTGTATTGGACTATTTCTCCAAAGGCGGATGTCTGGCTGACGCTATTGGTATGGGTAAGACGGCCACGATGCTTGCGCTTATTGTAGGGGAACCGCGAGATTATGCGATCGGTGCCAATTTGCTCATTGCACCGTCGCATTTACTTGCGCAATGGAAACATGAGGTGGAAAAATTCGTAAAGAAGGAAGAGATTGACGTAGTGCTGGGTCTGAGACAATATTTGGAGCTGGTGGAGAACCCGGCGGCAAGAGCAGATATCTCAAACCGGATGCTGGTGCTTGTGGGTGTCGAAGAAGCTATCAAGTCAAGGAACCACTACTACCAAAACGGAAAACTATACCCAACGAAGGAAAAGGGGAAGCGTAAGCCTTTGTCTGTAGATCCCGCTGCGTTGCAAGAGTACGTGGAAGCAGCCAAGTTTGTGAACAAAGCCTATTGCGGACCTTTGTGGGTAACCCCGTTGCATCTGCCACAGAAACCGTGGAGACGGGTAATTTTTGAAGAAGTGCAAGACTTGGTGCTGCCTGGAAAGAGCGCAAGAGACTGCTTCATTCAGCTCACGCATCGGTGCTTAAATGTGTGGCTGATTACCGCAACGCCCTTTTCTGGCAAAGGAGAGTCAATGTACGCAAATAATCAATTGCTGGGGTTCAAAAGGCTACGGTTGCTACCACACGACCCAGCATTTGATGAAATCAAACGGAAATTGTACCTTCGAAACTGTGCACAGGTGAAGCAACAAGCAATCACCGATAAGATTAAGGTCGACGAAACGTACATCCCTGTAAAGCTGCACCCCAAGGAGTTGCTGCTGTACAAGATTGAGCAGCTCCTTGCCGCAAAACAATTCGAATACAACGTCTTTGCTCTTGGTGATGTTGATGTATTGGCGGCAGGTGGAAAAGAGGGTACCACCACTACAGTTGTTCCAAAGAAGTCATTAGGAAGCGGTAAGGATTCGCAGCTAGGGTTGCAATGGACAGAGCAGTACCATTGCGCACGCCAAAGTTGTGTGCACGCTGGCATTTCGGATCGAGTACTTGACCGCGAGCGTGGAGGCAAGCATAACAACTCGATGGGCAGCCCGACACCAACGCTGGTCAAAATTAAGAGTCCGAGTGAAGTGTTTCGTGACGAAGATTATCACATGAAACGTCAATTGGCTGTAGCGACCAAACGGAAAAACGAAGTGAATGTGGTGGAGGCTGCAACGCGTAACACAGTTGACATCTGTTGTGCAATTTGCTTAAACGCGTATGCCGATGTGCAAGAATGCTTTCAAGACTTGGAGAGGTCTGGTCTAAGCAAATTCTTCAATGAAAGCGGAGAGACTGTCGCTGGCTTCCGCATGCTTTACAAGCACTATCAGTTTAGTGACGACATACCAGAGCCGACGGAGCTGCTACTGTACCACGAAAATGAGATTGAAGACTATATGCTGAAACATTTTCGCACGATAGACAAGGTAGAAAAACTCGCCAAGATTATGGAATCTACTTTGAACGAACGGTGTCCACGCGCACGTGATGTTGTTGAAAAGCAGTTTAAACAGGTTAGTGACTGTGTGGCGCTTATTAGCTCAACGAAGGTTTGTAAAGATGAAGCCGTCGAGAAAATGCCAGTATATGGCAGCAAAATATCTGCGCTTGTACAATACTTGAGCCGCCGGCCAACAATTAAAGTTGTGGTCTTCACGATGTGGAATCAAGCACTGCGAGTTGTAGAAACGGCACTTCGTCTGGCAAACATCACAAGTGCTGTGTTTCTCCAGCATCAGTCAAGTGAGACCAAGTCTGCACACGTCGCATCTTTTCACAGTGGAGACATTCAGGTTCTTATCTTGAACTCGCTTACAAGTGCGTCTGGAATCAACTTGCAAGTGGCATCTCATGTCATTTTCTTAGACCCGGTCGGATTCAGTCCCATGCAAGCCAGTGCACTGGAACAACAGGCTATTGGTCGTGTGCTGCGAATGGGTCAAAGAAACAATCTCGTGACTGTCGTCCGGCTCGTTGCTGAGGACACGATGGAGGCTACACTGTACAATGATATTCACGTAGCAACAACGAAGGCCATTGCAGCAGATAACTCCTTCTTTAATGGAGAACGGGAGGACGCATACGTTTGTACCGACTTTGCAGCACCAGTCCGACGAGTAGCGCGTATGTTTGCCCCATCTTCAGATGGAGCTCAGTCATTCGATGAGGAATTTGAGATTGAGGGATCTATGTCAATTGAAGAAGCCATTACTCATCGGATAGAGCAGGCTGTGGCAGAAGGCAACGTCTTTAATCTTACGGAAGATGCACCAATGGACTTGAAGCAGCAGCTGGATGCAGCTCGAGTCGTCTCACATCAACGCAAGAAGCGTCGGACTCGTGAAAGGCCTGTCACGGTCGGAGCAGGAACTATTGATAGTGGAAACGTCGTTGTCAAAAACGAACCACAGCGTGTTTGGAGATGCTGACGTTGCCAGGCACTTCAGCACTTTCGACCGCCTCATCTCGTATATGAAGTGCTCACATGTTCATAGTTTTGCGTAGCACTCACGCTGCGAAACACTTGGAGCCCTTTCTTGTCTGAGTATATAAAAGTAAATTAAGTGCACTTCAACAACAACAAAAGTGCAAGTATCAAACGACCATCAGGTATACTACGTAACTTACCGATGTTGTATACATACAATTAGAGCCTGCAAAGATTGAGCTGCTGCAATTTCTGTCTTGATCTTGCTCGTGAGGTAGCGGCATGCACATTTAATTGCCAGACACGACCGCAGACTGTAAACATCCATCATCATGTATCCTACGACAAATAGACGACATTACAAGACATGACATGATAGAGACACGGATAACAAACATCAAGCTTGTAGCCAACTTGCGAAAGAAAAGAATGAGCTTCGTTTAATTATCAATGTAAGCAAACGTATTTGCATCAAATAGATGCCATAGTCGCTTATCACGCCGCCATCGTTTTCGCACAGCACAACCGTACAGAGTAGTACAGCGACTTGTTCGCTGCTTAGAGCTCACCACAGTTGTCTATAACGACGGGTTTCTTGGTTTGGCCCGACCGCGAGCCAACTCCTTCAATGTTCTTAACCACATCCATGCCGTCGACGACACGACCAAAAACCACGTGCTTTCCATCCAACCACGACGTCTCGACCGTGCAAATGAAAAACTGTGAGCCATTCGTGTTGGGACCAGCATTCGCCATGGATAAAATACCTTCACCCTTATGCTTGAGCAAAAAGTTTTCATCCGGAAACTTCTCACCATAAATGGATTCACCTCCCGTACCATTACCACGAGTAAAGTCACCACCTTGACACATAAAATCAGGAATTACACGGTGAAATGAACTGCCCTTGTAATGCAATGGTTTGCCTGAACGGCCAATTCCTTTCTCACCCGTGCACAAAGCACGAAAGTTTTCAGCTGTCTTTGGTACTTTATCAGCAAAGAGTTCAAATGTAATACGCCCAGCAGGAGTTCCGCCAACTGACATATCAAAGAAAACATGTGGATTTGGCATTGTTACACAACGTGATTGATCTCGTAGTCTTCTGGTGCTTGCGACTTGGGGAATGAATGGATTGTATCAAGAGGAAAAAGAGGGGGGAGTAGTTGTCATCATAAAACCTCTTGGCTAACGTATGAATGAAAAAACCTCATGAAAGATATGATGGAAACCTTTATAAATGGATTGTCGTTTTATACAGGGATTCCAAGTCTTTTTTTGATTGGATACCATTCACTTCTACATCATCTGATGACGTCAGAAACTGACCAAAGAAGATATTCCTGCCCTTCCGTCGGTAGCTCGATAGAATTTGTAACGGCTCTCAATGAAAGTTTCCAGTATGTGGATCCACATTAATGACACGACAACGACTACATGGACCCTTGATCTCAAAGATACCGTTGTCAATATGTATCCGTTGCCATTGATCTTCCTCAAAGGACTCGGAGCATCCGGCCACAATGAGATTAGCTCGTCTTCACTGATACTCATCGACCTATCAACAGTAGCAAGCACGAAGTTGAATGAGCAATGCGCGCGAAATGAGCAAATATTGCGCTTGATTGGCGAACCCGATTGACGGAACGTGTGGTACTTGATCGTCCTTTGATTCAAAAAGCTCATGGCTCTCGGATAATCTCTCTTATTGTATCACAATGACGTGAGTAGTCTGCTGTGATGTACGAAGATGATTGCTCGACACGCGCGCGAGCTTGCATGACCAACCAAGACACAAGCTAAGCCATTCAGAAACGTTGGAACCTACGTCGCACCCCCTGCACATGTCAGCGCAAACACGCATGCTACAACGATTGTCTTCCTCTTGACGCTCTTTAATGGAGCTGTCTGCACGCAAAGGTATTGTAAATGACGACGGTGGAGATCGTGACGACAATGTTGCAGATTGCCGTGACGTCGAGTTATTGGGGATGCGATACGAAATTGTCAGTGTTTGCCGTCCTAAATTGAGGACAGGGAACAACAAAGCTCTGGTAACACCTTGAGTGTTAATACACTAGCCGTCGATGAATCCATGATCGCAAATTCTCGGTCAAATAGCAGCCCTCTTGATCCAATAAGCCATGCATCGACGACCATTCCTGAGCATGATTTGACTGGGAATAGTGTGATTTTACAGAGGCGTGGTATCGTTAGTACAGATCCTGGAGAATGAGACGCCGATGATGAGCTTAGAGCTGGAACTGCGGGCGTAATTCTGCACACAAAGTACTTGGATACGAACTCCAAAAAAGCTGCGATATCTTCAAATGTTGTCATGTGTATCCCAAAGATAATCGAACAGCACCAGTGGGTAATCCATGCACCACATCCACGTCGTCACCACAGACATGACCAACCGCAATGTTCAGCATTAAGTCGAGCTCACTAAGGCCGAGATAGTGCTGGCATGCGCCTGGAGTGCAGAAACAGCCTGTCCGCAAATGGATATTGTGGATCTCCGCTAGCTTGTGAACTTCGCTGTATCCGACGTAGCTGGCATCTGAGCGAAGAAAATTGCAAGCAACATTTGGTCCCTGTTGTTCAGCGTTACTCCTGCCGCTGTCGTTGCCATAAACAACGCAGATCGGCCGCCCATTCCAGTGCTGCAAACCGGCTAGCCTGTCAACAAGCAGCGCTCTTAAAGCTTCAGTATGAGCTGAAATGTTCGCCATTCCCAGCTTCTCTACCTGATGAATTCCGTGACGCAAGGCAAGGATTGACAGGAACGACTGCGTTCCATCAACAAAACGAGAGCTGACGTCGTTACTGTTGTCCATCCCACGCGGAACAACATAGTTTCGGCCAGCTAAAATGCTTTGCACGGTCCCACCGCCATGGTAGAGCTTTTTCAAATAAGACATAGCAGATTTGCGCATCACTAACGCTCCAAGTCCTGTCGGATACCCGAAAATCTTGTAGAATGAAAGCGTCACGAAATCTGGGTGGCACGTAGAGAGATCGAGACGGTGTGTCGCAACGTATTTAGCTGCATCAGTTAGTACAAGCCATCGTGTGTCCTTGCTTGATGAGTTGTTCCAGCAGCCAGCATGCACTTGATTCACAATAGCATTTCGATTATTCCGAGTGACGCTGAAGTTACACTCAGCAGGGAATGCAAACAAACTTATGGAAGAGGTTGCTGAAGGCTCACTAGAACGATCGCACATAGTACCAGCTACGACTTGTCGGTTCACATGAGCATTTTGCTCGCTCAAGTTCATTTAGTTGAACACTTTGTATCGTCGCTTCACGTGCTGCCGCATATTCTCGGATCCCAAAGACGCTCGTGTGTGAGTCCATGGCATGAGCAAATGTGCTGCCTTTACTCCATGGAAAGTTTTCCCCGAAAAGCTTCAATGCTGCCGTTGCCCCCGATGTAAGACGATTGTGTATTCGTCGTCACTAGCCGACAGGTACGTTAGTACCTGACGTTGAATCTGTTCAATCTTGGCACTTGTTGAATCTACTTGCGCATGACCAATTGCGCTATGTGGGTTGGTGAATAACCCCTCTTGTAGCTCTCGGAATATCGCGTCCACCTGAGTCTTTGAGTACATTGTTGCACCGGCGTGATCCAAATACACACTCATAAACTTGCAGCTACGTATGACCTCCATATCCGTACGCGCCATTGCTCTCGGCCACAAACGCTGCCTTGGACACATTGATAGCTACAGGATTCTTCTTGGTATCTGTGGTGGTTTGACTAGATGAAGACATTATTGACACAGAAGAAGAAGAATGATGCGACGATTCAGACCGTTGAATGTCAATCACCGAGACTGTAGACTGATCCCTTTGACACTCAGGCAGACTACACATGCAATTAAACTCACATACAGATGCTATGCAAGAGATTTGATTGATATCCTATGGAAGCTCTTATTGTGACTGCAGTGGACGTAGATAAGATCGATGGACGCGAGAGGAGGATACATCAGAGATTTCTTGCTCAAATCATTCTCATTGACGCTGTCGACCTCATGCTCCGAGCTCGTACGTCTGTCTACCTGTCTGTCACATGAGTTCATGTTTGCTTTCCTCCTTGCTACGACTCGTACTCAATAACATCGTTACAGCTTGCGCGACAGCATGCACAAAGGACTAAACCGCTGTAGTCAACGAGCTGTGACATCGGCGTTCATGGCATCAAAATAGTAAAAATCGGTGCACAACCTGCCGCACCAACGTCAAGGTTTGACATATGGCATAGTATGACATCACTCCGGTAATTAGCGAACTCACAATAAAGGTTAAATGCTACATCTTCCATTTCAATTACACACTGCAGTACATCAATTGTAGATCATCACGTTAATATATAGTCAAAGAGCTTCCTTGTGTCAGTTCCTGTGCCGACGACGTCCACGCTTATGATGCACCACACATACTCAGTTATACCCGGCAGTACAATCGACATAGCATCCTCCACTTCTTCTCTTGACTTCATATCAATGTTGTCACGAAGAACGTCAGTTGCTAGTACACTTCATGAACTAAAGAACTTGCTACATTGCAATGACAGTATCTACGAATGAGGTTGAGCATCTTATAGACACAAACTCGTAATCTTGTTCTATAGACAAAGCAGTTTAGTGACGCAATGACAGCATCACATGGAGAGGTAGAAGCTGCATTTTAGCCATATTTACGTGAATCTTTTCGTATATTTGTGAAAACATGCTACAAAATCAGGAATTAAACTACCGTACATTATATCTCGTAAGAGTTTAGTACAATTACTATCAATAATACTAAGGAAATCTCTTATTACGTGATTATGCGGCATCAACAACCAAAGAAAAAAGCAAGTATGGCAGAGGTAAATGCTGCCAATGACGCCAGTCGCAAGCGCAAACGTCGCAAGAACCGCAAGAATAAGCAGCAGGTACTGCATCAAGGTCACTATGCTGATTCACACTCACCCATTGCGTCTACACCCATAAAGCGCCAGCAGACGAATGCGGCAGGTACATGTAATTGTAGCACCAAATACTAATGATAGGATTGTAACTACTTACATATCTTGGTCACATTTTATCGCAGAGAACGGCGAATACATCAATTCAAAGCACGTGATCCTATCGAAAGCACAAGATTCAGATGTATCGAGGTCTAAAGAGGGGGAAAAGGTTTTCTCACCACGAAAATCACGGAAGGATAACGATCAGGAGCAGGAGAAAGCACGAGGAAAGAAGGCACGAATTAAATTGAATTATGACTCGGTGAATGGGGAGAAGGAAGTGAGTGAGGAAGCTAGCAAGGACGAATTGTTCTCACCAGCACTTAAACCTCCACTAACATCGAGGTCGACGAGCACGTCTCCATTGAACGCTCGAGGACGACTTGAGACAAAGTCTGCAAGCACGCATCCTGACGAGATGATGGAGGAAGAAGCTACAAAAGATGAGGAAGCTGTTGATGCGTTGGATGTTGACATGGTGGATGGAGACGAACAGGAAGAGGAAGACGCCACTCCGCTGGAACAAGAGTTTAATCCGTACGTTAGTGTAGAACGGATTGTTGCAAGTACAAGATTGACACTTTTGGACTTGGTGGGAATCAGGTTCTACTTCATGAAGACCTTACCAAGGTACGAGGATATTGTGCAAGAGAAGCGACCCATTTCGTTACCCGAGAGATCACGCAACGCGCCCAAGATTTGTTTGGTATGTCTTTGTCTGCACCTTTGTTTTTTTGTGATTGTCAATTCAACTCAATTAGCGACGTATTTTTATGATCCTACAGGTTTTAGATTTAGACGAGACTCTTGTGCACTGCAGTGTAGAGGAAGTAAAAGACCCACACTTGCAGTTTCCGGTGCGCTTGATCTGCTTTTGCAAGGCTGATGTCTGTGGTCATCTTGCTAACTCGTGTCGCATCTCTTGAATAATGTACAGGTCACGTTTAACGGTGTAGAGTACACTGTCAACGTGAAGAAGCGTCCACACATGGAGTATTTCCTCAAGCGCGCGTCTAAGCTTTTTGAAATCGTTGTATTCACCGCATCTCACAGAGCATATGCTGAAAAGCTGATGAACATGCTGGATCCTCACCACAATTTTATCAAGTACGTAGTTTGTGGTAGAGCAGTTCCTTTGATGCTACGACTTACATGCTGGCGTTGCTACAGGTACCGACTGTATCGAGAAGACTGTCTCGATGTATTTGGAAACTATCTGAAGGATCTGAATGTCATTGGACGTGATCTGTCTAAGGTCGTGCTGGTCGACAATTCTCCTCATGCATTCGGGTATCAGGTATGTTATACATTTAATTGATGTCCAATTGCCATAGCATGGATCCACTCACACTAACTACGTCGCTTTTGTGCTCGTAGGTGAACAATGGCATTCCCATTGAGACTTGGTACGACGACGAAGCGGACGCTGAGCTGCTGAATTTGTTGCCATTTCTAGAGAGTCTCGTAGACGTCGATGATGTGCGGCCAATTGTGGAGAAGCAGTTTCAGATTCAGAAGCTGATTGACGCTACGCCCGACGAGATTATCTAAGTATTGCGACAATAGTACTGTTGGTGCATGGTATCACGTCGATAAGTGGTTAAAATACCGTAGACTCCGCTACTTGATTGGTCAATTCCACCAAGTAAGCCCACATGGTGTATACCCATTTCACATTTTGTTCTCATCAAAGACTGCAGGGATTGAGCATGACGTCTTCCTCCTCTTTTGTATGTGTGTCATCCTTTTTTTACTATATGATTTTATATACATAACCTAGTATTGTTATTGTTATTGTATACATGATAGTCGCCGTATTTGACCTTTCCACCACCTCAGGTGAATCAAGTACGTCATGAACTCCCAATTTATCACTAATAGACATCTGTTTAATTAATCTTCTTCTTACTGACGTTATTTGTTGACTTGTACATGTATATTAATGATAGGAGATTAAGCTCTGGGCTGATACAAATGATCGACGTAAATATGAAGATTTATCAGATTTATTTGCTATCTTTAAGACCACAGAACACCTCGAAGCTGCCTACGTCCGAGATGCCATCACACCTGAACAGGTTTGCAGTTAAATCAAGCGCTACAGATTGGCTACTATAATGTCACTGACAGTATCCTGTCAAAATGACTGTGTAGTATACGGAAGCTTGTACGAAACTCATTTCGCAATACAGGACAGCAGAGACGGCACTACGTCTTGGTGGCTTTATCGACAGTGTGGACACTTTCATTTCAGAGTACAAACTGGACTGCCCTCGAGCACTTGAACGACTTGTGCGTATTGGTGTACCAGCCACTGTTGTACACAACACGACGAACCGCAAGACAGACTCGGTTAATGTGGCACAGACCGTGCAGAACTTTATTACGCTCATGGACGTGCTCAAGCTCAATATCCGAGCAGTGGATGAGATTCAGCCGTTGCTGAGCGAGATGATGAGCTCATTGACTATGGTTAGTGGCCTTCCACCTGACTTTGCAGGGCGTGATAAGATTGAGAGCTGGCTCTGTGTAATGAACACAATGCGTGCTTCTGAAGAACTCGACGATGAACAAGCGCGCCAACTGAGCTTCGACCTTGAGCGTGCTTACTCGTCCTTTATGGCTTTTTTGAATAAATAGTAGGGATCAGACAAAAGCACTGTGGGTGGAAACGGTGGAATTTTTTATTGTGGTGTTCAATTGCTTGTCCATTTTTCTCCTTCTCCTCATTTCTATAAAAGCAAGACACAAGATGACGTACGCATGCGTCAATAAAGTATTGACAGCAAAATGCTGACAATTTCCGTCGTGGTTAGCACGTAAATCATGAAGTTTTGAAACTGAATGTTAGCAGCAACAGATAGTGTCCTCTTCCGGCTTCAGTTTCAGTAACGCAAGTGTAGACATCTTCTCTCTTTCATAGAGTAGAGAAGTGCAGCAAGCCATAGCGGCATCAAGCTCTAGACGCATCGCATCCAGCTCATCAACCATCGACCGCAGGTCGGCGCTACCCACTGACTCAGGATGCGAGACGCTTTGCCCGTTCATATTCTTTTCTGGCTTGACAATCGGCTCCAGCTCAATGTCCATTAGAAAATTCGGCTCCACGACATCAGTAGTGGGTAGCGACAGTGACACCTGTGGCACTAATGGCGGCGACAATGGCGGAAACGCCTCCAGCGAAAGCGCAAAGTCTTCTGGCTTGTGTTCACATGCCACATCCTGTTTGCATTTAGATTCTTGTTCCAAATCTTGCTCATCCAAGTTCACCACTGACCCTGCATTTGCGTTCAAGTAAAGCAATACTTTGCGCGTAACAACCAGTTCACGCTCGTTGGCTGGCTCGCCATATGCTATTTCTATCAATGGCTTGGGCTTCGGGAAAACCCTCAATGGCTTCACATCAAATGCGACAGGCTCGACATTGACAGTAGTTGTAGGTGAAACAACCTCCGCTGCCTTAGGCTTAGGCAGCACCGACGAAATAGCAACCTTCAGTTCCGATTCGGGCGCACAACACGCGGCTGAATATGTTTCTTCGTAGAAACTTTAGGCGCCTCGAATGCAATCGTCTGCTGCTGGAACGGCGTCGTTGTAGCCTTAGCGTCCACATTCGTAGTCTTCTTTTCCTGCTTTGACGATGTCTTCAACACTGTACAAGTCGGTCTCTCTTGCGTCGTCTTTTCCTGCGCAAGGCCTGAGTTCTGCACCTTTGCCTTCAGCAGCAGTAGCGGCCGGCTCCGTAGTACCTGCTTGGGCTCCGAATTGGCTTGGGGCTTCTCCATTATCAGAGCCTCCGTCGTCTCCCTTAAGATCAAGCTGATCTTCGGCAAGGGCATCATGTTTAAACGGCTGAGCGTCATCAACGGAACAATGTCTACGAGCTGCTTTATCTTTCTCTTCTCCTGAATCTTCAAAGCCTCCTCTTCGTTCAGTATCATGGTCGCTACTACCTTCTGAGGCGTAGGACTCGACGGTAACATAGCAATCTGCAGCTCTTTACGTTGTTTCTGCTGCTTGTACTTGCTGTTACTCTGCGCAATGGAGAGCGTCAGTGAGTAGTCTAAAGCGCTTTGACGCAGTGTCAGTAGTCGGTTAATCGTCTGCTTTAGTCCCATTCCTTGTTGTATCGCCTTTGTATTGCTATGATAGAAGGTAACAAGCCCTATTGTCACCACCAGCACGGCACAAAAGAGCAAAGTGCTCCCAAACATAAAACTACTCAGTGCTAGTATCGTCACAACTTGTATCAGACCAATCACTGTTACAGGACCATTTATACAGAACGTCGGTGTCTCACAATAGACATCATCCGTAAGTGCATATGGATTATATATTTGCTGTTGTTTTAAACGCCTTTGCGTCTTGGAACTCGCACGCTGTCGCATTGTTCAAAGACGCTTTGTACGTAGTAGTAGACTTTCAATTAATGATCGTAAATGATAATACGAGTAATAGATAACACGACAATCGACGTTCAATCGACGGAAATACTCCTTGAAAAAAAGTGACTTGGTCAAACGCCTTCAATCCCTCACTGAGCTCAAGAGGTATACTACTACTTATCAACATATCGTCCGTTGTTACTTTTTCGGATGGCCAGTCTCTTGCGACGTATTATTCTCTATATAGTAATAATTCCCATAAAAATAACAATGAAAAGGACGTTTTGATATGACGTCTCGTCATTTGGGAAAAGAAATTTCCCTCTGAATTACAGTGTTCCCTCTATATTGTTATATGTCCATGTCGTGCTTCTTTTTCGAACCGACAAGAATATCAGCAACTCTGAATCGGCTCCTACTGTATACAGACGAGGGTGGACTACATAGAGCATTCAGTTGCTTGGTCACTCCTGGTAGAGACCATGAAGAAAACAACGTCTTTCTGAGTTAAATTTGTGTCGTTTTTATCATCCGACCTGTTGTCTCTCTAGGATTGATTCTGCTTGTTGAGAAAGGAGCCAGAATCAAGCCTGCCCTTAACACATAGCACTAATGGCAACACTTTGCTTCGAAACTGGATGCAACCCTTGCAACATAACAACATTAGTGAGCGCCATTGCATCAGTCTGAACCGAACTTTATGTACATGATAGTACAAGGGTCTTGTGTTTGCTGCTATTGATGATAGTGTGTTTCTGCTTCGTCTGTTGCAACGAGATGGAGTGAATAAGCTCCAGCAAGTCTTTTGTATCGCAGTTTCAGTGCTCTTTCTAGAAGACACATACTTTGTTTAACTGCTTTCATCCTAATAGGTTATGGTATGACAGCATGTTCCGTGCTTTGTAGATTGCATTCAAGGTATGAATGATGCAAAGGGAGGAAAGAGTGAGAGAGAGAGAGCCGCCATCTTGAGCATTCAAGTCAGGTATATAACTACCCTCTGATCGAAACTGTTACGTCAATGGTTGTCATCATTGGTTTCCTTACAGTTACTTCAGTGGGTTTACTACATATAACTAAACTAGAAGAAAACCACTTTTGACTAGTTTCAAGTTTCATAACTATATTACAAAACTAACGCCATGGAAAAAATGGTGCATGAAGCAGCACGTCTAGCTAGCACTCGTACATCGATCCAATGGTCTCACGTACTAGACTCCTAACACCTCAGTTGATAATAACATCTCATCTGTCAGTATTTCACCATCTGTGCCCATCAAGTTCCAGTCCAAGACAATTGGATCGAATGGGACTGGTCGTCTTGATTTCCATGTGTCTTCCTTCCATGATCATCCACACTTTAGCTTCTTCCAGCCTGTTAAGCGCTCCCTAGCAGCTCAAAATGTACTAATCTTTCTACACGGTCGTGGTAATTCGCATGAATCCTTTGCTCAACTTGGCAAACAAATGGAACGACCTCAAACCGGTATAGAGACAACCAGACAGATAGATAGATATTTATCCATCAGATGGACTTTGTCAAAGCTTTTCATCAGTTCGTTACGACGCCAAATTGACTCCTAATTAATCCGTGTTTGTTTCGATTCTACAGCAATTGTATCGCTGCGTGCTCCTCATGAACTTCCGTTTGATCTCGGGTTTACGTGGATCAATGACTTGGACACTCATGGTGATGTAATCTCACGTACCATTCACAGCGCAGCCACAGTCTTCAGAAAGCTACGGACTACGTGTGGAACTTTCTACACGTTCTACACGACCAGTACTCCTGGAGTTACTCTCGCGTGTTTGTTTGGATTCTCACAAGGAGCGTGTGTGGCGTTCCACTTGGCAATGACTTTGCCAAGTAATGTGCGGTTAGGAGGGATGGTATTGGTATCAGGTGGTGCAATTGCAGGTCCCCATTCATGCTCCTCTGCTTCCAAAGGAGGTGCCACTGCTACACCTATACTTCAGGTCTCTGGTGCAGCAGATGCCGTCTACCCGACAGCACTTGCCGACCGATCGCGCCGTGAATTTGAGCAAAGGCATTCTCACGAAGCAGCAGAAAACCTGTTCACGAGCGTAGTGCGACCACGCAAAGGACACGCGATGATTGACTTTCACGAAGACATGCAGCACGTCATGTCATTCTTTTCCAAGCACCTCTACCTGCGAAATATCACTCTAGAAAACCGTAGCGATATCATTGAGCTCAAGACGTGAGTATGACATTGAACCAAGACGAAGAAACGAGCAGACTTGTGCAATCTCTATGCTTGTTGAGGTTCGACAGGTGACAGAAGACTTGTATTAATTTATCGGATCGCCAAAGTAGCGGATCATGCCATGAGAGACTTGAACAAGGCTGTCATCCTCGAGTGAGCGCAATGCCATCTGAAACTCGCTACCCTTGACTTCACTCTTGCGCTTTTCTTCAAGACGTCGACGGGTTTCGCCAACAGTCATCGACTGGTTTGGAGCCTCGCCCAAAATCTCCTTCAGTTGAGTAACTAGATCAGCTAATAATTCGCGCTCAAGCACACTGTGACCAGTGTTGATCATATCCATATCAATCGTGCCCGTCCGCGGATCCATTGCTGCACGCTGCGTTGCCACATTCATGAGGCGCAGTGCCTCGCCGACATCTCTTCGCGTCACGGTCTCGCACAGCTTGAGCCTTGCAAGCGCTTCGGAAATACGGATGAGCGATTCAAGTTGTCGAGGCGTTGCCGTGATATTTTTCTTGGCCGATGCAGCGCTGGCACCACCCATTCTACGAAGGTCCAGGTATGCACGAATGAGCGCATCCTTGGCCTCGGCTGAAAGCCGTGGATGGATATTCCGCTTCGCATACGCAATGTACTCAGTCAGCAGCTTCATGCTTATAAGCTGAGGTGCAGCATCTCCTCCTCGATTTTGCGAACGCACACGCACACGTGTTTCTTCGTCGTAGTACAGAGCGACGATGTGTTTTGCCAGTTTACGGTCGGATTCCGGATGTGGCTTATCCAAGATGAGATAGATGAGGTCGAAACGTGACAACAGTGTAGGAAGAATGTTCACGTTTTCCACCACTGACTTGTTTGGGTTGTAGCGAGACTCGATGGGGTTAGCGGACGCTAGAATGGATGCACGTGCGTTAAGAGAACAAATAATGCCAGCCTTGGCAATACTTACGGTTTGCTGTTCCATAACTTCGTGCAGCACAGAGCGAGCAGAATCACTCATCTTGTCAAACTCATCAATGCAGCAGATGCCCTCGTCCGATAGAACCAAAGCACCTGATTCAAGCACGAGATCATTTGTCTCCATGTCGCGTATTAGCGAAGCTGTAAGACCGACAGCCGAACTACCTTTGCCGGACGTGTAAATACTCCGCGGTGACAGCTTGTGCACATACGAAAGCAACTGTGATTTGGATGTACCAGGGTCTCCGCACAATAGCACGTTCATATCAGAGCGCATACTCTTTCTCTTGGGTGCTACACCGCCATGCTCATGCTCGCTTTCGTCTTCGTTCACACTGCCGCTACTTCCATCCTTGCGAGTACCACCGAAAAGCATGCACAAGATACCCTTTTTCACATCATCCAACTCCCATATGGACGGTGCCAACGAGTGAGCCAGATTCTCGTACACTCGAGGATGTGCTGCGATACGGCGGAAAGCTGCCAGTTTGCGTGCCTGTTGGGCATCGGCCACAGCAGCTGCATCTTCATGGTCTTCTGAGGGATCTAGCATTTCAACGTCGATATCTGCCGGTCCTATTACGCTAGCTTCAACCTCCTCCACCTCTCGGGCAACGGAGTTAAGATTCTCGCCATTTTCACCCTCTTCGCGCCGCGTGAGTTCGTCCACGCGACGAAAGTGCACAACGTCGACGTACGTCTTGAAGACAGATTTGACCACACGCTGGCGCGAATTCGAGCGCATCGGTACGGCACGGTAAATGCCTGTTACCTCCACCTTGTCACCTGGACGCACGCCATCAACGAGGTCATCGAACGCAAACAAGAGGACTGTGTAGGGTGTTTCACCTTCAGGGATAGCATCGGGCGTCTCTTGCATTTTGATCATCTGTTTGTCCGTGAAAGCACACCGGTTGTGAATCATCTCCATGCTCATTCGGGAAGAGCAGCGCGTGCAGCTCGTAGGTTCTTCGATCCGACCACGATCCAGCGCCACCTGCGTCGTAGCATGGCACATTGCACAGCGGAAGAATGCCTCCTTCAGATCCGGCAACACTCCACTGCAACGAGTAACCATTCCTTTTATACAAACCAACTGGTCGATATCGGACGGATTCAGATGACGCATTGGCGCTAGTTCACGCAGATTTGACGGCCGCACTTGCAAAGTCACATTGGCCAAAGTATCGAGAGCGCCTACTTCAGCTCCAGAGCCGGCTAGTAGCGCCTGATATTCTTCCGTCACTACCATATCCAGGATACGAATCAGAACCTGTGGAAACAAAACTAACTGGTTATACAGCTTTCTTCCGCCACGGAATTGGCGCAGATGCTGTGTGTCCAGATCTAGCACGAGCGACTGCGTCAGGGCCAGTCTCCGCAGCAACTTGACATAGTACGGCTCCCCTTGAGCATCATAATTCTCCGGTCGAAACTGGTGTATAAAGGCTCGAAACAACTCCATACTCTCCGACACACTAATGTTCGTACCCCATACCACTGCACCGGAAAACGCCTCTTGTTCCTCATGTTGCTGCCTCTGAAACTGCGAGTACGCCGACGCTAAAGCTGACGCAGAATTCGAAGCAGAAGCAACAGATCGTGGTGAGTTAGGTGGAGATGCCGGTGGCTGTGGCAATGCTGCTTTAGCAGGCACTGGTATGCCAGATCGACTGCTACGGATGCTGACCACAGAGCGTCTGCTGCTGCTAGGAGACAATGGCATTCCATCAGTCGAGTTTACAGTGTGTGTTCCTTGTAGCGTTGGCTGAAAGCTTTCAAGTCTCCACTCCCGTCGGCCTAAATCTCCTCGTGGTAATTGACGCTGAGCCATACGTCGTAACTCTGCTTCCACGTCATCACCATCATTGTCTCGATCGATTGCATCATCCGTTACAGGCTCATAGCGTCCAAGATAACGTGGTGCTGGTGTCGCATCCACCGATGAGCTCATCTCTGCAAATCCAAAGCGGCCTGACATTTCTGTAGCCGACACAGCGGACGCCGAGACAGATGCTGACATGGGCGATAAAGGCTGTCCATTAGTTGGAGATTCAGCAGTAGGTACTGAGATTGAGACAGGAGGATCAGAAGGTGATGAAAAACGAGTCTCACGGGTTAAATATCGAGGCGCTGGTTGCGTAGGGCTCGTAGGCGATGGTGGAGTTGCTGGAGGAGTCCCATTTTCATCCATTGGGCCAATGGAATAAAGCGTACAAGGGATTCAAAAAAGGACCCATTTTGTTAAAACATAGGACTAAACTAAGTTTTAGTCTTCTCTCTTTTTACGAGCTTGTATTGGTTGTTATATCGGTATATATTGTTTCTTGTTATCTCACGGCCCATTATTTATCATTCTCGACGTTCATACTACCTACTACCACACACGTACCGGTTTTATACTGCCTCCATGGCTGGTGTTGGCACTTCTGAGACGGTAACTAACCTCGTGGTCCGCGGTTGACAAACAGAAGATGATGATGATGCACGATTAGAAGACCCTGTAGATAAAGGAGGTGGTGCTGATCCATTTGCCAGCATCTCACGCCGCTTTTCTTCCACACGCTTGGCTCGAATCTTGGACACAATATCATCCACATCACCTGTCTTTAACGTTGCAAAACTACTCTTCTTCTTCTTTAGCTTGAGCTGCTCAAGACGTTTTCTCGTCTCTTCCTCACGACGCAATTTTCGTTCTTCAGCAATCCGTTTGCGCTCATTATCACGATCAGCTGACTGAAGTACCTTGGCAAATGAATAAAAGATAGAAAAAAATGCATCAGGTCCAGAATCCGGACTTGATGGGTCTTCACCATAGTACGATGCCGTCTCTTCGAAACGCTTCGTCATGTTTTCAAGGTCCTCTGCAGTTTGCTCAGACGTCTTCTTTGCACGAACAGCAATAGGTTTTACAACTTCTTGGAAACGATCGGAAATCCTTTTTGGTTCTTTGTCCAAACCTAGTACTGGATCAGGTTGTGGATACTCCTTTGCTGGCAATTTCGCGTGTACTTCGAGTTCATTGCAAATTAGATTTGCAGCCTTACGTACTGCACTTTCACCAGCCTTGAGCACCTGCATCGTGACGCGACTTGCACTCTCAAGAGATGGTAGGCTCTTGTCAAAATCAAGGATAGCTGGATCTTTTGCACGTAGCACCTTTGCTACATAATTGAGCAGGTTGATGGAGTTATCGGCTGCCTTCACTTGATTCAGCTTGAGCAATATACTCAAACGAAAACCCTTTGCTCCACCACGCGATGTGCCGTCGTTCAAAGCATTTCCGAGCGACAACACGACGCGGAATATCTCCTTTAGAGGTTCACAAGCTTGCAACTCGCGACACGCATTCGAAACAGACTCCATCAGCTTGCGCTGTTCTTCTACGTACGCGTCAAACTGCCACGTAGCATGGATCGCTTGTAACCTAGTACTTAACCGCGGGATGCAAAGCATCTCACGGAAATACTGCTCCGCATCACCCAAAAGCTTAGGGTCACCAGTGTACCCTTGTATAGCATCCAACTCTTCGTCTTCTGGAGCGAATTGTAAAAGTGCAGATACCCGCTCGACAGAAAGAAGCTCCTTGTCGACCAGCAGCACAGCATTCCGAAGCTTATAGTATGGCAGTCGAAAACGTGCCAGCATGATACCAATATTGTTCGCGCGCTTGGCATCTATCAACGCAATACGAGTAGGTGCTCGCCGCTTTATCAGCTTCTTCGTCTCAGACTCTTTCGCTTTCACGGGCTTATTCACAAATATGTCTGATAATTGGTCGACGAATTTGTCCAAAACGTCCTTCTTCGGTGCTGTAGACTTCGACTTTTGCAAGTCTGACCGCGCAGCAAACAAATCCGTAACGGTTGGTGGACCCACTGACGCTGCAACTTCATTCTTCTTCTTCTCCTCCTCTTCCTTCGTAAAACTTTCCCAAATTGTACCGACAGTCTCCTCGCTCTTAACAGCTTCCCAGTATAGATTACGAAGCTTAGGCTTGGAAGGTCCGATCACAACGGGCGCCACCGGTGCTGGAGCGGGAGTGGACACATCCTCCGGGACCATCGCATCGGGTGTGTCTAATACTTTCGGGTCCAACGACTCTGCGCTCATCTTTAGCTCTAGCTGTGGACGCGGCATACCTATCTTCAATAACTCAAAACACTTAACGTAGCTCGGATGTTCCGATGCCTTCATCGTCTTCCCACCACCTGCCTTGATTTCCTTTCCACTCTCGTCTACCAATTTGTCAGGAGTATCGAGAAGGTCACCGTCCAGTCCCTCTGACACAGCCTTAAGCTTGACATGAGGCAGTGGCATACCCATTTTCACCAGCTTGAAAAATTTGGCAAACTTTTCATGCTCTTTGACAGGTATGCTCCTCACAACGCGCACCTCGCTATGCACAACGGGCACCTCACCTTTCACTTCCTTTCCGTCTTCATCGACTAGCTTGTCGGGTGTTTCCAAGAGGTTGGCATCAAGACCCTCGGATGACACCTTTGACTTCACGTGCTCCATGGGCATCCCCATCTTCATAAGCTTGAAGAATTTGACAAACTTTTCGTGATCCCTCACGGGTATGCCCTTAGGTTGCTCCGTAGCCGCCTCCACTTTCTTTCCATTCTCGTCTACTAGCACATCAGGAGTAGAAAGCAATCCACCATCCAAACCTTCCGCTGACGCTTTCACTTTAGCCTGTTCAAGCGGCATTCCCATCTTCATTAGCTTGAAGAACTTAGCAAACTTCTCGTGATCCTTCACAGGTACTCCTTTCACAACGATCTCTGCAACAAATATGCTTCCATCTTCATGCAAAAGGGCATCTGGGGTTGACAGCAAGTTTCCGTCCAATCCTTCTGCAGATGCTTTGAGCTTAATTTGTTCCAACGGCATTCCCATTTTCATTAACTTGAAAAACTTGGCATATTTTTCATGGTCTTTTACAGGGATTCCCCGCGGCAGTTGATCTGATTTACGAGCTACAATCACTTTACCTGCACTGTCCAAAAGCTGGTCGGGCGTGCTCAATAACGTTGCATCCAGTCCTTCCAATGATACCTTGACCTGAACATGCTCAAGAGGCATTCCCATTTTAAGCAGCTTAAAAAACTTAGCAAACTTTTCATGCTCCTTAACTGGAACACCAACAAAACCTATATCAGTTGTGCCATGTTTTACTTCGTTACCATCATCGTCAAGAAGCAAACCCGGAGTCTCCAAAATCGAGCCGTCTAGTCCCTCTGCAGACATTTTCAGCTGGATCTGTGGCGATGGCATGCCCATTTTCTTTAGCTTAAAGAACTTTGCATGCTTTTCATGCTCATCAGCTCGCGTTCCCTTCACCTCTGTTTCCCCATCCAATTTCGAAAGCTGAATCACCTTGTCAGGAGTTTCTAAAATCGATGGATCAAAAGTCGGTATTTCGCTGCGCATCTTATGTCGCACCTGTTGTATTGGCATTCCCATCTTAAGATATCTAAAATATTTCATCAACTCCGGGTGCTCATGTGCAGCCACAAACAAAGGTGCATCTTCCTCATCAGTTTCTTCTGCTGTCGCATCCGAAAGCGCGAGGTCGTCATGGTTCCGATCCATATTGTCAATCAGAATGATTGGACCCATACGAAAGTGAAACGTAGGATCTTCATCCGCACACTTCTGTAGAAATAGTGCATAACGATCCCGCATCTTTAACAACGTCTTGCGGTCATCGTATCCGAGATTGAAATTGCGTACTTCCTCAACTGGAGCTAACAGTGTAATTTGCTTCACAACTTTTTCCGACATGGCCCACATTTCCTTCCCAATGACGCGATCGCCTGGAATAAAAAGCAATTGCTGTAGAATTGACAAAAAACACGCTTGGAGCTCAGGATCGTTCGTCACACTATCAAATAGAGACCGGTACACACTTTCTACTGAGGCCAGGTCTGTTTGCTCATATATCGTGTCCTTCCGGTCATCCTCCATAAATTGCTCAAACACATCAATTTGTTTCTCCATGTTGTCCAATTGATTTCGAAGCTGTGTCACTGAGCTACTGATGATACTATTACCTCCATTTCCAAATCGATGAGCCCCCTTGGTTTCCAGGGGAAGCGACGAACGGACTATTGTACCGTCTGGAGAAAGTGATGCCAGCTCTCGATCTACAGGGGATGGAGGTGCACTTTTGCTTGCTGAAAGACGGGTACCGCTTCGGTCATCCCTGTCCTTGCTGATTGATGATCGCCGTCCACCAAGAGCCTTCAACGAGTCTAGTCTGGTGACAGGGGTTCCTGGACCCGTTCTCCACCCACTGACAGGTGATTCTGAAGACCGGCTGCTCAAAAGTGGTGATCGCATATTCCTTGCAATATGTTTGTTTGGAATCGGCGACGGAGTTGCCGGAGCACCAGGCACCGGAGATTGAGCGTTGTTGGACCCTTCCTCGATCAGCGAGGCGGCAGCAGAAGTAGCGAGAGGATACTTCGTGCGCTGTACAGCGAGAGATTTGGCCCGAATTTCTTCAAAGTAACCAGCCATCTTGAGCGCCATAAAGTCAGAACGGATAGCTAGTCGATCTTCCAGCCGAATGGCTTTGTTCACAATAATATTTACAAAACTCAACACGTCTTCCTTGAACACCAGCGAGTACCGCGTCGATCGGAGCGCATCCCGCAAACAGCCAAAGCGAATGTTCTCACCTTTTGTCTCCTTGTAGTGGTCAAACGCTTCAATCACAGCCGTATGTCCCGCTGCGCTGTTGTAACACACAATTCCGAGCAGTTGCAGCGTATACTTCTTCACATCGCCATTCTCCGTATGAAAACAAAGGGCCACTCGCTTTACCAGTCCTGGTGTGTTAGTAATTGCCTCTACACCAGCGGTGAAATGCGTCAGTGACCGCAAGATCCGCAAGATTACCTCGCACACGCGTGTAGCCTTCTCGTACTTGGAGTGCTCGATAGGGAATGGAGATGGATCAGGAAGTTTCATCGTAAGGTAGTCTAAACCAAAATGCGCCAAAAAAGCCTCCAGCCAGTCAGTCGACGCAATCGAAATCTTAGCACGAAGCGTCTCAAGGTCCTTTAAACCTTTGTTGTCCCATTTCAGCTCGACCAAATTCTCGGCAAACTTTTCCGCCTCCGTCGCATTTGATTTTGTATTGTCCTCGTTCTCATTTTGCTGAGCATACCAAACAACGTGCCACTTGGTTTCCAGTGACTCGATTCGAATGAGTTCGTCCATAACATCCTCAGGCACTCCACGTTTCGACATCAATTCACGATACATCTCGTCTACAGTCTCCCATCTCTGTGGTTTCGGCGGCTTGTCCTTTTCTTTCATTGCAGCACCACCAGTAGGTATTCTTGTGGCAAAGAAGCCACGAAAGTACTGTAACTTCTCATTAAAATTTCCATCCTGAACCGGATTTGACATGGAAATGGACGACCGAAAGAAACTATTGCGCCGTGGCTTCGTCGATGCACACGGAACTGTTTGACAACTATTCTCGTGTTTCTCTGGTTCACGTCGAAACTCCATTGATAATGGCCAGGCTGTTAAATCTCTTTGCAATTCCATAGCATGTTTTACAATCTCTTCAAAGGGCAAATGATCAATTGGTGTTTCATGTAAAACTTGTAAGATATCACCTGTTTTCACACGTCCCGTTGATTCTACATAGCCAGGTTTACCATCTTCCAATGGACGAAATCCTTTTACAACAGCTCCACGTTGAGGTTTATCTCGTTCAATATATCGTGCACGTAAATCAAGACCTAATGGTCCCGGTCGTGGGACCTCTAGACGAAATATCAGTACACGATCAGTCGCATTTGGATCACTACTAAAGAATGGACTATGACTACTAGTCATTGACATGGAAGATGGTGTACTTAATAGTGAATTACAAGTCATTGGACTCGGTGAGTCTCGTATTGCATTGTTACCACCATTTACTGAGCCACGGCGCTTGCGCCACATGAACAAGAATACTAGTAACTATGCAAGTTATACACTCGTTTTCTTGGTTCGATAGAGAAATTACAATATACACACAAGTCAAGAACAATCTCTACTCTCTGTCTATCAATTGAGCTTCTTCTCTTCAGGGGCTTTCAATCCGCCCTTGAGTGGTCCACATGGTACCACTTGCATGTGGACCACATGTAAACCACCCATGTAGACTGAACAGTCATCAGACTGAACCCATTGTCACCCGCTGCAAAACGAGAAAAAAAACAGTTTGAACGATATATATATATATCGTCCTTTCAGTATTGAAAAGTTCAGTAAAGAATCGAGTCGGTCTTTCTTGACTTCTAACAGTTGTAGTCATGTGTATACTTTGTTCAAGTGAACCTTTGGAAGACGATGTCCGGAAACATAATCCTGATGCATTTCATGTGGGCATGATGCATGCTCCCGGTGCTGATCCCATGTGTACGTCTTTTGTTTGTATACATCCTGTAGGACTCACTAGTCACGTGTCGTGGTCTTGTTTCTTCTCACATCTATTGTTTGTTGTCTTTATACACGCTTAGGCTGTCTTGGTTCCTGTTTGTGTCCATGCTGTGCACAAATTATCATTCGTCGCAAGGCACTGAATTACGATATGAGTAATTACACGTGCTGTCAAGGCTATATGGATGGTATTGTGCCCTGTGCACGCTCTGGTAGCTGTGGTGAATCCAGTTGTCCAAATGGATGCCTATGTCTTGAGGTCGGGTGTAATGTTGATATATATACATATATATATATATCTTCTACTGCACTTGAGGTAGCTGACAATCTTTCTTGTTGTGTGACGCGTTGTGCTGGCTTTTGTTGTTGTTGCTGATTTTTCTAGGCCTTTTGTTGCAATGGCTGTGCAGTGTCGGCCACGCGCATGATGGTTATGGACCGCTACCGTCTGCAGCCAGACAAGTGGGACAATCGCATTATGGTACGTAGACGACGTATCGAGGTTGTTGAAGAAAAAGAAGGCTCTTCACTAACGTGGTTGCTTTTGTTGTTGTTATTACTACTGTCGCTGTTGTTACTATGATTGATGTTGTAGCGATGCAATAATTGTATCCAGTTGGCAAGCTGTATCTGCAGTCTACTGTCGATCTGCATTTCGGAGCTCGGTGACCTTGCGCACATTCTGAACTGCATTGCGCAGTGTACGTACGCATCGACGCAGGGCTGCATGACAGCACAAGTGAACGTCGAACTTCGCGAGCGTGAGAAGGCTTTTGAGGTGCCAGACCAGACCATGGACCGTGTCTAAGCTTACCGATCGACGACATTACCACGTCATGAAGTCGATTTCAAGTAGCGTATACAGCAAGTTTGAAGCGGCAAGAATTATCTGGGAGATGATTTCTTGTGCACACCCTTATCACGTTTGCACGTGACTTGAATGCATTTACTTTTTCAACAGTTGTCTTCTTTTGCAAGTAAGCTCAGTCAATTGCTAGCTAATACATCCATTCATATCATTGATCTACACAATCGGATCACACTAGATTAAGCGGTTATTAGCACGTAAAAGCGTTAAAACGTTTTTAAAAGCACAATACGTTTAAATTCCATACAGAGGACCATCGATCATGGCAGCAGAGCTGGAGGAGCAGCAGCAACAGCAGCATGACGCGACAGTACAGGGCCGTGTAACAGGTATCATCTATCCTCCTCCAGAGATTCGTGCAGTGGTAGACAAGACGGCGCTATTTGTAGCCAACAATGGGCGAGCATTTGAAAGCCGTATCGTAGGTGAACGCATGTCGACGAAATTCTCATTCCTGCGTGATTCCGATCCGTATCATGCGTACTATGAGCATAAAGTGAGTGAGTTTATTACGAAAAAGAGTGAGCCAGTGACGAATGATCAAAAATCTCACGAGGAGGAGACAAGAGAGGAGCAAAAGGACGCGCTGGAGCAACAGAACAAGGTGACGCAGGAGATTGTAAAAGCAGCGGAAACCATTGGTGACGTGGTTGTGGAGAAGAAACCAGTGCAGAGTGTAACTGCTCAAGCTACTAAGAAGATTAAAGAGAGAGAACTAGAGCCACCGCCTGAGGAGAAGTTTATCATTAAACACCCAACACTTAGCGCACTTGACCAAGAGATCATGTACCTCACAGCGCAATATACGGCACTCAGTGGCAGCTCGTTCCTTTCGGGATTGGCCACACGTGAGCAACGTAATCCGCAATTTGATTTTTTGAAGCCTACACACCCACTATTTGCCTACTTTACGGCGCTCGTGGAGAGCTATACACTCGTACTGGCAAAACAAGATGCACAGATGAAGCGGTGAGTGTGGAGTGGTGTTGTTGATTTGTATCACTGTGTTGATTCGTGTTGTGGTGTCTGTGCTTGTGTCGTGGGAAATTGTAGAATAGAGGAAGGTATGAGTCGTATGCAAGTGTTGGACCGATGCGTGCATCGAATGGAATGGCAGCGTACCGAGCAAGAGCGAAAGGATAAGGAGGCGGCAGAAAGCGATGCAGAGCGCCGTGCACTTGCACAAATTGACTGGCATGACTTTGTGGTCGTGGAGACGATTAATTTTGACGACGATGATGATTTGGGTGCCTCTGCTGCTAATGGTGATGGGGAAGCGAAAGTATCAGATGATGAAGATATGGATATGGAAGACGATGACGACGATGATGGTGATGGTGACGACGAACCAAAGCCGGATATCAAGGTGATTGAGGATTATGAACCGCAAGCGATGGCAGCGACAGCGCAGCAACCACTTTTAAGTGTAGATGGAAAAACATTGTCGTCTGCTGAGGCGAATGAGCACATGCGTATTTTATTAATGAATCCAAAGTGGCGCGAAGAAACTCAGCGTCATTTGGAAAAACAGAAAGAGAGCTCGTATGCAGCAGGTTCGGCGATTGCAGACTCACTGCGGCGGTTTGCAACGAAGCGTGCGGATATATTTGCTTCTTCTGCTGAAGAAGAAGCGCGGTTGTTGCAAGCGACGACAACACCGACTGCTGAAGAGCAGCCGCAGCATCAGCAACAGCATGATGACGACATGGAAGAAGATTCTGACACTGAAGAAAAAGCGGAGTCTTATTCAGGGACAGGTCAAAACCAGCAAATGCCGGTGTCCGCTGGGTTTGTTGACGAAGGAATGTTGTCTAAAAGTGCTCCAATCTCTCAGCATGCTGCAGGAATGACTGATCCAATGGTGTCGGCTTCGATGATGGGGGCTCCAGGCGTTGTTTCTTCGTCTGCTGGTCTTCCAGGGATGGTTCCTCCGCTACTAGGTGCTCGTGGTATGGCTCCATCGCCTGGAATGATGCCGCCCGGTATGGGAGCTTCAGCCATGGGAGCTGCAGTCATGGGTGTTCCGGGAATGGGCGGTCCAGGCATGGGTGCTCCTGGCATGGGTGCTCCTGGCATGGGTGCTCCTGGCATGGGCGGTCCTGGCATGGGTGCTCCTGGCATGGGAGCTCCTGGCATGGGTGCTCCTGGCATGAGAGCTCCTGGCATGGGTGCTCCTGGCATGGGTGCTCTTGGCATGGGTGCTCCTGGTATGACTGCCCCTGGCATGGTGCCTCCGAGTGCTGGTCCTCCCAGCATCATCCCTCCTCACATGCAAGCACCTGGGGCTATGCCAGTAAGAGTGAGTAATGGTCCGCCTGGCGTCGGTGCTGACCCTCCTGGTGCTTCAGCAGCGGCCGCAGTTGTAGGACCCCCAGGCGAAGATGTTGAACCAGCCTCAAAAAGGCAGCGAACAGGCGGAACGTCGTTGCTGCCGGAAAAGGAGTTTGCGATTCGGCATCCGGTACGTGTGTTGCTTGTGGTAACATAATAAGTTTGTACTAATGCTTATGCCGCTTTGTGTGCATGTTAAAAATATACAGGGAATGGTGCGATTGGTTGTGAAAGTTCCAAACGATCCAGACAACGCCCAATGGAAACTAGAAGGACAGACACTGACGATAGAGCTGGATGTGAAGGACAATATGCGGACGCTCAAGCAAAAGTTGATGGTGAGCGTGTCAACATTGTTGTGGTATGATGTATTGACACTACTCACAAATCACCTTGCTCGATGCAGGCCGACTTGCAGAATATGCCGGTGAACAAGCAGCAGCTCAAGTTCTCAATGGGATTTGTCAAGGATACCCTCACATGTGCACACTACAACTTCGTTAACGGCACTGTGCTCGAGCTGAGCGTTCGCCAGCGCGGTGGCAGGCGGTAATTTACGCAACGAGGAGAAGTGTTGTGGACGATTCAATACACGCAAACTTGTCAAGGCGGTTGTCATGCAACACAAAGATTGCGCTCACGCTCTTGTTCACAGCATATATGATTTTGAGATCCTTTCTAAAACCCGTCCAGCTTCTCTTCCCTCTGGTCAATTTCTTCTGCGCACTTGACCATATATTGGAGCTGGACAGCGTATTGCTTGGTGGACTCAAGGTCCTGGTCCCTGTCATACACTTCGCCCAGTTTGTTGATCACAGCGTCAATGTTGTCCGAGACTTCCTTGCGGATCTCGTACAGCACGTCCAGATTCGACGCTTCTGCAATTCGTTCTCTACCATTTTGTGTTTGATTTGATCACTGTCACTTTCGTCAAAAATTGAGCGATCGAATACTAGTTCTCTCTTACCTAATTTCCATTGTCTGCATGAGTACCTCTGGATCGACTGCAGTACTAGCAGTTTCGCCAAGAGCATCAATGCCGTGCAGTGCCAACTACAGCAACGAATCCTAGCACGTTAAGACACAGCATTCACCAACATCTCGGCACACACCTTGTGCACGCACCAGGTACTTGACACGCATAGTGGGCGTCTTCAGTATCTTGTAAGCATCATTAATAATAGCAGCATTGATTGCTGACAGCTCCTTTTCAAACTGCACAGTACAGAAAGAAAGAAATGAGATGTATTACTACTTGACGACGTCTTAAGAACTTGGTTGATTCTGCATCATACGTCTGACTTGGAGCCATACAGATCTGGATGTAAGCGTTTTTGCAATTTCCAGTACGTTTGTTCAATCCTGCGTGGCTCGATGTTAAAGTTCTTGGGGCTATATGAGCATCAATGGAAAAGAAAACTATCAAGAGAGACACAAACACATTCCTTCTCTTCGCACTGTCGTTACATTTTGAACATTTCAAAGTAATTACAGTGACAGGTCTTGTTAATAGGTTGAATACTATTGCACCGATTGCAAAAAAATGAGCAGTTGTCCGTTGTGTCATGGCATTTCCAGCACATTGCTACAGCAAGTAAACACGAGCAACCATGAGATTCCTCTCTTCTTCTCTCTCAAATGTAGTACATTCGTATTCAAGAATACCTACGTCCATGAGTTTCTTGGTGGCATGAGGATGATAACATGTCGTTGTCCATTGTCTTATCGACAAATGATGCAAAGCATTGCGTTTGCTGTGATGCTCTTAACCGACTTCGACGTAGCAAGATGCGAGACAGCATTATCGATCCAAGAGCTTTAAGATTTTGAATGGCTTTTCAACGGTGGTTCCTATAGATAACATTCATTCTTCTTGACTGGAATAATGTATTTATTATTATTTACCCTCAAATAAGAATAAAACAACAGTAGCTACATCTCTCTCTTTTGTCATACTCTCAGTATTGCTAAAATAGGACGAGGCAAAACGCTTAGAGGACGATCAAAGCAAAGGTATTCTCCTCTATAGTAAACAACAAGGACCCTAGAAGCTGAGCAAGGAATGCCGTTCGTCTTTCATCGTACAGTCCGTCGAGGTGATTCTGTAGACGACAGCTTTCTCAAATACCGATACCAAACTTAGCTGCGTGGAATATCTGGAAGACGACTGGGGCATGAATCCTCTGGCGGTGGAAAAGACAACACCACCTTTCTACCATTGAGCGTGTCCCGCAACAAGGTGTTTGCCGCACGGTGCACGTCCAACTTGCCACCTTTCATACGAAAGCCGCGAAGTTGTGCGTAAGATTCACACAAAGTATAAGGGGACCACTCGCCGTCGTCGTCCTCGACATGCTTGAGTTTGTACACCTCATGAAGATACGGGACACAGTTCTCAGCAATAAAACGCACGGCGCTAAAAGGCTCACGCGTCTGGGCGATCGGGAAACTTCCAAACAGAATCTGCAAAAGAACCGGTACGTTGAAGCGTGGAAACACCACACCAGGACAATCACACACGAGGATACGGGAGAAGACGTTGTCGTCACGCTCTAGCAACTCCACGTGATCGAAGTAATGTGTTTGCATATGCTTCGTGTGGCCAGGGGTGGCTGAGACGCTAACGAGCTTGCGACCAAAGAGACTGTTGAGCAGCGAACTTTTCCCGACGTTAGGCTCTCCCACGAATCCAATCGTAAGCGTGTCTTTCAATGCGGCGTCAGTAGGTGCTTCATTCAGAACATGGTGCTCGATACCAGCACTCACTTGACCAATGGTTCGCATCAAGACTGCATTGCTCTCCTCAACGTTGTCGCGGCTATAGGCCAAAATAGAGATATCCTGTCCATATCGCGCTTCTAAGTATCTTGACCATTTCTGCACACGCTCTGTTGCAACCAAATCGGTCTTTGTAAGTACCAACACGATGCGCTTCCATGGAAATGTCGTGCGGACATGGATCATCAATTGGTCGCTAATATGCAATAGCGGACAGCGAGTGTCTGCAAGATGAACAAGAACGGACGAGCGCTCAATCACTCGCCACAACTGGCGCCAGACTTCCAGATTCCTTTCGTACAAGTTAATCTGCATCTCCTTCCCACGACTCATCATCTCCTGATCAAGGTACTCTACCCACTCCTTATAAGCTTGACTGTCCACCTCGTTCAACTTGTCCAACGTCATGTCATATGACCACTCTGGTTTCGTCAAAATACGTGGTTGATTAGCTGGATCCGAGATACCATAACTGTAAATTGACTGGGAATTGCCCTGATCTTCCGCATACACGAGCTCTCGTGTCGCATCTTTCTTTCGAGCTTCAATAGAAGCCTTGGCTTCCTTTTGAAATACCGTGCGTAGGAGGTCACTACTACGTCCACTCAAAACCTACACATTATCATTCCAATATGTAGTCAAGTATCAAAAGCATAACGGTGATTCTGTAGTATATAAGAGACCTCTTACCGGTTGTGGATCAAGTGGAACCATCATTTTTATCCCCCTAACAGCATTACCATTATCATCAACATGTAACACATGGGCATCTCTCTCTTTAGCCCGTTTATTACGAAGCTGTTGTTTCTTGGCCTTCCCACTAAAAGGTTTCTTCCGAGGTGGCATTATGATTCAAACACACTCGCGGCTTTTATTTACGTTTGACTAGTGTGATGTACACAAAAACAACTCTCATCTCGCTGGGAATGGCTTCCTACTTTAGAGCTTCTTAGCATACGCATTGGCGTTAATGGTAGGTCTGAAAGTACACTCACGCATTTCACGCTCTTGTCGCATACGTTGCAGTCGGGCATTGCGCTTACGAATATAATCCGGGTCGTACAATCGACTCGATACGTTCACAATGTCCGTCTTGGCGGACTGCATTGATGTCTGCGAATCGATAGAGTCTCGAGATGAAATCGAGTCACGCCGAGTAGTACGTGGTGTAAACAAACAGTTAAAACTATCACGACGGTCGCGCATATTCTTGAATTTTTCCTCGCGGTTCTTGTAGAAATCTGGCTGATACAGCCGCGAAAACACGGCACCGCCGTCCGTGCAGATGCTCGTGCGAGACTTTTGTGAGCCACACACAGAGCCTGTAAAATTCTGTGTCCTGGGCATGGGCAACAATGAGATGTTCTCTCGGGTTAAAGCTGCTACGCGTGTGGGGCGTGGCACTGTGCGACAGACACTTGAAGTCTCTCGTTGTTTCGTCGGTGGCGTCTTCGGTGTCACCACTAAACTATCAATCTCGCCACGTCCCATGATACGAACATTCTTGTAAGGTGACATGTGATCCACGTTTGTGGCAAGTTGTCGTCCTAGATAAATGCCTGGCTTCGACAAACTATCCGAGCTACTACTAGAGGTAAGAAGCTTCTTTTGGCCGTAGCGCAGTGGCGTTTGATTGAGTGTAAAGGAGTTTTCTACCGTGCATTCATCTTCAAAGATATTGCCGTCATCCTTCCCCATCTCACGCACCACCTGCTCTAGTCGTGTCACCTCTTGGATGAGATCATATACCGTTGGAAGTTCGCTCGCCTCGTCAGCCTCGTCTGTATTCATATCAAGTTGGCGGTATACAGAAGTAGGAGATGGTACTACCATTTCCGCAACTGACATCTGTGGCTGTACAATGTCCACTCGGACCATGTTTATGACCTGCTAAAGACTGGAAGACACTCGACTCAAAACCACTTGTCACTCGTAACATTATTCTTCCTTCCTGATGTACCGTACATTGTTTTTTGATTGTTATTACCATCATTCGTGCATCACAAAAAAGCTGCAATTGCATACGCTGACTATTTTGTCGCAGACAAAAAGTGTAGCCACTATTGAAACCCTTTCACCATGATATTTTTTTGTTTGCTCTTTTTTTGGACCATATTCTGAATAGATCAGATAGAAATAAATGAGCAAATGATTGGGTCTTAGTAGATAATTTCAACGCGACATATCAGCAGATCAATAAGTTACATACATCATTGTATTAAAAAGAATTGCCAATCAACTGCTGGCGATTCATTTTCTTCTACGAAGTCGTGATCATAAAGTCTGACCAATAGATACATATTGAATTTTGTATACAACTCAGAGGCTAGTGTTCATCGCACTTAATACACACAATTCCAGCCCTTCCTTTGCTCTTTAATAAACTATACACGCGGACGTATTCAATACTTACATAGCACCACACTAAGCTGTATAGTAAACAGCACAGCAACAAGTGGCTGTACGCACGCAGGAGACACCAATGGTAGGAGGTGACGGGATCTCTACGTCAACAAAAACGTCACGTCAATCGACTCGAAAGAGCGCTAGCAACACACCGACGCACGTCAATGATACGGAAAAAGAGATTACGATTGCAAATCAACAGCTGGTGTCGACAATATCAACGCTAGCGTCTCGTGTGGAATGCGTGCTATGTAATGCTGAAGCTGATTCAGCTATTCGTCTTGTGCGGTGCAAGAAATGTGGGAACCACTTTCATGCACATTGTGCAAGTCTTCCATTACCACCAAAGGATGGCAACCTCTTTTGTTGCCATCTCTGCTACGCCACGTTTAGCAAACAGCAACAGTCAAAGCATTTTGTCTTTCGCAATGGTGATTATCCTCGACTTGCAACACAAATTCAGAGCGTACTGCAAGAAAAATCGGACCGATTGCAAGTACATCGAAGACTTTCGTCGCTACAATATGTAAGCACTGGAATCCGCAACATTGGACACGGACGTGGAAAAGGAAGAGGACGAGGCAGGGGACGTGGAACAGGCACGAAACGGGAGCTACAAACTGATAGAAAGGATGGATTCAATCACTGTCATCCACCTTTGTCGTTCAAGGATGGTGGACACGTAGAACAGATGCCAGGATCCACTCCGCGAAGTGCAAGTAGCATGCCATATCCCCGACAGAATCCGATGGGAGAGCTTAATAGTATTGATAATACGCCGCACCGCGAGGATAACGACAGGAATTTGCTGTCGTCACCACGGACTGTGTCTCCTGCTTCCCGGCGACCAGTGAGAGGATTTAACACAGAGCAAGATAGACATTTTCAAAGCGCGCCACCAAATATTCCTGCTTCGTCTACGCTGCAGGTCTCCCGGCCAGCTTGCAGTGAGTACGCATCAACGTCAGCGCGTGAGCAACCAAGTGCTGAGACAGGTAGATCACATCATGGACAGTACCCAATTACTGGCCCTCGCCAAGAACCCCAAGAAGATCTTCGCGCGCTTCAATCACCTTCCGGGTTGAATTCCGGGACAATCTTTTTCGGCGGACGGTCGTCGGGGCAAATACCGCCAGTGCCGGTGGGAACGGATCAGAGAATTCCTTCAGGCATGCAGCCACCTCACCAGCAGACGCAAGACAATGGGGTACCACTTCGACGTGTGTTTGAACATCCCTATCGCGGGACACGAGTTGGTTTAGTGGCACCTCCGGCTCCATATACTGACTCTCAATGTGCTGTTTTGGCGCCAGGTACTACTACTATACATGGCCTACCGTCAAGTACGAACAGCTATAGCTCCCAGGGGCCATTTCCTCCACAGGTCTCGTCGCAACTTCCTATGCGTCGCCACACACCTAACATACCCTGGCGCAATCCATCGGCGTTTCCATCGGAGATTTATGAGCGATTTAGCTGCCATTCCGATGATGCCAACCATGTATTTCGGATCGATCTTTCACCCGTCTTTGCTGATAAGGCTACGAAGCTTTACCAAACCGAGATCGACTTTTTTTTTCGTTGCTTTGAATCGCCTGATGTCAGCCTGGTTGTGAAAGGCATGAGTAGTGAGCTCAACCAGTACATCTGGGCATGGCCATTCATTCTCGAATGTTGTGGCAACGACACACACTTTGCCTTCGATCACTTTCAGTTCAAGCAAAATAGTGAGACAAATATGCCGGAGTTGGTTTACGTTGGTGAGCTGCAGTTGTCTATGACATCCTTCAACTCATATCTGGAAAAGTATTTATCTGGTGTCCCCGGCAAAGACGTGGTCGTGCTGAAGGACCACGTTGCTAAAAAAGACTGTTAGTATTGTGACGTCCGAGAGTATTATTGCGCTGAATAATTTGGTGCTTGCGAAGCACTGCACCCAGGTATGAATCGTTATTTTGTACCACCTGAGTTGAGAAACTCGACTGACAATGTTTTGTGCTTTACGTGCGTAATTATTGCAGCTCTACAACGACCTTATTAAGGGATTTCAATGGGACGTGTTTGCTGGCGGTATCCATTGCTTGCTGCAGTATCTTCCACAAGGTAGCTGGCACGAGAAATTTTCGAGTCCAAGACTGCATTTTAATTTTCCTGGGGCGCGAGGATCTCTGGACGATTCCGGCAATGACACTACTGATACTGCGTACCAGGTGAGGACGATGTCGGAGGATGAATGCAAACTTACGAACGCTGACAAACGCTTTGTGCTTTTGCGCGTCTTGAACTGATAGGTGTTGGTGGGGTCATTGGAGTTGATCATCTTTGAGCGATTCGAGCCGCAATACAAGGCCAGTTTTAATCACATTTTGCAACGGTCAGGATATGACGCCGGAAGGAAGACCATGTTATTAGATGCGCATCTTCGCGCTCTCCGGTATGTTTGACTGCTGACGTTTTTTTTTTCAAAGATCTGCATCTTGACTTGTTTGATGAATGATTTATTTCTAGCTCTGCGGGATTTGCGTTCTCGACGGTTCTTTTACAAGATGGAGAATTTGTTCATGTCAACAAGGTGCGTTGTATTGAATTATGAATTGCAAATGCGTGTGCCGAAGACATGACTTTGTAGTGTCTTTACTAATCATCGTTATTTAATCGTCAAAACTGCTCAGGGGCGTCAACATTTTTGGCGTGTCGTAGAAAAAGATAGCGATAGTGGATCTGTTAACGCACCATGTGTGTTTCTCTCTTGGGAATGGGTATACCAGGGTGTATCACAGCGCGGTATCTCCACAGAATGCTGGGTACGTCTCAATGTTCAAGTATGCGTCGGCTGTGCTCGTTTTGTACGTACTGATGCGGATTTATGATGGTAGTTTGCCATGAAGAATGCAAGCATGTGTCCGGATGGACGTGTGTTCGATCCTCGCCGTGCAATTGTCGAGGCTGCCAAGGTGCGTGTGTTTATATGTGCTTCGCGCTCGTCTGCTTGCATGGTCTGACAACTTTCGTCTCGACTGTTACGTAGTGTGGCGTAGCAATCGTGCGAACTGGTCAATTCTTACGATCGGCACTGGCGTCGGGGTGTCCGCACACGTCCCAGTTGCTATCGTTCACAGCTACACCAGCACCCATTGATCGCGGTGTAGTGGCGCAGCGCCAAGCCCAGATGGTGCTCTTTTTGGAGTCAATTCTACCGTGCCTAGATGCCATCGTCGAAGAAACGTATGAGCTGGGGTTATCAAGCATCGATGACAGTGACGAGTTCCGTAAGGTGTTCGATGACGAGGTAATATGGCGTAGAGTGGACGCTGAATTGCGTTACCCACCGGTCGAAGACACCGTGAATTACTCGTGTGGTATTTGCAGACGAGAAATCTCTAATTTGTATAAACAGTGTCTGGGCTGCTCGGTGTACTCGCGTCGATGCCGTCCCAACATGGCGTATCCCATCTTTCGCATCTGCCTGCGCTGTCATTCGCAGCCGGATCAGCACCAGTTCAAACCACGTGCAATTGCTTCGTATTACGACAAGGTGCTGAGCTCAGAAGGCCACACGGGCTTTTTACCTTCCACACGCCGCTACCAGTCAGTGCGCAGCTACTTCAAATGTCGATGTGTGCCATCATTCCGCTGCGCGTATTGTGGTGGATGCGAGTCGTGCAGTTGTTTGTGTCACACGCTGTTCCAGACCCGCTTTCGTTTCACTGCTCCTGGTGCGTCTCATGCTTGACTCGTTTCATTTGAGCAGGGAAAACGAAATGGCTGATGATATCTGCATGTGTCGTTCATCATCTGGCTCGTGTTTGACGTGGATACTAACAGCTTCGATTCGTACTGTGCTCTTTTTTACGCTTTGTTTACGTATGCAGCAAACCTGGAGAGACTGCGAGCGGATGTGGACGCCGTCGTCAAGTACCATCAGCAGCAACTTCAACAGCAACTTCAACAGCAACCAGCAACTTCAACAGCAACAGCAACATCAGTAGCAGTAGTAGCAACGTTAGTTTCTCCTCTAATAATTGTCTTTTTGTTCATCGTCAGCTTGTGCTTTCACAAGGTTGTCGAGTCTAGTTCAGCATACTGTCTATGCTCTGGTTGACTTGTTACTCGAGTGGACGTCCCCAGTTCTAAGAAAGAAAACGACTGTTATTGACACAAAGACGTTTCAATTTGATAGCCATTGACTACTCTTGCGCTTAGTCATTGCCGTTCCGTGGTCATTTGATACGTGTAATCATGTTGTCTGTAGAGCAGTCGAAACAGCACAGAATACAAGGCCAGGACCATTATATCACCCATCCATCCACCAATCAAACCCTTTACACTTACAGCCTTGTGGCAATTGCAAGTTAATTTTACAACTGAGTCAATTATTTCCACAATGGATTGAAATTTGATTATTTGTTATGCGGTAGAGTTCTTTATTATGTTATCGAGATAGAGAGATCAATATAGTCCACGAAAAAAAAGCTTTTTTTTGATGGATCCAATGTTGCGTTTGTTTTAAAGTGCTTTTCTTCTAATGTCTACCAAGCAATTCTTTTGTTTTTGCTTTTTAGGAGTGCTTTTTGCAAAATGATAATTTTTTTTGAATGCAGCTTTTGACACTAATGACTTGCTTCAGACACGCTTGCAGTTTGCTGTTTCCAGACAGGCAATATCTAGTTGGTACACACTCATTGATACCAGATGTTGCCCTGATATTTGTCAAATATCTAGCCATGGACTTGGACAGATCTCTCTACTTGTACACTTTGCCTATTGTGACTACTTTATACACAGTATAAGCACGTATTGCCTGCCATCCTTCTTTCTCATGTGATAGACAAACTCTCGAATTAGAAGGTGCGTAAGGGGGCTCAACTTTATCGAAACATGAATGAACGCTCATTCTCGCCTTGAAAATCACAATAAAAATAACATTATGGACTTCTTCTTCCTCTCTCTCACACGAATTCAAGAGCAATTTTTAGTTTGCAAAAAAGCTATTTCGCCGTCCAAGCACATTCGCGTTAATCGACCGACTGCCTCACGAGCTCTTTTTTTTTGGCGGTAATCTTTGGGTGTTTGAATAAAATAAAAAAAGCACTTTATAACTCTTGAACTCTCCCATCAAGTGTTGTACAACTTCCATTCAAGCGACGCACGCCCAGATTTGACAGAAAAAATAGGATATGGACGCAGTCACAGACTGCCTCAGCGCATCCGTAGGCTGCAGCCATGATCATTATGATGATGGCCTGACGTACTATCGTATCGAGAAATGAAGCACGCAGACTCAAGTCTAGTGGTGCAGCTTGTTAGAGAGGAAAAAGCAACAAAATATCAGCGCTATTTGAAACGGACGCTGTGCATGTAATAAATAGGTTGTCGCCGACTTAATATATATAGCAAGTGAGCTACTTGTAGCTAGCTGTCAAGAGAGAGAGCACTATCCAGATGATGCACGATAGCCGCATTGACGGTTGTCACTAGACGTCGTCCCAGCCATAGCTCCACTTCCTCCTTACCATGCGATGCAGCTGTAAGTTCGGCTAAAAATGCATTTTCTTTGTGAGTTTTATTGGACGCCCCGTCGCTTCACCTACTGACCCGATCGATATCAAGCCAGCGGTCGCCATTCGCTCAAAGGCAAAGGGCTCCAAGATAGCTCAGTCATAAAGTTCCCACCTCGAATGGAAAGCAGTTGGAGCATAATCTGCCGCCCCGAGTTCTGCCCCCGCTTCCCATCCGTGTTGTTTTCGTGTCGAGTGTCGTTTGAACGCGTTTGGGATTGCTTCCCTATCGGTTGTCCAAACCACTACCACCACACATACTATGAAGCGTAACTTTGGATCACTGAATCTTGCGGCGCTAGACCTGACTCGACCCTCGACTATCGGTGCAGATGCCACTGATTGTAGCCTCGAGGATCGATTCTCGGCCATGGGCCCTGGTACTGAAGACTACACTATGGACGCTAGCTCTGAGTATAGTAGCGATGAGAATGTGGGCTTTCCCATGGAGCGTATTCAATTGTCGACCACCACCGACATGCACTTGATACTACAGTCACTCTGTGATGATACGCCACAAAATATTAATATGAAGGACGACATGACAGAACTGTCACTGCCGTCGGTGACTCAGTCGCACAATGGAGACAGCGACGTCCGGACAAGGGAGCTGCTGCACCCGTCGTCATCCGAGACTCCGCAGCCCCTGCACGCTCAGCACCAGGTAGAACTTAACGCACTGAGGTGTTTGAGTCTCAAGGTCATGCTATCCAACCTGTCCACACCCAACAGTAACAACAACATCACTAGCACCAGTGCCAACGCCAGCGTCGCGTCCAACAAGCCCAACTACACATATCCTGGCGTGACCGACCGCACCAAAACGGCGCTTCTGCCAATTCGCCATCCGTCACTACAAAGCGTCTAGATATATTGCCTTCTTCGTAGGGACATTTCTTTTAACTTACTATATCGTAATAGTACGCAATTATTGAATTGGACGAAAGTTACTAAGGTAGAGAGATGCGGACGTCAAATGTGTGAATAAGGCTTTACAAATGTCGCGTCACATATTTGCTGTCTACTTGTATTGCTTTATCAACATGTCCTCGCGTCAACGAGTATATGTTCTAGGAATGTGACCAACGTCAAATACTTTGTAAGCATGATCAGCACTTTGCAATAACAACATCCTGCTATAACAAGTTAATGAAGAAAAGTGAGTAGATATTCTCGTCGACCTTGACAACGGATCAGTATCGTGCAACAACGAATGCCACGTCACGGTTGTAGGTTTTGCAAGCGTTACTCAGTCAACTGTTGCATGTCCAGTCGCGTGGCAGAGAGATAGAGAGCGCTGCTTAGTGCGAGGAACGTCAAACAAGTTGAAGTTATCGCGGTAAAGGAAAGCATTACAGTAGACGAACGAGCATAACGCCAAAGATATATACGGCATTGAGCCCATCATTCACCGTTGACCAGTTCTTGCGTTTGCTGATGCTGTAGGAAGTGCTCCAACATCTGATTACAGTAACTGTAATTACGCAGCTCATAGCTCAATGCACCACATACACTTCACTTTGCTGTACACCACACCCACGCGACACAACAACGAAATGCTTTAGCAAGGTGCCAGACACTTACTTGACAGTCTCAAATGATGCCACTGAAAAATGTTCTGAAAGACGACGGGACGGGATCAGGTCCATCAGAGACTGAAACGCACATGTACAATAAAAGGTAAAGTCGATGGATAGCCGCAGTTTGCAATTGCCGAGATGGTGGCAATCTAGTGTGTCTATTAGACGTTTGCCGTTTCGCACTACTTCAGCTCCATGTCACTGGCAAATGCTTTCATTTGCTTATCTTGTCGTTGTACGCTTGAAGCTGCTCCTTTGTCACATTTTCAGCAGGCTAAAAGCATGGAGTGGCGACGGCCTATTGGGAAAAGCCAGACCATCATCAACGTATGCGCTGAGGCAGCTTGTGGCTGGCGCGAGAGGATTCGGGTAGATCAACTGATTTGACTCAAATCTGGGCGTGCGTTGCATCCGATTTGCAGACATGATTACTTTTTGTCTGATACACAAAAATGTCGCAGAAGCAACGAAACGCAAGAAAAGCAAAAACAAAAGAATTGCTTGGTAGACATTAGAAGAAAAGCACTTTAAAACAAACGCAACATTGGATCCATCAAAAAAAGCTTTTTTTCGTGGACTATATTGATCTCTCTATCTCGATAACATAATAAAGAACTCTACCGCATAACAAATAATCAAATTTCAATCCATTGTGGAAAAAATTGACTCAGTTGTAAAATTAACTTGCAATTGCCACAAGGCTGTAAGTGTAAAGGGTTTGATTGGTGGATGGATGGGTGATATAATGGTCCTGGCCTTGTATTCTGTGCTGTTTCGACTGCTCTACAGACAACATGATTACACGTATCAAATGACCACGGAACGGCAATGACCAAGCGCAAGAGTAGTCAATGGCTATCAAATTGAAACGTCTTTGTGTCAATAACAGTCGTTTTCTTTCTTAGAACTGGGGACGTCCACTCGAGTAACAAGTCAACCAGAGCATAGACAGTATGCTGAACTAGACTCGACAACCTTGTGAAAGCACAAGCTGACGATGAACAAAAAGACAATTATTAGAGGAGAAACTAACGTTGCTACTACTGCTACTGATGTTGCTGTTGCTGTTGAAGTTGCTGTTGCTGTTGAAGTTGCTGCTGAAGTTGCTGCTGATGGTACTTGACGACGGCGTCTACATCCGCTCGCAGTCTCTCCAGGTTTGCTGCATACGTAAACAAAGCGTAAAAAAGAGCACAGTACGAATCGAAGCTGTTAGTATCCACGTCAAACACGAGCCAGATGATGAACGACACATGCAGATATCATCAGCCATTTCGTTTTCCCTGCTCAAATGAAACGAGTCAAGCATGAGACGCACCAGGAGCAGTGAAACGAAAGCGGGTCTGGAACAGCGTGTGACACAAACAACTGCACGACTCGCATCCACCACAATACGCGCAGCGGAATGATGGCACACATCGACATTTGAAGTAGCTGCGCACTGACTGGTAGCGGCGTGTGGAAGGTAAAAAGCCCGTGTGGCCTTCTGAGCTCAGCACCTTGTCGTAATACGAAGCAATTGCACGTGGTTTGAACTGGTGCTGATCCGGCTGCGAATGACAGCGCAGGTAGATGTGATAGATCTGTATGAGCCAGCTTTGCGAGCTAGTTGCCCACAAGGATTCTTGTTTGCAGAAGTATCTGAAGTATGAAGTATAGAAGAAACATTGTGAGAGATGCTGGTGCTGTTACATGCATGAGACTACGGGTTATCGATTTTCAGCAACACATTTTTCGTCATATCACTCGTTCATCTGCTGCAGATTCGTACTCAGGTCTTCCAGCAACACCTTCGTATCGTCAATTAGCTGTGTCTCAGCATGCAGCACGTCAAAGCACATTTTTTGCTTCTCGGTTGACAGCACCAAAGAGGTCCTTTTGCCACTGAGAAGACTCCAATACCGACTCGAGGAAGATGTTGAGAGTGCCGAGTTCTCCAGAAAACGCACTGCACATTGGCCTTGTACTGTCAACTCCGCAACCCGAGACTTCATGCGGCGCACCTCGACAGCCATGAGCTCTAACTCAGTCTTGAACTCACGCTCAGCACGCGATAAATACGGTTGATTTTCCTTTACTGCCTGGAGCACAGCTGCCGCACGCTTGCTAAGATTCTGTTGCACTGCTAGGGCACGTCCCATTTTCTCCTGAAGCTTCTTCATCGAGGCCCTAGCGTCGTCCGCGTTCTTCTGCACAAGCATCACTTTTTCGGCATGCGCCTTTATTATTGTAGCATGCCATTGAAGTCGGTCGTGCATGAGCTGGTCTATCTCGTCAATGTACTCCACGTCCTCGTGCAATATTCTCACTCGCTCCAGCACAAATGCAAGCACAGCGTCGTCAACTTCGTGCATCAACGTGTTGCCAGTCACCCTGGTTCCGCGCGCACTAAGAGCCTCCAACTTTTCCTCGACGATATCTCCAAATGGCCGAATCCCGCCCTCACTTGTATTGCTGCTGTATGCCGTCACGGGAGCCCGCGACTTGGAACATGCCATGGATGCTAACGTGCTGGGTAGTGTCTTCTGCATATTGTCGATACGTTTATCTGTACTAGCATTACTGCTGTCCATAAGTACTCCTTTAAGTAGCTCGCTGGACGCAGCACTAACATTCACGACTTCAAAATCGCCGGATGCCAGACGTAGCAGCAGTAAGTGCCCAAAGTTGACATTCTTTACGACCCGTACACCAACGACATTCGAAACAACAGCATCGGGTGCAACTGTGGCAGCTGGAGAAGAAGGACAGACACTGTTAGGTGATACACTGAAGACGTGACGAACGGAGCTCTTCGGCAGCGTCGTGAACTGCTTGCCCGAAGCGAGCGCAACTACCCAGCTAACGTTAATAACATGCACTCCTGTAGAGTGCAGGCAATAGACTAGCCGCGGGTCAGTAGCGTCCCGCTCGAGCACAGCTTTGCCACCAGAATCGTCAATGCCAAGGTTGAGACACTCCACTAGCAATGCTGGCAGTTTGCGCGCGGCGGTCGTAACTGCTGGCTGGCAATAACTTCTCCACTGCGGCCGTATAGGAGCGTCTAGTAAGATCAGCTCGACATGACCTGATGTATATGTACGCATCAGGAAGGGTGATGCACTAAACGAGCAATTTTCCAAAAAGTTACGTGAAGCATGCGGCACCACCACCAGTGACGTTGCAGAAGATCCTCCAGACACTTGGTTTTTACCTTCCACAATCGACTGGGGTGTCACGTCAACGGGGCCTTGTAGAGCAAGAGGCCACGTATCAGGCGACATGCCGCTCACATGAGGACTTAGGTAGCAGAACGCATCCAAATTAATTTTGTCATCTCCTGCCGGTGACGCTTGTACCTGAGAGCTGTTACGTTGCGCCAGTGAGGATGCCTGCGCCCATCCTTCTTGGAGCCAGTACTTTTGTGACTTCAACTCAAGGAAACGAGACTGCAGTCCGCTGCCAGTGTTTTCCATTTTCTGCTTGCAAATAGTAATCTGCGCATCCACTTCGTTGCTCAAAACCTGAAGGAATGTTTTGCTAGCGCAGCAACCATACGGTACCAATGGGCAGAGTGCGTACACAGAACCGTCCGAGCGTAGCAGATAACACGTGAACGCATCCCAAATCTGTGCCGCGTACATCTGCGAAGCTTGGTGCTGCTGAAGTTGAATCGAAGCACCAAAACTAAAGTACACGGAAACAGCTTTTGTCGCACGAGCTTTGGTAGGAAAATCCAGACGGTGACGTTGCTCAGGTTTAGATACGTCTTGCTGCGTATTAAACACTTCAATCTCTTCTGCATCTGAAAGTACGACGAGATGTTTGTCACTCCATGGGTGCCATGCCGCGTGGCGCACAGTAGAAAAATACCCAATCGATCTCACTGCTGCCACACATTGTTCTTGCGATACAAATGCTACGAACTTGTCCGGAACAGCGCGTCGCATAACCTGTTTCAGCACGTCATCTGGATCACTAAGCTCCTCTTCTTTCAGCATGACATTCTGCTCGCTTCCGTCCTCATATTTCACAAGATACCTCAGCGTTCTTTCATCGCTCTTTCTTCGCTGTAGACTCTGTGGTTTACATGTAACCTCCACAGGCAGGCGTATAACCTTCAGCCAACTTTTGGCCAGTAGTAGAACCTGCGAACCGCTGGCATTGAGCATAATCTGCTCCACTTCTGACACATTGTGTGACTGTAGTGGTGGATCCAATGTCACATGTCTCAGCAGTGGATTGGACATAGTCTGCACCTTCTTATCTTGTCTCTGGTAGAACATGTTGACCAGGAAGAGCTTGCCATTATCGCCCCAGAGCACCGCACCGCCGTCGTGTACATCAAATGTTTGCAGATGCGCAGCCGTACGCAAATTGTTGTAAATGGGGGGGAGATACAGAGCCACATAACTGCAAGTTGGAGCGCAACGCCCAGGCGTCTTCAGATGATGACGATGCAGTGACGCGCATGGTCAAGAGTGAATGAAGGTTTGGAGTGATGATTTGCTGGTGAGAATTGAGATTTACAAATTATACAAACCGTGTACAAAATTAATTCGATGTGACTAATGTCACATTTTACATGTACCATTTGTATTCCACATTATCCTTTAGTTCAATCTTGCTATCTTGTTGACAATCATTCTCGTACATACTCTTGCAGCAGGAAGAGTCACCCCCCTCTCGTCCGATCACTAGCGGATACGGCTACACCTCAGGACAACATACCGGTTCAACTAGTTTGAAGAATGCAGCGTCCTGTGGCTTATCATGTCAAGAACCTATGAGATATGGCCTAGGCGAGTCATAGCGGAGCTGCTGGACGAGCTCGCAGCAGCGAGAGTTGGTCAGTCGGTGAGGGCAGCAACATGGGACTAATCATTCCAACGATATGTGTATTCACTGTATCAAGGCGGCGAATGGTGCCGAGTTTAATCGAAGAGGCACACCAACTGCTTAGAGCGATAAACATTGTGGAGCGGTTTAGGCGATTATCTGACTTAACAGTCCAAATGACGAAAATCAAAATTATTTTCTCAAGCACAGCAATGAAGACGAAGGAATCTGTGGAATACCACTTCTGTCGCATAGTGAGTGTTACAGTGCAATATTTAGGGTACGCCGTGGGAACAGGACATTTCACCGATGTGATCTGGGCTGCGCGTATTCGAAACGTACAACGGCGACTGGCAACAGCAACTTACTTCGCAACCAGCGCCGAGACCAGATTATTACTTTTGAACGTAATCATGCTTCCAGCAGTGCTGTTCTCGGCGGCAGTCTTTGAGACACCACCTTGGGCGGAACAGCATCTACGAAACCTTTAAAGCAATTCATCATTCCACCAGCACGAAGGCTGGACGTCATAAGATTTACCCAGCGCTGCTGTACACGCTTAGATGGGCGGGCGGGGTCGGTTTGGACTCTATACGCATTGCGTGCAAGACGCAGCAATTGAAGCATGTCATGCTATGCTCGCAAACGCAAAAACATCTATTTTGGGCTGGCTTGGATCTTTCGTAGTGCGATACAGGAATGAACAGCAGGCGTGTCTCCATGTCGAGAAACAACGAGGCGGCCCAAGAGCCCTGGTGACAGACTCCAGCAATGAATCAGTCCCTTGCTCGCCCATCACCACCGGATCAGGAAGCACGACAAAATACGGCATCGACGCATCAATAAGCCAAGCTGCGACGCTAAGGCATCGCGATTTTGCTCAGCGCTCCGAGTTTAGAAATAGGGAAACTGTTCCGAGTCTAGCAGGCCCTCGTACCACGTTATCCAAAGCGTCTCACTCATGCATATGTGTATGAAGTATATCACGACGGGCCACATCCGGGGAGTTCTGGCAGCTCTGACCAAGGCGACGAAGTGTGATAGAACAGGAACAACAGAGCAATGAGATCCATTGGAAATTGCCGCGACCAATACCGAGGATCGGTCGGTATACGGCATCCAACTGCTAGAAGCTATGGAGGACCTAAGACGGAGAAGGCATCGTCCTCCACGCGCATCTGCTCTTCGTATTTTTCCATGGAGAGCAGCATATGCATTGCTCGTTTATGGATACAAAGAAATCGAGCAATGCTTTAGCAGGCAAACCTGACTATCGGATGCAGCGTTTAGAAGTTCTGGGAAATCGGCATGCGACAAGTCCGTGCAATCGGTAAGCACGACATCTACACGCAGAAACGTCCACCAACGGTACACGTTTTGCTACAATGCCAGTGCATCATAGCACGGCAACCTTGAGAGCCGTCACCACAGGAGACTAGCTCCGTACAACCACTGGACTCAACCGAGGAACCGGCGTTTCTATCTAACGAGGCTTAGGATCTATTAGACATCTTGCAACGTTAACTACGTCGAATAGATTGTGTGCCTCCCTCTCTTTTTTACATGGCAGCAATTGCAATGCTCAAAATACGTCACGAGTTCAACTGGATGGTGCTTGAACATAAATCATACTCATTAGAATACGAATTTGACACGGACGCCTGCAATGGAGCCAACCGTGTTTGTGTGCGTGTCCATCGGTGTCACGAGCCTCCTACTAATTCTCACTGGAATAGGTATACATACTCGTGGATTCTTAACGTCTGTATTGTGTTGCACTTGTTCTAATTCCTAGATCAAATGTGCATACGTTGATGATATATAGTCTGTCTTGTAAATGTGGAGAATGCATGCCTCGTGACGCATTCTAGTAGCGTCGCAATGCTGCTCATCGGGGCAGTGACACTAGTACCGATCATTGGGTGTCTCTATGCGGCTCATATTGACACATGCGAAACAAACGCAACGGAGGAAATGCGCTTGCTGTAACTAAGTCTTTATGTTTAGTTCATTACAATATGCAGTACTGAAAGTTGGCTAACTTAATAAAGCTTTCTTGCAGAGAAATGCAAAGAAGATATGAGACTCGGGCACAGAAGCAACCTCGGCGAGTATTGATGTACCTTTATGTTGGACACTTGCTGTCTGCATGGGTGCGTGACCAATAGTATCATACCTACTACTGACTGGCAGGAAAACGTATATATTATTATCCTGAGTACATGAATTTTCTTTGCTGTAGGGTGATCGCGTATGGCAGTTTGCTGTTCCGATCCTCTTCATGGAGATCTTCACAGACACATTGCTACCAAGTGCATGCTTCTCATTCGTCATGTCCACCACGTGTCTTGTCGCAATACCATCAGTGGGCCGAAAACTTGATGTCGTGGATCGCTGGAAAGCCATGCGGTTTGCTATTGTGCTGGAAAACACCACCATCATTGCTAGTACTGCATTGTTGGGAGCAATGCTGCTGTTGACAGGAGCAAAAGGACTGCATAAACCAGAGTGGACGTGGCCGTTGACGTTTCTGTTTGTAGGCACACTTATTTGTGGCGGGGTGGGTCAGGTATTTAGTGAGGTGCAAACACTTTGCATCGAGCGCGATTGGGTCGTCGTCATTGCACAAAGCAGTGGAGTGGAGCGCTCAAGTGCACTGGCGGGCCTTAATAGTACTCTCCGTCGCATCGATCTTGCGTGCAAAACGTTGGGACCGCTTGCATTCGGCGTTATCATGGAATTTGCCGGTCACGATCCTACCAAGCGTGCCATGATAGGCGCGTCAACGGTAGCTATTTGGAACGGCCTCTCCACTCCACTCGAGTACTTTTTGACACAAGACATCTACAAACTTGTACCTGAGCTTGCAACCAAGGACAAGAACTCGGAGCCTCAGTACGACAGAGAAGAACAGCAGCAAGATGTCGCAGACAGCAAAAGTATGTTTTCTCGCTACGCAGCATTATGGAGGAATTACACAAAGCACCCGGTCTTCCTGCTTAGTTTTTCGTACTGCGCCCTGTACATGACTATTTTGGACAACGGCTCGCTTAACACTGCGTACCTCAAGTGGAGAGGCGTACCCGATTCGTTACTGGGATTTAGTCGTGGTGTTGGTGCAGTGTTCGGGCTTTTAGGCACCGTGTTGTTCTCATCCTTACGACGGTCGATTACCCGACTAGAACGAGTTGCAGTCCTAAGTATTTGGCTCTTCTGGTTGTGCCTTTTGCCCGTGTTGCTGGTGTTTTTGCTGGCTGGTGAATCGCGCATGTCGGATTACGTCATGTTGGGCTGCATGATTGGTGCACGAATGTGGCTCTGGTGTGCTGACCTCGCCGAGACGCAGATTATGCAAGAATGGATCGAGCCAGGTCGTTGTGGAGCCATTAACGCCATGCAGACGGCCACGTACCAATTGTTTTTCATGCTTATTCAATTGATGGGTATCATTTTCCACGATCCAAGTCAGTTTCAAGCGCTTGTCTTCTTCTCCGTTGGCACCGTGCTTGTCGCAGCGGTAGGGTTCACATTGTGGGATGTTTGGTTTGGTCAATATCGACGTTTGCATTTGCAGCCGATCGTAAAGATTAGACGTACAAACACTACTACGTAAGTGTTTCTGCCTCGTTGAGTTTGCTCATATTGGTAAATTTATTATTAAAGAGTTTAATAGTAGCGTCAGCATCTATATCAACTGTCTTTTGACTTGATGTATCAATCAGTCAGTCAGTCAGTCAGTGAGTACCTGCAGACACATAAAGTGAAAAGAAGTAAAGGAGGATGTCATTTTCAGGGTAGTCATATTTTGCTGTGTCCATATATAGTCAGACATGAACCATTTTGGTGGTCATGAGCGATGTGCAGGCTCAGTAATAAGCCTGTTTTATGGGACGATTGATGCCGGTAAAAATCGTCTCAAAGAAGTATCTCACTGTTACATACACTGGACGACCTACCTCATATAATTAGTCTATCGTCAAGTTGCTGATGACCAGATACAAACGGACACGTATTTTCTAATGACACAAAACGGGTCCAACCTCTATCTTATCATTATTTTGAAAGACCTCAATGCTGTAAATATACAGCCAGTACGTATCTCAGCCAGTACGTATCAGTATAGTAACATCAGCCAGTACGTATCAGTATAGTAACGTCAGCCAGTACGTATCAGTATAGTAACGTAGCGTATGATACAACGATGCAAGCGCGCAATGTCGCCAAAGCTAAAAAACATCAATTCTTTCCCAATCCTACCACGTGGTAATAATCCGCGTCTTTCTATCACTAATTGCTAGCTGAATACTTTTTCCCTCGTAGCTAGCTGAATATTTTTTTCCCTCGTAGATGGCCGTCATTGCTGCTTCAGCTAGGATTTGTGGTACACTGTACCAAGTAGTCAGCACAGATCAAGTAGTTAAGATATAAATAACCTTGTTCTTGTCGAGTAAGGAGGAGTGTATTCGAGCTTACAAGAACGAACAGACAATGTCAACCTCTAGGCTGTCCTGACTATTCTTTACCGCTCTCTTCTTTGGTTTCCCTGTCCCTCCTTTTTCCTCAATACGTATTGTCCATCTGTTTGTACACGTCACGTGTTTGCAACTTGTTCATTCTATCAATTGCTTTTAGTTGCTACCATACGTTTTCGACCCACGCTTTCCATTTCCTCGTCGGCATACACGCTTTAATATTATTATTTAAGAAAGAAAGATGGTTCACGTGCGCGCAATGCACAACCTGGTACTCCTGATACTGGGTATTCCACTCATTACCAAGACACAGGCCTTGAATGTGAATAGTGTTGGAGCGAATGTCCAAGGTGACCCTGAGTTAAACCTCGGCAAAGGTTTGGCTTTAAATAGCGTCGTAGACAATGTAACAGGGAAGAAGACTTCAGAAGAACTAACAACAAAAACGGACGATGCATCGACCGGCAAAATGACCGCCGTGACAGAGAACTTATCGCCAGTTAACCCCATCCAGTCGTCTTTGCTCGCACCGCCACCAGCGCCACCGGATAATTCCACCCCGCCTTCGGATAATTCCACCCCGCAATTGATCTCGCCAACGGTTAATCCCACTCCGCCATCAACCACGCCCTCGGATTCTCTCTCCACGCCACCAAGTAATCCTACCTCGCCACCGAGTAATCCTACCTCGCCACCGAGTAATCCTACCTCGCCACCAAGTAATCCTACCTCGCCACCGAGTAATCCTACCTCGCCACCAAGTAATCCCACACCTCTCATGGGAAGTCTTATCTCGCCATCAGCACTACTGGATAGTCTTCACTCGCCACTGACCCCGCCTTTGGTTGATTCCACCCCGCCTTCGGATAATTTCACCCCGCCATCGATCTCGCCATCGGTTAATCCCATTCTGCCATCAACCACGCCCTCGGATTCTCTCTCCACGCCACCAAGTAATCCTACCTCGCCACCGAGTAATCCTACCTCGCCACCGAGTAATCCTACCTCGCCACCAAGTAATCCTACCTCGCCACCGAGTAATCCTACCTCGCCACCAAGTAATCCCACACCTCTCATGGGAAGTCTTATCTCGCCATCAGCACTACTGGATAGTCTTCACTCGCCACTGACCCCGCCTTTGGATAATTCCACCCCGCCTTCGGATAATTTCACCCCGCCATCGATCTCGCCATCGGTTAATCCCATTCTGCCATCAACCACGCCCTCGGATTCTCTCTCCACGCCACCAAGTAATCCTACCTCGCCACCGAGTAATCCTACCTCGCCACCGAGTAATCCTACCTCGCCACCAAGTAATCCTACCTCGCCACCGAGTAATCCTACCTCGCCACCAAGTAATCCCACACCTCTCATGGGAAGTCTTATCTCGCCATCAGCACTACTGGATAGTCTTCACTCGCCACTGACCCCGCCTTTGGTTGATTCCACCCCGCAATTGATCTCGCCAACGGTTAATCCCACTCCGCCATCAACCACGCCCTCGGATTCTCTCTCCACGCCACCAAGTAATCCTACCTCGCCACCGAGTAATCCTACCTCGCCACCAAGTAATCCCACACCTCTCATGGGAAGTCTTATCTCGCCATCAGCACTACTGGATAGTCTTCACTCGCCACTGACCCCGCCTTTGGATAATTCCACCCCGCCTTCGGATAATTTCACCCCGCCATCGATCTCGCCATCGGTTAATCCCATTCTGCCATCAACCACGCCCTCGGATTCTCTCTCCACGCCACCAAGTAATCCTACCTCGCCACCGAGTAATCCTACCTCGCCACCGAGTAATCCTACCTCGCCACCAAGTAATCCTACCTCGCCACCGAGTAATCCTACCTCGCCACCAAGTAATCCCACACCTCTCATGGGAAGTCTTATCTCGCCATCAGCACTACTGGATAGTCTTCACTCGCCACTGACCCCGCCTTTGGTTGATTCCACCCCGCCGGAATTCCCCGATCTCGCCAACGGTTAATCCCACTCCGCCATCAACCACGCCCTCGGATTCTCTCTCCACGCCACCAAGTAATCCTACCTCGCCACCGAGTAATCCTACCTCGCCACCGAGTAATCCTACCTCGCCACCAAGTAATCCTACCTCGCCACCGAGTAATCCTACCTCGCCACCAAGTAATCCCACACCTCTCATGGGAAGTCTTATCTCGCCATCAGCACTACTGGATAGTCTTCACTCGCCACTGACCCCGCCTTTGGATGATTCCACCCCGCCTTCGGATAATTTCACCCCGCCATCGATCTCGCCATCGGTTAATCCCATTCTGCCATCAACCACGCCCTCGGATTCTCTCTCCACGCCACCAAGTAATCCTACCTCGCCACCGAGTAATCCTACCTCGCCACCGAGTAATCCTACCTCGCCACCAAGTAATCCTACCTCGCCACCGAGTAATCCTACCTCGCCACCAAGTAATCCCACACCTCTCATGGGAAGTCTTATCTCGCCATCAGCACTACTGGATAGTCTTCACTCGCCACTGACCCCGCCTTTGGTTGATTCCACCCCGCAATTGATCTCGCCAACGGTTAATCCCACTCCGCCATCAACCACGCCCTCGGATTCTCTCTCCACGCCACCAAGTAATCCTACCTCGCCACCGAGTAATCCTACCTCGCCACCGAGTAATCCTACTCGCCACCAAGTAATCCTACCTCGCCACCGAGTAATCCTACCTCGCCACCAAGTAATCCCACACCTCTCATGGGAAGTCTTATCTCGCCATCAGCACTACTGGATAGTCTTCACTCGCCACTGACCCCGCCTTTGGATAATTCCACCCCGCCTTCGGATAATTTCACCCCGCCATCGATCTCGCCATCGGTTAATCCCATTCTGCCATCAACCACGCCCTCGGATTCTCTCTCCACGCCACCAAGTAATCCTACCTCGCCACCGAGTAATCCTACCTCGCCACCGAGTAATCCTACCTCGCCACCAAGTAATCCTACCTCGCCACCGAGTAATCCTACCTCGCCACCAAGTAATCCCACACCTCTCATGGGAAGTCTTATCTCGCCATCAGCACTACTGGATAGTCTTCACTCGCCACTGACCCCGCCTTTGGATAATTCCACCCCCGCCTTCGGATAATTTCACCCCGCCATCGATCTCGCCATCGGTTAATCCCATTCTGCCATCAACCACGCCCTCGGATTCTCTCTCCACGCCACCAAGTAATCCTACCTCGCCACCGAGTAATCCTACCTCGCCACCGAGTAATCCTACCTCGCCACCAAGTAATCCTACCTCGCCACCGAGTAATCCTACCTCGCCACCAAGTAATCCCACACCTCTCATGGGAAGTCTTATCTCGCCATCAGCACTACTGGATAGTCTTCACTCGCCACTGACCCCGCCTTTGGATAATTCCACCCCGCCTTCGGATAATTTCACCCCGCCATCGATCTCGCCAACGGGTAATCCCTCTTCGCCCAAACAGGTGATAGCTACTCCTGAACTTGGTTTCAGCTTGTCTCAACTGGTGAAAAATACTTTTCAACCGGTGAAAACTCCCGAGTTGCTTCAAACGGAGAAAGATGGTTCCAAGTTGGTGAAAGATACTTTTCAACCGGTGAAAACTACCCCCGACTTGCTTCAATCGCCAAAGGATAGTCTCAATAAAATTTCGTCATCGGGCTCTTCAGATAGTAGCATCTCCCCGCCGAACTCTATTTCAAAGCCATCGAGTCTGCCAAATGTAGGTCCCCTCACGCCCTTAGTGCCTTTGTCACCAGTGAGCACGCTGGTTGTTCCAACAATTCCTCCAGCGCCATCGGATCTCTCGAAAGGTAACCTTTTCTCGCCGGCCCTGTCACACCCAAAGAAAATTGATTCATCACCTTTAGCGGAAGATGGTCTGCTGCCTTTAGCCAATGAGGATTTGTTATCAAAATCTTCCTCGATTAAGATACCAGACCCGAACAAGTTATTGCGAATTGAGAAACCAATCACCGCTCTGATTGTGAAGAAACCGATCGATTCTGATGATGAGATTAGCGATGCTATCGATATTGTGTCTCGCGTGCCTGTGCCGAAAGTACATGGAGCTACGAAGTCACCTCTTGCCATCGAAACGAACCCTGTTATCGAGGATGAAACCTACATCGAGAACGGTCAGGATGCATTGGAGCAGAAGTATCAAACCCAGTCAGATGTGGTCATGTACGATGCATCTGCCAAGCCGATCATAGCCAGCATTAGCGATTCGTATGATCCATTTGCAATCCCGGACGATATTATCGAGACTGAGAAGGCAGTTGTGTTGGACTTCGCGGGAGGCACCAATGGAGACGGATCTGATAACTTGATGACGTATGTGCGAGGAAAGGCGGTCGCACCTGACAAGATTACTTCTGGGGGTCCCAGCGTGATTGGTGGTCGAAATACTTATGTGGACACGAATAACAGCGATGTGCTGTCATCGTCAGCCGCGACTTTCCACGAATTCTTGCGTTTCGCGTCGGTAGCATTTGCTGGTATTTCGGTGGCATTGCTTCTTTTCTTCCACTTCGTTTCCCTCGACGCCAACTTGTTGTGGGTCAATGCCGCGTGGAGCCCGAATACATGGGAGTTTCTTTTTTACGTGGGCTATTTGCAGCAAATGCAGGCAACGTCGGAGCTGACGCTTTTCAAGACTCCATACTTTGTGTGGGACTACACGGACTCGTTTGCATGGAGCAACTTCTTGATTCAAGGCTCTACCAGTGATTCAACCGAGCCTCGTCGACTGGAAACAATTGTGCTTGGTGGCCTTGTATCGTACTCTGACCGTATTGGCATTCCCGAGGCGAACATTCTGGTACAAGGTGCCATTGGTTTTGCTGTGATAATGGGCATCCTTGTGGCGGTCTTTTTGGTGTTAGCTGTGCTAGCCAAGCGGAAGGCGGAGCGAGCCCTGGACGAGTCCTCCGATTTAAACAGCTACACCTCCGGTGTACACCGCCTCCGCAGCGTGTCCATCCGTGCTCTTGGATTGTGCGTGTTGGCTTGGTACTTCGCTCTTTTTCCGCTAAGCATGCTGGCGTCGTTCGAGATTTCGATGGAAAAGCAGGCATCGTCAGTGGGCGACGCGCTTGTGGTGGCCATCATTGCGCTAGTGCTGGTGTGCTTTGGTGTGCTGGCTGTTGCTGGTCGTGTGATTATGCACAAGACCAAGGATGAGCTAGAGCAGTTTGAGAACTTAGCCACGTGGGGGTCGCTCTATTGCGAGTACACATACCGCAGCCGAATGTTTTTCGTGATTGATGTGGTAGTGCAGATCACGACAGGTATTCTCGTGGGCTCCGTATCGGGTGACCCTACGCAGCTTATTGTTGTCACGGGTATCCAAGCATTGTACCTTGCGTGTGTTTTCATCATGTCACCTTTTGCAGAAATTTTGGTGCTTCGAATCACATATGCGCTGGGTCTGCTCAAAATCCTGAATTTTGGTCTAGCGTTTGCATTCCTGAATACGAACAGTATGTCGGCCTCGGCTCGAATGCGCGTGGCCCATGCTTACATCGGCATCAATTCGATTGTAATTCTAGTCTGGTTCTTACGTCAGCTCATTGTCTTTAGCACGTACATTCGCGCTTGGATGGTGCGTTCTAACGACAACTCGCGCCACAGCAACTCGGTGTTCAAGTACAATCCGCGGACGGAGACGGAGTCCGACATGTGGGCCAGCCAGTTTAATGGCTTCAATGACAGCAGACTGAATGATAGCAGGCTCAATCCATCTGTGAATGGTGCCACACTATCGATGCCTCCGGGTTCTTCGGTACAGTCGATGCATTCGTCAGAACCGAGTAATTTGTCTGCAAATTTCATGCCGACGCACAATCTCGTGTCTTCGCAGCAGTCGATGATACCATCATTCGGTTCGGAAGCGCAGTTCCAGCAGCAGATGGCTCGCAAGTACGAGATTGGTTTTTAACTAAAGGATGAGTGATGAGATGGATTTATATTATTTTTTAGAGAGAAAGAGGAAGACAAGCGAAGCCTAACGCAGGAAGCAAGACAAAGTGATTGATGATTTGTTTCTTACATAACGCAATGTCAGGAGCTACTTTGACAAGGTCGAATAAAGTTCCTGCTAATATATTATTGCGATCTACAGTCACTCGTAACACGTTATTTGGACCTTGCTCGAATATCAACTCACTTTGTCGATTAAAACACGGGATCTGGTCTTCACATTAACCAGTTCCTTAGCTAGCTACCTCCTATCACTCTAAACTGCTCTTACATAGCACCACCACCACCACCTGTGATAGACGTATGGATATCATCAATTCCCTACCGAATTCCATTTCAAAGCTTCAAAAGTGCTGTTAGGATGTATCGAAACGGAATCAAGCAACTTTCTCAAGTATTAAGACAATAAGTTGCTTGATTTTATTAATACTTTGTTTGTGTTCGTCGTATTTACTTGACCATGGTGGTAAAACACAATTGAAAGGATTTTCACGTGTCTTATCTATACAAGTAGAAACATCCGACACTAGTTTGTTGGTATAGATTATCTATGTCTTTGGAAAGAAGAAACAGAAATCGAGATTTCAGCTGAACGTTATTGTCCCATCCCCACGTGTGCATCCTTTTTGACAAAAAATGATCTTGTTATTCATTCATATATACAAAAACCGTTTGATACGAATCAATCTACTATTCTATAGCACTAGCTATGAAGAAAAAATGCATTGTATCAACTTGATGACAAATTTGACTCACAGGTGGGATGAAGTACCATAAAAAACAGCCGTTTTTGTAGAGGCAGTACAATGGTCGCAATTCTAAAGACCAATCAGCCCGACGCTATTTCAGCATAAGAGTGTTTGTTATATATACATATATATATATATATTTATTACCGATACCTCGCCATATACAAAAAGAGACAAGTAGCAATTGATCCAACGTCTCTCTTTACATTTATTCATACATAACATTCAAGTACTTTATAGGGACCGACTGACTAACTCACTGACTGACTGACTGACTGAGAGAGATAGAGAGAGAGAAGGAGCAAAAGGACTTAGGACAAGAACAGCGCTTGAACGAGTTTTCTCGTGATTTTATAGACTAGACACACTTATTTACTCAAAAGGATGATGGAAACCAAACAAAGATGGCAGTGGAATTGGAAACGAAAACGAGTCTATATGACATCGAGTCTCCTGTATATACTACTTTTCATAGCCGTTGCTAGAAGCAAAACAGGTTTTGTAGCGGCAGAGAGTGTGGAGAATGTGACTGGAAAGAATCGAAATGTAGCTGATTCAGAAATGACAGGAACTATAGCGCCAGACACAAAAGAAGCGGCGTCTTCTCGTGCGAATAGTATCGCATCAAATTTGGGTACAACTACAACACATACTACCAAGACAAACCCGGTCTTGGACCAGAAATTTAGGGATGCATCGAACTCTACAACGCACACAATGGCAACACAGACAGAGTGGACAGATGCGCCGAACGAAAAACCTACTGCGTCTATTTCTGGATTCAGCATTAATTCAAATACGCAGGGTATGACTTCACCGGAGTCTGCTTATGATTTAGGCAGCGATTCAAGCAGTGATTTGGGCAGTAATTCAAGCAATGACTATACGATGCAGTGGACGAATATGCCAACTGATGTTCCTCCAAATCGTTTTGGTTTGAATACAGACGCACCAATGCGGCCGGAATCTATAACAAATGCGCGATTGCCGACCAAAGTGTCAGAGGAGTCGACTGAATTGTCAGACGAGCTGACGGACTTGTCAAAGGAGCCTGCGGCAGCAAATGCTCCTACGACGACTTATGGCTCGAGCAGTGATTCGGGCAGTGATTCAAGCAATGACTATACGATGCAGTGGACGAATATGCCAACTGATGTTCCTCCAAATCGTTTTGGTTTGAATACAGACGCACCAATGCGGCCGGAATCTATAACAAATGCGCGATTGCCGACCAAAGTGTCAGAGGAGTCGACTGAATTGTCAGACGAGCTGACGGACTTGTCAAAGGAGCCTGCGGCAGCAAATGCTCCTACGACGACTTATGGCTCGAGCAGTGATTCGGGCAGTGATTCGGGCAGTGATTCAAGCAATGACTATACGATGCAGTGGACGAATTTGCCAACTGAAGTTCCTCCAAATCGTTTTGGTTTGAATACAGACGCACCAATGCGGCCGGAATCTATAACAAATGCGCGATTGCCGACCAAAGTGTCAGAGGAGTCGACTGAATTGTCAGACGAGCTGACGGACTTGTCAAAGGAGCCTGCGGCAGCAAATGCTCCTACGACGACTTATGGCTCGAGCAGTGATTCGGGCAGTGATTCGGGCAGTGATTCAAGCAATGACTATACGATGCAGTGGACGAATATGCCAACTGAAGTTCCTCCAAATCGTTTTGGTTTGAATACAGACGCACCAATGCGGCCGGAATCTATAACAAATGCGCGATTGCCGACCAAAGTGTCAGAGGAGTCGACTGAATTGTCAGACGAGCTGACGGACTTGTCAAAGGAGCCTGCGGCAGCAAATGCTCCTACGACGACTTATGGCTCGAGCAGTGATTCGGGCAGTGATTCGGGCAGTGATTCAAGCAATGACTATACGATGCAGTGGACGAATTTGCCAACTGATGTTCCTCCAAATCGTTTTGGTTTGAATACAGACGCACCAATGCGGCCGGAATCTATAACAAATGCGCGATTGCCGACCAAAGTGTCAGAGGAGTCGACTGAATTGTCAGACGAGCTGACGGACTTGTCAAAGGAGCCTGCGGCAGCAAATGCTCCTACGACGACTTATGGCTCGAGCAGTGATTCGGGCAGTGATTCGGGCAGTGATTCAAGCAATGACTATACGATGCAGTGGACGAATATGCCAACTGATGTTTCTCCAAATCGTTTTGGTTTGAATACAGACGCACCAATGCGGCCGGAATCTATAACAAATGCGCGATTGCCGACCAAAGTGTCAGAGGAGTCGACTGAATTGTCAGACGAGCTGACGGACTTGTCAAAGGAGCCTGCGGCAGCAAATGCTCCTACGACGACTTATGGCTCGAGCAGTGATTCGGGCAGTGATTCGGGCAGTGATTCAAGCAATGACTATACGATGCAGTGGACGAATTTGCCAACTGATGTTTCTCCAAATCGTTTTGGTTTGAATACAGACGCACCAATGCGGCCGGAATCTATAACAAATGCGCGATTGCCGACCAAAGTGTCAGAGGAGTCGACTGAATTGTCAGACGAGCTGACGGACTTGTCAAAGGAGCCTGCGGCAGCAAATGCTCCTACGACGACTTATGGCTCGAGCAGTGATTCGGGCAGTGATTCGGGCAGTGATTCAAGCAATGACTATACGATGCAGTGGACGAATATGCCAACTGATGTTTCTCCAAATCGTTTTGGTTTGAATACAGACGCACCAATGCGGCCGGAATCTATAACAAATGCGCGATTGCCGACCAAAGTGTCAGAGGAGTCGACTGAATTGTCAGACGAGCTGACGGACTTGTCAAAGGAGCCTGCGGCAGCAAATGCTCCTACGACGACTTATGGCTCGAGCAGTGATTCGGGCAGTGATTCGGGCAGTGATTCAAGCAATGACTATACGATGCAGTGGACGAATATGCCAACTGATGTTTCTCCAAATCGTTTTGGTTTGAATACAGACGCACCAATGCGGCCGGAATCTATAACAAATGCGCGATTGCCGACCAAAGTGTCAGAGGAGTCGACTGAATTGTCAGACGAGCTGACGGACTTGTCAAAGGAGCCTGCGGCAGCAAATGCTCCTACGACGACTTATGGCTCGAGCAGTGATTCGGGCAGTGATTCGGGCAGTGATTCAAGCAATGACTATACGATGCAGTGGACGAATTTGCCAACTGAAGTTCCTCCAAATCGTTTTGGTTTGAATACAGACGCACCAATGCGGCCGGAATCTATAACAAATGCGCGATTGCCGACCAAAGTGTCAGAGGAGTCGACTGAATTGTCAGACGAGCTGACGGACTTGTCAAAGGAGCCTGCGGCAGCAAATGCTCCTACGACGACTTATGGCTCGAGCAGTGATTCGGGCAGTGATTCGGGCAGTGATTCAAGCAATGACTATACGATGCAGTGGACGAATATGCCAACTGATGTTCCTCCAAATCGTTTTGGTTTGAATACAGACGCACCAATGCGGCCGGAATCTATAACAAATGCGCGATTGCCGACCAAAGTGTCAGAGGAGTCGACTGAATTGTCAGACGAGCTGACGGACTTGTCAAAGGAGCCTGCGGCAGCAAATGCTCCTACGACGACTTATGGCTCGAGCAGTGATTCGGGCAGTGATTCGGGCAGTGATTCAAGCAATGACTATACGATGCAGTGGACGAATATGCCAACTGATGTTTCTCCAAATCGTTTTGGTTTGAATACAGACGCACCAATGCGGCCGGAATCTATAACAAATGCGCGATTGCCGACCAAAGTGTCAGAGGAGTCGACTGAATTGTCAGACGAGCTGACGGACTTGTCAAAGGAGCCTGCGGCAGCAAATGCTCCTACGACGACTTATGGCTCGAGCAGTGATTCGGGCAGTGATTCGGGCAGTGATTCAAGCAATGACTATACGATGCAGTGGACGAATATGCCAACTGATGTTCCTCCAAATCGTTTTGGTTTGAATACAGACGCACCAATGCGGCCGGAATCTATAACAAATGCGCGATTGCCGACCAAAGTGTCAGAGGAGTCGACTGAATTGTCAGACGAGCTGACGGACTTGTCAAAGGAGCCTGCGGCAGCAAATGCTCCTACGACGACTTATGGCTCGAGCAGTGATTCGGGCAGTGATTCGGGCAGTGATTCAAGCAATGACTATACGATGCAGTGGACGAATATGCCAACTGATGTTTCTCCAAATCGTTTTGGTTTGAATACAGACGCACCAATGCGGCCGGAATCTATAACAAATGCGCGATTGCCGACCAAAGTGTCAGAGGAGTCGACTGAATTGTCAGACGAGCTGACGGACTTGTCAAAGGAGCCTGCGGCAGCAAATGCTCCTACGACGACTTATGGCTCGAGCAGTGATTCGGGCAGTGATTCGGGCAGTGATTCAAGCAATGACTATACGATGCAGTGGACGAATTTGCCAACTGATGTTCCTCCAAATCGTTTTGGTTTGAATACAGACGCACCAATGCGGCCGGAATCTATAACAAATGCGCGATTGCCGACCAAAGTGTCAGAGGAGTCGACTGAATTGTCAGACGAGCTGACGGACTTGTCAAAGGAGCCTGCGGCAGCAAATGCTCCTACGACGACTTATGGCTCGAGCAGTGATTCGGGCAGTGATTCAAGCAATGACTATACGATGCAGTGGACGAATATGCCAACTGATGTTTCTCCAAATCGTTTTGGTTTGAATACAGACGCACCAATGCGGCCGGAATCTATAACAAATGCGCGATTGCCGACCAAAGTGTCAGAGGAGTCGACTGAATTGTCAGACGAGCTGACGGACTTGTCAAAGGAGCCTGCGGCAGCAAATGCTCCTACGACGACTTATGGCTCGAGCAGTGATTCGGGCAGTGATTCGGGCAGTGATTCAAGCAATGACTATACGATGCAGTGGACGAATTTGCCAACTGATGTTTCTCCAAATCGTTTTGGTTTGAATACAGACGCACCAATGCGGCCGGAATCTATAACAAATGCGCGATTGCCGACCAAAGTGTCAGAGGAGTCGACTGAATTGTCAGACGAGCTGACGGACTTGTCAAAGGAGCCTGCGGCAGCAAATGCTCCTACGACGACTTATGGCTCGAGCAGTGATTCGGGCAGTGATTCGGGCAGTGATTCAAGCAATGACTATACGATGCAGTGGACGAATATGCCAACTGATGTTTCTCCAAATCGTTTTGGTTTGAATACAGACGCACCAATGCGGCCGGAATCTATAACAAATGCGCGATTGCCGACCAAAGTGTCAGAGGAGTCGACTGAATTGTCAGACGAGCTGACGGACTTGTCAAAGGAGCCTGCGGCAGCAAATGCTCCTACGACGACTTATGGCTCGAGCAGTGATTCGGGCAGTGATTCAAGCAATGACTATACGATGCAGTGGACGAATTTGCCAACTGAAGTTCCTCCAAATCGTTTTGGTTTGAATACAGACGCACCAATGCGGCCGGAATCTATAACAAATGCGCGATTGCCGACCAAAGTGTCAGAGGAGTCGACTGAATTGTCAGACGAGCTGACGGACTTGTCAAAGGAGCCTGCGGCAGCAAATGCTCCTACGACGACTTATGGCTCGAGCAGTGATTCGGGCAGTGATTCGGGCAGTGATTCAAGCAATGACTATACGATGCAGTGGACGAATATGCCAACTGATGTTTCTCCAAATCGTTTTGGTTTGAATACAGACGCACCAATGCGGCCGGAATCTATAACAAATGCGCGATTGCCGACCAAAGTGTCAGAGGAGTCGACTGAATTGTCAGACGAGCTGACGGACTTGTCAAAGGAGCCTGCGGCAGCAAATGCTCCTACGACGACTTATGGCTCGAGCAGTGATTCGGGCAGTGATTCGGGCAGTGATTCAAGCAATGACTATACGATGCAGTGGACGAATATGCCAACTGATGTTTCTCCAAATCGTTTTGGTTTGAATACAGACGCACCAATGCGGCCGGAATCTATAACAAATGCGCGATTGCCGACCAAAGTGTCAGAGGAGTCGACTGAATTGTCAGACGAGCTGACGGACTTGTCAAAGGAGCCTGCGGCAGCAAATGCTCCTACGACGACTTATGGCTCGAGCAGTGATTCGGGCAGTGATTCAAGCAATGACTATACGACGCAGTGGACGAATTTGCCAACTGAAGTTCCTCCAAATCGTTTTGGTTTGAATACAGACGCACCAATGCGGCCGGAATCTATAACAAATGCGCGATTGCCGACCAAAGTGTCAGAGGAGTCGACTGAATTGTCAGACGAGCTGACGGACTTGTCAAAGGAGCCTGCGGCAGCAAATGCTCCTACGACGACTTATGGCTCGAGCAGTGATTCGGGCAGTGATTCAAGCAATGACTATACGACGCAGTGGACGAATATGCCAACTGAAGTTCCTCCAAATCGTTTTGGTTTGAATACAGACGCACCAATGCGGCCGGAATCTATAACAAATGCGCGATTGCCGACCAAAGTGTCAGAGGAGTCGACTGAATTGTCAGACGAGCTGACGGACTTGTCAAAGGAGCCTGCGGCAGCAAATGCTCCTACGACGACTTATGGCTCGAGCAGTGATTCGGGCAGTGATTCGGGCAGTGATTTAAGCAATGACTATACGATGCAGTGGACGAATTTGCCAACTGAAGTTCCTCCAAATCGTTTTGGTTTGAATACAGACGCACCAATGCGGCCGGAATCTATAACAAATGCGCGATTGCCGACCAAAGTGTCAGAGGAGTCGACTGAATTGTCAGACGAGCTGACGGACTTGTCAAAGGAGCCTGCGGCAGCAAATGCTCCTACGACGACTTATGGCTCGAGCAGTGATTCGGGCAGTGATTCGGGCAGTGATTCAAGCAATGACTATACGATGCAGTGGACGAATATGCCAACTGAAGTTCCTCCAAATCGTTTCGGTTTGAATTCGGAGCCTACTTTAGTGTCGACGCCGACACTGTGGAGCCCGCCTCCGGTGCAAAGGAATTCTAAGATGAAAATGTTGTCACCTGCAGAATTGTCTGGGTTGAGCATTTCTGCATCCCCTACAGGATATTCCTTTTCTGACAGCTCGTCGCAGTCGTCTGAATCTTCAGAGGTGTCCTTGAATGCTGAGGAGGATGCTATGACTAGTCCACCGCCAGTGAAAAATATCCCGCGAACGGAAACTAGACCGACGATTACAGCTCCTCCGTCCAAATCGAAGAGAATGTCTGTCGTAGCCGATCTTGAGGATGACGACACGACAGCTTCAGCGTCAGCAGGTTCAAGTACGTCAGATGCATCGGATACGATTTATAGCCTTCCGCCGTTGACTAGTGCGCATATGCAAATTACCGCTCCGACGAAATCAAGCCCGACAACAAAATCTTCGGGCGCGAGTGCTGTGGCTGAGTCATCGCCGTCGTTGGAGCCTACCGCACCTTCAGGCTCGTCACCAAACGAATCATCGTCAGATGTCGATCTACTGAGTCCTGCACCGGTGACAAGAGCCCCTGCGCTGACGAAGAACTCGGCCGAAACTTACGACGACGGCAATGACGTTTTGCAAACGGTACAAACATCATTGGAAACGTCCTCATCCAGGTCAGCGGTGCCTAGCCCGGCATCAGTGATTAGATCGCCTATGGTGAAGGGGGGTAACAATGCCTCCGTCTTTTGCTTCGCCAGGCTCAATGGGGACGGTGACTCCTGCTGACACATCCGTCGTTAGTCACCCGGCAGTCGAGACAGTCAAGATGCATACTGGTTTAGGGAGCAGCGATGATGAAGCCAACAAGAACACGAATAATAACGACGATATGATTCTACTTGGTGACACAGGCTCTTTAATCATATATTCGGACGGAAGCAAGGTTTCAACATTTGAGAAGTACGATCGTGGTGATGGCGTTCTGAAAGCTGGACAGGTTCTTAAAGATGGAATCAGTTCATACAACAACATCATTGTTGGTGGAGGTAATCGGTCAAATTTACCGCCTGGTGCTGCGATCTCACTGTCTTCTACGTCACAAAAGATACACAACACGCTGCTCTATGCTAGCTATGCGCTCGGAGTCATCTCCACAGTACTGCTGATGTTCTTTCATTTGTTGGCTCTCCAGCGCCCACCGTGGCTGAGTGGATCTCCAGACAGCGGTGACCAGGGTGGAGGCAATGGTCGTGCCAGCATGGGTTGGCTTACTCCGAATGTGTGGGAGTTTGCTGTAGTGGTGGGGTACATTCAGCACGTTAACTCCATTTCGATGCTGGAGCTAACGAAGGCGCCGCAAATCGTGCTGGATTTTACAGACTCGTTCTCATTTGCAAACCTTCACCTTTCGTCTGTGACAACTACTGCCGTTTCTGAAGCCTCACGCAGATTGCAGCTGGTCATCTTGACAGGAATTGTTGCCTTTTCTGACCGTATTGGCGTCGACGAGGATAAAGCACTCATAAACACTGTTTGGTTTTTTCTAGCGGCTTTAGCCATCTTAGTTGTGCTCTTCAGCTTGGCTGCTGGATTCACATTTTACCACCATGTGTCGGTAAATACGTGGGCAATGTTTTCGAAAGCTCTGCGCAGCAGCTTTGCCATGTGCGTGGTGGGCCTAAGCGTGGCAATGTGGGTAATTAGCGTTTTTCCACTTGTGGCCATGTCTTCATACGAATTGGTCATGGAACTGCGCTATCGAGTTGGGATTGGTCTTGCTGTGGCATTGTTCTCTTTGTGGGCCGTCGTCGCTGGAGGGCTGTGTTTTGCGTTTGTGAGCGTGCGAGCCATTCCGATGAGAGATGCGTTTCATTTCAAGCATTTTACAGTGTGGGGATCGCTCTACGGTGATTCGAAGATGGTCTTCCGTTACTTCTTCGTGGTGACGGTAGTTTTCCAAGCACTCCTTGGTGTGATTACTGGCGCTGTGTCGGGTGTGCCAGCCCAACTAGTGTCGTTAATGGTGACGCACCTGTTATTTGTAGTCGTTGCGCTTATCATCCGTCCATTTGCGGCTTGCTGGGTACTGGGCGTCGTCGTGAGTTTTCGCGTTGTCGCGATTGCAAACTTGCTGTGCAGTTTCGCCTTCCTCACGTCAAGCGAACTGAGCATTCACTCGCGTGGTATTGTGGCACAGACTTTCGTGACCTTCAACGCAATCGTGTTCATTCTGCTCTTCGCGCGCTACGTTGCCATGTTTGTGTTAGCACTGAAGCACTGGTCAGGCTACACTCGTCGTGAGAGTTTCGATCTCTCACGCGAAAGCTACGAGCTAGAAGAGAGTCTTGCTAGCTTGCATAATGACGAAACCCCCATGGTTTTGACGAACAATGCGCGTGACCACCGGCGACTCAACGACGGTGGAAGCTTTATTACTTCGGGTGCCGAGTTTGCGTCATCTCAAAACCCAGAATACTCATCCGCGTATTTTGAACAATATGCGACCACACCTGCGTACTGTTCTGGGCAGCGGTATGTACCGACACCAGCCGGATCGTCAGCACATTTCTCGAATTCAGGTACCCGTCGATACTCACGTGGAGTTCCAAGTTATTACTAATAGGTCGAAAGACACAAATTTTGATAGTATTTGTCTATTGTAGATGTTTGTGAATAAGCTTGTATGCCTTTATCAAAGTGGCGCTTTACAAATGAGTTTGGTATTATCCATTGAACATCAAGCGTCCGCAGCATCTCCATCTTTGCATGTAATTGCCTTACAACAATGCGGCACGGTTCAGTCGTCATATCGCTTCGTTCACATCTTCATCTCGAGGAGTCTGAAGTTTTCTTTCAGGATTATCATCATCACCGCTGTCAAACGAACAGCATTCGTTTAAAGGTACACGGGATGGTAATAGCAGCGAATGGTTGCGCAGAAAGTGTCGGCATACAGCTTGCAACTGAATTGCATTTGCGCGGTCGGCTGCTTCGGCTATTGCCTCGACGCTACCGATGCGTACTGCGTACTGCAATGCCTGCTCACAGCGCTGTTTTAGATGATCCAACATAAATTGATCTGCAGCCACAAGCAGTTCCAGCAAAGACTGCAGCATCGTTTCCAACCCTAAATCAAGAGACTGGGCTTGTGCTGTTTCTTTACGGCAAGCTTCTTCAAATTCGTTAAGCCCGTCTGCGGATTGCGGGCAAGCAGCTACATTTTTGCTGACAAATTTTAGCTCGTGAGCCACACCTTGAGTTATCGAGCACATAGCAAACGCATCATCGTGTGTTTCAACGTGTCCTGTGTAGAGATACTCAAGCAGTAGTAAAAAAATCTCGTAACGCATCTCCGTAATAACAACTTGAGACTCTCGAGCTTCACGAAAGCCTGAAGAGAACATTCCACGAAACCGTGCACATAAGGCTGACAAAATTATTTTGTGTGCGTACACCACGCGTCCTTCGACAAGCTGATAAACACAAACATAAGCGCAAAGTACAACAACTTAGTTACTCGTGTCAACTTGGCTAAGCAAGCTTGGAAAACCTTACGAAAGAAATATCAGCAAACTCCTCGCAGTCAACATATTGAGCGAGCGCATGTCGTAGCATTCTAACTGGCGACGGAAGTGACACAGAAGCGCGTGGAGGTGGGTCTGTGTCGAGTGTGAAGCAGTCATTCAGATAGTTGGCACCGCATGAGCCTCCAAAGATCACGAGCATGCGGTCCACCACTGTGCACGTGTGCCCAGCTCTTCGCCCGGGTCCTCTCCCTACCACATAAAGAGTTTTTCGTCGTTTTGACATCTCCACGTCAAGAAACTCGCACATTTCGTTTGGGTTCGCCAAGCCGCAAGAATCGTTAGCTAGACCTTGTGCTATTCTCATCGCTTCTCCATCACTATGAGCATCTTCAAACTCCTCGTCACTGTCTAGATCATCATCAAACGCTTCCGTATCATTTCCAGCCAAAATCATATTCTGTTGTACGTCATCTTGATAGATGTCCCATCGACGTCGTGTTCGACTAGGATTCGATCGATAGCTGTGTCTCCACTTATGTCTCTGTCCATTATTTGAGTTCTCGGTCGTGACCATGGCAATCGTCTCTATCCATTCGTGTCCATTTGGGTCATAAACATGTAAATCATCATAACATTTCGATGACGGACCTGATCCTCCAAATACAAAGAGTAAATCTCGATGACACGCCATTGTCATGCCTGCTCGAGGTAATGGTGGCGCAACATCCTGTCTCGTGTGAACTCGAATCTCCTTGTCCACAGCTGACCACGTCATATGCCGTGTATCCAAGACATGAATATCATTCAGTCGTTGTTGACCATCCCATCCACCAAAAATAAGTAATTCATGACCAACCATAGCTGAACTATGACTTGCTCGTGGAGCTGGTGCTTGACCACGTGTCTTGATCCTTGTCCATGTCATCGTATGAATCTCTAGTGCATGTAAATCATTTAAATAATCACGACCATCACCTCCTCGAAAGACTACGATACTACCAAGATGATTAACATAATCGGCCGTATGCATATTACATGGACCAAGGGGTACAGTCACAAGTGGCTGTGCCCAACTTAATGTCTCGAGATCCAAGAGATATAAATCCGATGCAGCTAATGGACCACTACCGAGCCATCCACCAAGTATAAATACTTTCCCTTGTGCTAATGTAGCAGTATGACCATTTCGACCACTTGGTGCACGACCTTGTGTCTTGTGGGATAATTCATGCCACGTCCAGTCAAGGAGATTCAATACATGTAAGGTATTATGATTATGTCTGCCATCATACCCACCAAATACTAAGATTTCATGATTTGAAATAGCTGTAGCTGTATGATTCTTTACTGCTGGACCAGTCCATGATGATGATGATTGGAGATAATGGAGTCCAGCGCAACCCCATGATGATAAAGTTATACAAAGAAATAGAAAGAGAGAGAGAAAGACTGACTGACTGACTCACTTGCAACGTTTTATTTATATAATGTGCTAGAGGTTTATATGACATACAGTATACCTGTTTGGGTTTATCTTTTTATGATTAAGGTAGCATACAGTTAGAAAGCAGGTTTGTGTGTTGTGTGATTGACAAAAGGTGTGGTATTTATAGAAAAACCGTCGTCTTTGCAATATGTTTTTTATTCGTATAAAATGATAAAAAGGACCTTTTACTGGTTTGTCCCTTTTTGTTTTTGTTTTTCGGACCCTTTTTCTTTATTAAAAAAGCGTTTTGATGGTGATTTTTCATGTCAAATGTCGACACGACCAAAGCGAATTTTTGTTTAACGCATCGGTCTCGACTAGTCACGACGTGTTGATTCGCTCCTTGTGCCGTATACAAAACTTACAATTGTATTTATTAACGCTGTCGAATGCGATTGAAAAGATAGGACGTGACGGTGTGACCAAACTGCTACAAGAACAGAGGAGGAATCACGCGTACGAGGAAGGAAGAGCCGATACAAAAGAGCATGACAAGGTCAATCAAGTAGACGTAATGGTGTGGCCTAAGTGCGAGGAAATGAGTCTGCAGCTTGAAAATATTTTGATGCGAGTGGCTGCTGATGCTAAAATGGCAGTGGATAGCAAGACACAAGTGGCTCGACGGATCTGCATTACAGAGATTGAGTTGATGGAAAAGCTACAGACTATTCGTAAAGCTGTGGCCATGGTATTCCCTATGGGTCTACCAACCCATGACCCAGTGAAGGTTATGCTGGATGCAAAAAGTGTAGAAGAAGCGCTGGCAGACTTTTCCGTTGTGTTTCACGTCATGCCAGAAGACACGGCGGAGCTGTGGTGGGCGGGAAAACCAATCTTACGTAACCAGTACGTACGTGACATAGCAGGTGAGAACGAAAAGTCGACGCTAGTGGTCCAATTACAGAAGAAAGGAGACAGTGCGCCAAGTCGGGAACTCGGCGTGAGTGAGGACGAGCATAAAGCAAGGATGGTATTGTGCGATAAGAAACAACAGGAACGGCAGCAGGCTACCGACGATACTGCAGAGGATTATATAATGTCATCTTGGGTGGACTCCAAGGCGCTCAAGAACTCGATCCATGGCACTGATACTATTCGACCATTTTAATCAGATTCAAACAGCACAAGCAACAGTGTGCACTCACATGAAACAAACGAGCTAGCATTAGTGATAAATTCCGTGACCACACAAAACTCAACACATTGCGAAGGAAAGTCAACAACGCCATCCAGCGACGCGTCGTTTCAAGCTTGCTAATTTCAACCAATACTTGACCTTAGATTTGACCGTTTTAGCCAATCATTCTTACTCACTAAGCCACGATGTTCAGCGACTCAGCAACATTTATCATGTCGAGCATCGCTGTGGGTATTTGCCACCACGTCTTGGCATTCGAGGCGCCACTGCACGAACGCAAAGCTCTTCGCGCACTTAAATGCGCTGTGTATTCACGTATAGATGATATTGAACCTATCAATACGAATTGCACGTCTTACGGTAGTGTGGCCATTGCAGATGCGGAGGTTTTCCAGTTTTTGTCTTTCCTCCTGTCACCTATGGGTTATATAATGTATCCGAATGAGACGAAGCAGCTTTTGGCGTTATTAGAATTACTCGGGAATGATCAAGACTTACAGGCTTTGCATGATAAGACTGTACAGTCTCTGCACAAGGATAAATTGGTGACACTGACTCAATGGGAAGACACCTTTGCTCGTTACTCAGTCTCAAAGACCGGTGATAGTCGTCGTCGTCGTCGAGTGTTTGTGCTGATCACTTACCGTCCAAAAGAGCTCCTGCCACTGTATATGGCGTCAGCTAGACGTGCAGTAAAGTTTGTTAATGCCGTGGTAGCTCTGGTGACGGCCAATGCCTACGTTTCGACGCTAGGAGGAGGACACTTTTTGTGTCGCCACTTGAGCCAGTCGACGCTATTGGCCAAGCTGCAGATCGGTATTTCTATGGGACTGAAAGACCCGATATTGGAGGGAAAGTGCAGAGTGAATCTCATGTATAATGCACTGCAGTTGGGTAAGTTTAGACGAGCAAAGAGGATCTTGAGACAAGAAAAACTTGTTGCGGAGCAGCTGGATAGTGACGAACTCCGCAGTGTCTGTCATGCTGCCAGTGTATACTTTGACAAGATGGAACGACTACACAAAGATCAAGTGCTGTTTCATAGGAAGAACGGACGTCCTGCTACGCTACATGATAATTTTTACCGCCAGAGGATTGTCCGCATGACCAAGTGAGAGGACGGCAACTTGTTTTAGACTCAGTTTCATTCCATTTACATGCAACAAGCTGCAATAGATTGCAATTGCTTGGAGGTCATCGATAGAGTACCGTACAACCAGACTATTTAAAGTGACCATTCACCCCAGCATTTCTATTGTTTGGTTGAGGATGCTACTCTGCAAAGGCTACCTGTCGGAGACAACCGACAGGCCGCCTTTGCAGAATTAGCGATTGTACTAATATAAGGCTTTCTACCACACGTCATACTTCTCATGACGACCTCTTGATTGCATACGCGTTGCCATTTCTATCTATTCCTCTAGCCTAGCTCATCCGCCCGGCTCAGCTGTGGTCAGTAAGTTTGAGCTCAAGTACGCAATAATGGTGTACGCTGCTAATCAGTTGAAAACATACTTATAACAAGCAATCACAGAGCAGATAGAATTCTTTACATTGTTGCACAACTACCTCTAGATGAATGATTTTCATAGCAAAGATGTTACATTTTCGCGTTTCAAGAATGCTGACTACTTTAACCAAAATGTGGTCAAGATACATACGACGGAATAAGCAAGTTTATCATTTTTTCACGCACATGTCTACATGGACACGTCAGATTCAATTAGTAGTGACTATACATATAACAAGGGCATTAATGTGGTTGACCGATCCAATGAAGAAAAGCTTCATGACTGAAATTGCTGGTTCAAAATGTTATTAAAGGCAATATATGATGTGATGACATCTTGTGTCAAGAAGTTGACAGACTTTGGTAGCAAGGTGGACATTATCATAGCTATATCAGCGTCAAAGAATGACTTAGCTTTGTATGTTTTACTAACAGGACCTGTGTCAAAACAATCTATCCATCTTCAAACCACCATTGATATACACTAAGTACGACCTACACTAAACCAAGTCTCCATTAATAACATGCTGCAAGCTCATCGTATAGTGATGACCTGCATTCCAATGGGCTGTCGCGGTTTTCAGCGTTCCGTGGGTGTTGTGGGTATGCCCAATGTAGGCAAGTCAACGCTATTTAATGCATTGACCAAGACCGAAGTGGCTCAAGCTGCCAACTATCCATTTTGCACCATCGGCCCTAATGTAGCGCGTGTAGCGGTGCCTGACAAACGCGTTCGTCATTTGGCTGAAGTAGAAAAGTCCAAGCGAGTGATTGAGACACAGGTTGTAAACTAGATTAGTCATTAGACCCATACCATTGCTTGATAACTGACTGAATAGACATTGTTTTTTCTATTGACAGCTCGAATTCGTGGACATTGCGGGTCTTGTGCGCGGAGCTTCGCAGGGTGAAGGACTCGGTCAGTATTGGGTGCAAATAACATATCTGCAATGCAAGTATGGTAACTAACAGATATAGTGATTGGCTGCGTGCTAGGAAATAAGTTTCTGGACAATATACGGCAAGTAGCAGTGATTGCACACGTCGTGCGTTGCTTTGAGGACACCAACATCGTCCACGTGGATGAATCTGTAGACCCGATACGCGACCTCGATACAATTCGTACTGAACTGATCTTGGCAGACTTGCAAACAGTTGAGAAGCGATTGACAACCCTTGCGAAGAAGAAAAAGTTGGTGTTGGTGGATTGCTATTTAGTACTGGGGTGCAGTCTTCTTATCCTTGTTTGTATGTCATAGGTCGACAGATCCTTCGATTCCGCCACTGTTAAATGTTCTCCAGTGTTTACAGCCACATCTGGAGGACGGAAACCTTGCAGAAGGTATGACATTTGAAAAGCCTGACGAGCAATTGCAGTTTGAGCGTCTCCAGCTGCTAACGGCCAAGAAAGCGCTCTATTTGTGCAATGTATCGGAAGACGACGCTGCTACGGGAAACGGAATGACGAAGGCTGTGCGTGAGCGTGTCGAAGCAGAAGGAAGCATGTGTCTTACGGTGTCGGGGTCCTTGGAGGAAGCAGCTGCCTCTTTCGAGGACGATGAAAATCAGCTGGAATACCTGAACGAGAGTGGCTTAAAGGAGACAGGATTGACGAAAGTCATCCGTGCTAGCCAGGAGCTCCTCAAGCTGCAGACCTACTACACTGTTGGTGAAAAGGAAGCGCGTGCGTGGAATGTGCTCGCTGGATCAACGGCAGCTGTAGCAGCTGGTGTAATTCACTCGGACTTTGAGAAGTTGCTCATCCGAGCGGAGACTGTCAGCTTCGGGGACTTTGCAAATGCTGGCAGTATGCGCGCGGCCAAGGATAAGGGATTGCTGCGCTCAGAAGGCAAAGATTACATTTGCCAAGATGGGGACATTTTTAACTTTCTTGTGGGAAAATAGACGCCGGCGTAATATGGTATTGCATCACTTGTCGACTTTGCAATTCCTGTTTTCTACTAGAAGTCTAAGTAGCTTTTGCGTTCCATTTCTTTCTTCACCTTTTTGCATGCACATAGCAAAACAGCTGGATATGATAGAACTAAGGAGCTACTTACGTGCTCAACAAACGTATTTTACTGCTGAATGAAAGTGACTGGGACTGGCGCTGTGTAGATACATTCAATGTTGAATGAAACGTAAGACTCTTTTGGCATTTTACATGCATCTTTCCAAAAGCAAGCAGCTAGTTTAATAGTTTTGTAATCGAAAATGCGACTTTTCTGCTGCAGCGAAGAAGAAGACCAAAGTACTTGCGTTGTTGCAGCTTTGAGTAGAAAAAACTCATGCATACAACGAGCATTGTTCGTAATTCCAGCCGTGTAAAATATTCGTATGTCATTAGTGCAGACAAAACAAAGAAAGCGCAAACAAAGAACACCGTCTTCAAAGGTCAAAGAGTAGGTCAAACAAGTCAATTACAAGTTGCTGTGTTGGCGATGTTGCAGCTACAACTACAGTTGCACCGCTCCGCAGATGACAACCCATGGCGCACAGCGGGATTAGATCGGCACGTGAATAGATGAATTGATAAGAGAGAAATGTAGAATGAAATCCAGGAGAGAGATACATAAATTAAAGACCAAGACTTACCCGCTCGTAAACTAAGGATCTTGATTGAATCAGTTTGTAAGCTACTTTCTAACAAGTTAAAATCCACAGGTTTTACCGACCGAATTGCTCAAGACATGATGCAGCAGGGCTGCAAATGGCAAGCGCCAAGGAAGACTTAGATCAGAGAGTCTTTTAGTTCGTAGATCAAACGATTCTATACCAGAATCACAAGCAGACACGCAAGAGAGATATACCTGAAAAGGCTTTACTCTGAACGCAATATCATGCAAACTGAACTTATGATTGCTTGCGGCCATCGCTAGGCGGCCAATTATGCAAGTATAACTATAGGCTGATAATAAAGCTGAACCGGTGGCTATAACGCGGCCCCTTCTATGTAGTGTGCACCTCATGTGCTTCTTACTTATGTGTCTTACACACCATAACGTAGCGTGACATGACCTCCAAACAAACCTAAGAAGTAGAAGTAATTTTGAACTCAGGAATACGACGTTGAAACGGAACGAGGTAAAACTGAGCAAGATCCCGGACAACTGTGGTGAAGCGGCGGTCCAAAACGCATTAAGGATCGTAACTCGACACTCACGTGAGGTTCTCCGATGAAGAACTGCGGTCAACTCTTTTTAGTACCGTCTGACTGGCAGTGATTTCCCCTTTGCTGGGCTTGCAAATCCTTATCACCCAACGGTTGCTTCACCTCTGTGGTCCCGGTTCTCTCCCGTTCTCTACCCCTAGTGCAATATTCCTTCTTTCTTGAATTTACTAATCCTTGGGTCCTCCACATTTTAAAAGCACTATACCACACCGAGCTCTCATTCTAGATACTCAAATGTCTTGGTCCCTTGACTCTTTTTTTAGCATGTCTGCTACTTGATGCTTCCTATTAAAGTAGTCATTCATGAGCAGTTCGCACTTCACGCTCTCGCGAATGAAGGCATCACGAATATCTTAATGCTTTGTTATCGTGTGGCTCCGAGTGTTATTCGGTGCAACCTTTCCTTGATTGTCTTCTCAGACAAGTATTTTCCAACATGCTCGCGACGTATGTCCTTCAGTATCGCACGCACCCAAAGCGTCTTGTGCGTGCAATCTCAGATCCATGTATTCATCAGGTTTTCCTGACGCCAATGACGCTTTCTAGCACTAGGTACTGAGATAGCAAGGTCAGTAGTTGGATTAGCATCCACCCTTTCTTGAAAGCAATCGCCGGTAACCTATCGCGTGAGAGGTGCTGGCAACTAGTATCAGAAGCAGAAACTCTGCAAGCATTCAACTCGCAGTGGATGATACTTGACGCTTTGCTTATGCTTTGCTAAATCCAAGTGTAAGAGACGTTCTAACCAAACGCCTCTCTTCCTTGAGCTTAAGCGTAAGTCGTCTAGACTTTTAAGATTACAAGCTCGTTCAATAGCACGGGCTAACTTGTGACCATCAGGAAGAGATATCTGACCTGGTGCTAACACCACTGGCACGGATTTCTTAGGTGGTACCGGCGCCCCACGTGACTGTCTTGATAGGCTTCCTCATACACTTCGTCGTAACCTGCTGAAAAGTAAGTAATCGCTTACAATGAGCAGTGCAATGATAGAATCCTCAAGCAGTACGGGGCTCGGGTCTAATGAGGTGGGCTCAGATTGACTGAGATGCAGCTCACAGATCTTACTCATCAGCGCATGATAAACACACCCATAGTCACGATGTAAAAACATTTGTTTTGGGCGTGCTAAGTCGGATGATCCGGCCTAGATTGAAATCAAATAAATCAGATTGATACCTGCTGGTGAGCATTTGTAGCTTGAAGCGTAATTTCTTGCTAAGGAAATTGTATCTGTGGTCTCGTGGACACGTTTGTTACTACCAACAAGGCTTAAGCTCGGGTAGATTGCCTTGTGAACGATAATAACCTAATCTAAAGACATTAATCTTGTAAAGATCGTCTTTCTTTGGACTTAGTGCATTTTGTAGTATAGCTTCAAGCCGAATACAACTACTCTGTACACCAAAAGATAACATTTTTTTGCTTTGAGGCGCCTTGCTGAAACTACAAGGTTCATTTGTATGTAAAAAAATTAAGTGGCGGCCGAATCAAAGAAGTTGGACCATCCCAAAGACGCTATCGTCCATCTATACTATTTGTTTCAACTACATTGAATGAAAATGAATCCTTAACAGATTTTATGTACGTCAACATGTCATCGGACGAAGTTGTGGAGGCGATCAAGAAGCATCTGGAGATTGGTAGTATCTTTTTAAGCGACAAGTATCAAAAACAGGTCAGCTATGGGCTGTTAGGATCGCCCGATCTCAAGGTCGACATAATCATGATTCATAGCATAGTGCAGTTGTCGACGCGCCGATAGTTTATGTTATAGCAGTAAGCTTATGAAATCAACATCTACTTCAACTTTTTCTTGTTGAGCTTTGGAGTCAAGCGCATGCAGCGAGCAATGACCAAAGACATTCGCTGCGTCAGAAATGAAGTGTACTTTAAACGGGTACGGGTGAATACGACGTAAAAACACAAGCTGTTCACAAGCTAGCTTACGTGAAATAATCTTCGAGCTTGAGCGGAAGTGCGCTTGCTATGTGGCAGTTGCAACTTCCCCTCCAAGTTCACATTCGAACACGACTTGCAAAATGAATGTGCTCCCAGCTCATAGAAGCACAAGAGCATCAAGCCTACGTCCAAATTGCTGTCGACACTAGACACGTCAATAGAGCATCAGCTGAACAGGATGTCAAACTTGACAAACTTATACTTGCCGCCCAGCACCTTCTTGGCCGGCGTGTTGGTGGCAGGACTCCTTGATTTTCATTTTTGACGTGAAAAAATTCCCTCACAAGCTGCGGCGATACCGGTGTGTGGCAGAGCGCTTGAACGGATCGGTCGACAGAGACAGCGAGCTGGCTTCAATTGCATGTTACTTTTGTCAATGGCTTGAGATGAGGATTTAGGCAACTCAACACAGGGAGTGCTAGGCCTCATCAATACGCCGATGGATTTCGGTGAGACGTTGCAGACCATATTTGTCGTGGCCGTGAAAGAGCCAAATAGTGACGTGGTTGCGTATCTTTGCACCCTGTGTTTGCATGCGGGGGAAGTTCTAGGTGAGATTTCCATGCGGGGGAAGAGTTTCTTAGGTGAGATTTCCATGCTTGGTGGCGTCTGCGACCCGCTACAATGGAGTTGTCAAACATGCCGTCACCGGATCCAGAGTCGAAGCAATGTCTTTGGACACACGTGACCTTACGCGTGGAACGTTCAAGTGGTGCAACTGTAGAAAAACAGAGACGGTATCCCGTGCTTTGTGTGGCGCATGTAAGCCCACTAACGTCGTGCTGACTGTCACTGACGAGATTCTTCAGTCCAGGGTATCATAGTAGCAAAGTGAAGCATAAAAAACGCAAAGAGATCGAGAGCTCTTCTTTACGACGTCTTATGCTCGTGCTCGACGAGGCAATAAGAGAAGGTTTGCACTGTATACATAAATTGTAAGCTCTGCAACAAATATTCCGTTTAGTTTGCGTCCATGCAGGGCTGCAAGAAACATGATTATTGTTGGTTTGCCTTTGACCGCTTCATACTCAAGCAACAGAAGTTTTAATTCATATGATAAAAAATCGCACCAGAAAAATTTAACGTATTGCTGTCAGTATTTCATCCTTGTTTGTAACGCTAAATCGGCTACAAAACGAGTACCATGAACATTCTACGTGGCAATCTCCGCCATAGTAGCTATAAATGATCACTACAAGTCGAACCTAAGCTTAGCCAGTCGCTCGCTCTCATTCCACAGGTTTTCTGCAGCAGCTTTATCATGAGCCGAGGCACTGGGCTGAGCACGCTTCGGCTGACCCCACATTCCAAAGAAATTACCAGGTCCGTAGTAGTCATTACTCTCAACATCAGGTCCGGTGGGAGCGTACAAGATGGGCCGATACATCTTGGAAAATAGGCAAAAACGCACAAATGCGCCACAAAAGGCGAATAAAGAATCCTCCTTCTGTGGCACCAGGGTTAGCAGATTCGTGGACGTAATGCCGGGGTGGCAAGCCACAGAAGTCACGCCCAGCACATTATGCTTATTGAGACGTCGAGTCAATTCAAAAGTAAACAGTATGTTACTCAGCTTTGACTCAGCGTACACTGCCAACTCGCCGTAATCTCTGCCATCTTGGCGCATAATTGGGGACCCCGACTTGAAATGCTCTAATTGGCGTTCCGAGGGGGGGGGGGGGGGGGGGGGGGGGGGGGGGGGGGGGGGGGGGGGGGGGGGGGGGGGGGGGGGGGGGGGGGGGGGGGGGGGGGGGGGGGGGGGGGGGGGGGGGGGGGGGGGGGGGGGGGGGGGGGAGGGGAAAGGAAGGGGGGGGGGGGAAAAGAGGAGGGGGGGGGGGGGGGGGGGGGGGGGGGGGGGGGGGGGGGGGGGGGGAGAAAAAGGGGAGAGAAAAAAAAAAAAAAAGAAAAAAAAAGAGGAGAAAAAGAAGAGGAGGAAAAGGGAAAAGAAGAAAGGAGAGAGGGAAAGAGAAAGAGAGGGAGAGAAAAGGGAGGAAGAGGAGGGAGAAGAGGGAAAAGGAGGGGGAGGGAGAAAGAAAGAAAGAGAAAAAAAAAGGGAGAAGAAAAAAGGGGAAAAAAAAGAAAAAAGAAAGAGGGAAGAAGGGGGGGAGGGGGGGGGGGGGGGGAGGGGGGGAGGGAGAGAGAGGGAGAGGGGGGGGGGGGGGGGGGGAGGGGGGAGGGGGGGAAAAGAAAAAAAGAAAAAAAAAAAAAAAAAAAAAAAAAAAAAAAAAAAAAAAAAAAAAAAAAAAAAAAAAAAAAAAAAAGAAAAAAAAAAAAAAAAAAAAAAAAAAAAAAAAAAAAAAAAAAAAAAAAAAAAAAAAAAAAAAAAAAAAAAAAAAAAAGAGAAAAAGAAGGAGAAAAAGGGAAAAAAAAGACAAAGAAAAAAGAAAAAAACAAAGCGCGCGGCGGGGCGCCCGGGAAAGGAAAAGGGTGCCAAAAAACAGCTCCCGGGAGGAACGCTCGAATCACCCCCAAGCAGGGGGGAGAAAAAGAGTGGTGCAGGAATACACGATATGCTTTGCATTGCACTCTTAGCGACGTGCAAGCACATAACAAATTGTTGGGACTGACTTTGCGTGTTACTGGCGGCGGAACATATCCATACAGAGCTCGACAGGAGCTCGGACCACGGCACCCCACGCGTATCTTTCATACGTACTTGTAGGTGTATGTCACGAAGGCCACATCCGAGTTGTTCAGGCAGCCTCAAACCCAGGTCAGCACGGTGTGATAAAAGTGGAACAACAGAGCAATGGGATTCATTGGAAAATTGCCGCAACCAACACCGAGGATCAGTTCACGGCAGCCGACTGATAGAAGCTACGGACGGCTCAAGACGCAGGGGGCGTCGTCTTCAAAGCGCATCCGCTCCTTCAGGGGTTTCCATGGAGCATGCCTAAGTCCGTTTCAAACAGACATGTGCTATCTACACTTGACCAACAAGCATTTCGGCGGTGCAAAGGTTCCGAATATTCACTGCGGCCACTCTGCAACGTCTCGCAAGTCGCGGCCCGAGGGAGTGCATGGCAGTCTGCACCTTTATAGCAGACACCATGAGCAGTATGGGACCACGGCCGCGTGCTCACGGAGTACCAAGTCTGGGTCGTGCACCAAGTGGCCGTACGGCACTTGAATCTCTACCATGCTGACAGGGTGTGCGACACCATTTGTCTTAAGTTACAAGGCTGTCGTGGAATAAAGGAGACGCTGGAACATATTTTTGGACGTGTCCGTGTGCGCAACAGTGCTGGCAAAAGATCATCTGTCACTGGACTAGGGAGCGATGAAAGCTGGGACGTCTTCAAGGTTTCCTAGCCAATAGTGCCAGCCGACGAGCACCAGAGTTATCCACAGTAGAACGTGAATAGTTTGACCGTGCTTACTCCGACGGCGCGGGCGCTTACGTCGACGTGTGGTGGCGCCTATGGGTAACCCTTAGTGTATGGGATCCGCAGTCAAACTTACATTTGCCAAGAGTGTTCTCACTCCACTTAACAGGCGGCATTCTGCCCAAATCTCCCGACATCAGGGTGCTACGGCGATGTAAATAATGTCAAACATGTCGAAATCCCATTTTGGTCATGACCTCGTGGATGGGACTCTTGTCGACTTTCTCGATCGATGTTTCTACGAGAACGTTCTGATGTGTAGACGCGCCTGGACTCTGCAACGCTTTTGAGCGTACACATTGGTGCTCTCGCGGTTGTGGCATTTCGCTCTGTATGGATATGTTCCGCCGCCAGTAACACGCAAAGTCAGTCCCAACAATTTGTTATGTGCTTGCACGTCGCTAAGAGTGCAATGCGAAGCATATCGTGTATTCCTACAACAAAGTCTTTGTATCAGCCATGCTTGAGGGTGATTCGAGAGTTACTTCCAGGAGATGAGTTTTGAGAAACATTTCATGTATCGGGCGCAGCAAGACGGACGTAGGAATGTTCATTCGTCATGGAAGAATTTGATTACAAATTGACAATGACTTTAACCCTAGTTATTACGGAGCGCTATTTTGATTAGTAATCTTAGTGATTGATTACATGTTTTTTGCTTGTGCTGTAATCATTAGCAATTACGTGCTCATTTGTTTTTGTAATTCTTAGTGATTACGTATTGATTTATTTTTGTCCGAGCTTAGTTTTCTCACGACTAATAAAAAGTTAATTCCAACAAATCACCGCTTCTAGTCACTCGTTCACATAACAACAACAATGACAAACGTCCTCAAGTTCTGGAATGCATCACATATTACTTTCCAGAAGGGAAAGACTGTTATCATCACGGGTGCCAACTCTGGTATCGGCTATGAGGCAGCACTCGAGCTAGCACGTAAAGAAAGGGGCAAACGTTGTGCTAGCCTGCCGCAATGAAAGCAGAGGCTTTGAGGCTCAGACTAAACTTCGGGAAGCGTTGTCCGACACGTCTGGTGCCGGTAATGTGCAGTTTATGATGCTCGATGTGAGCGACCTTGGCAGTGTGCAGAAATTCTCACACAAGTTCAAAGAGAAACATGATCGGCTGGATCTTCTGATTAATAACGCAGGGGTAATGGGAGTTCCATACACCAAAACAGTAGATTTATGAGCGTCAGTTTGCTACCAACCACCTCGGTCATTTTGCGCTAGTGGCACAGCTTTTTCCTCTATTGAAACAGACCATGTCGTCTCGTGTGGTGAATGTGAGTAGTCTCACACATCGGAACGCCAAACTAGAGCATTTCAAGTCGGGGTCCCCAATTATGCGCCAAGATGGCAGAGATTACGGCGAGTTGGCAGTGTACGCTGAGTCAAAGCTGAGTAACATACTGTTTACTTTTGAATTGACTCGACGTCTCAATAAGCATAATGTGCTGGGCGTGACTTCTGTGGCTTGCCACCCCGGCATTACGTCCACGAATCTGCTAACCCTGGTGCCACAGAAGGAGGATTCTTTATTCGCCTTTTGTGGCGCATTTGTGCGTTTTTGCCTATTTTCCAAGATGTATCGGCCCATCTTGTACGCTCCCACCGGACCTGATGTTGAGAGTAATGACTACTACGGACCTGGTAATTTCTTTGGAATGTGGGGTCAGCCGAAGCGTGCTCAGCCCAGTGCCTCGGCTCATGATAAAGCTGCTGCAGAAAACCTGTGGAATGAGAGCGAGCGACTGGCTAAGCTTAGGTTCGACTTGTAGTGATCATTTATAGCTACTATGGCGGAGATTGCCACGTAGAATGTTCATGGTACTCGTTATTGTAGCCGATTTAGCGTTACAAACAAGGATGAAATACTGACAGCAATACATTAAATTTTCCTGGTGCGATTTTTTATCATATGAATTAAAACCTCTGTTGCTTGAGTATGAAGCGGTCAAAGGCAAACCAACAATAATCATGTTTCTTGCAGCCCTGCATGGACGCAAACTAAACGGAATATTTGTTGCAGAGCTTACAATTTATGTATACAGTGCAAACCTTCTCTTATTGCCTCGTCGAGCACGAGCATAAGACGTCGTAAAGAAGAGCTCTCGATCTCTTTGCGTTTTTTATGCTTCACTTTGCTACTATGATACCCTGGACTGAAGAATCTCGTCAGTGACAGTCAGCACGACGTTAGTGGGCTTACATGCGCCACACAAAGCACGGGATACCGTCTCTGTTTTTCTACTATGTTGCACCACTTGAACGTTCCACGCGTAAGGTCACGTGTGTCCAAAGACATTGCTTCGACTCTGGAATCCGGTGACGGCATGTTCAACAACTCCGTTGTAGCGGGTCGCAGACGCCACCAAGCATGGAAATCTCACCTAAGAAACTCTTCCCAAAACTCCCGCATGCAAACACAGGGTGCAAAGATACGCAACCACGTCACTATTTGGCTCTTTCACGGCCACGACAAATATGGTCTGCAACGTCTCACCGAAATCCATCGGCGTATTGATGAGGCCTAGCACTCCCTGTGTTGAGTTGCCTAAATCCTCATCTTAAGCCATTGACAAAAGTAACATGCAATTGAAGCCAGCTCGCTGTCTCTGTCGACCGATCCGTTCAAGCGCTCTGCCACACACCGGTATCGCCGCAGCTTGTGAGGGAATTTTTTCACCTCAAAAATGAAAATCAAGGAGTCCTGCCACCAACACGCCGGCCAAGAAGGTGCTGGGCGGCAAGTATAAGTTTGTCAAGTTTGACATCCTGTTCAGCTGATGCTCTATTGACGTGTCTAGTGTCGACAGCAATTTGGACGTAGGCTTGATGCTCTTGTGCTTCTATGAGCTGGGAGCACATTCATTTTGCAAGTCGTGTTCGAATGTGAACTTGGAGGGGAAGTTGCAACTGCCACATAGCAAGCGCACTTCCGCTCAAGCTCGAAGATTATTTCACGTAAGCTAGCTTGTGAACAGCTTGTGTTTTTACGTCGTATTCACCCGTACCCGTTTAAAGTACACTTCATTTCTGACGCAGCGAATGTCTTTGGTCATTGCTCGCTGCATGCGCTTGACTCCAAAGCTCAACAAGAAAAAGTTGAAGTAGATGTTGATTTCATAAGCTTACTGCTATAATATAAACTATCGGCGCGTCGACAACTGCACTATGCTATGAATCATGATTATGCCGACCTTGAGATCGGGCGATCCTAACAGCCCATAGCTGACCTGTTTTTGATACTTGTCGCTTAGAAGATTCTGGGTTACACAAAGTGTGTATTGCACATACACCTGCACCACCACTGTGCTTTGGATGCACTGGGTATTTGATTTGACCGTGCTCAAGGTACGAAGGGTAGCATCGTGGCAGTAAGCCGCGTGTTCATTATGCTTAGTTTAAGTATCATAAATATATTGGTTTACATATTAGTAGGCTACAGAGCCAGATAAATAGTGAATAGCACTAGGTGTTTCCATATTTAGTGCTAGATGAAAAGCACGAGATAATGTCTGCTCTGAATAGCATACGTACTAGAGCTCTAGTTTTTGTATACCTGAATTGTATCATTGATATTAATCTCTTGGAGACGTGGTTGCTTGTAACCAAAAGGCACAAGCTTGTAGCTAGCCTTGGGAGGGTACAGAGCCTTAAGACGTAAAGCTCCTAGAGCTTGTCTTTCTCTGCACCTAATGCAAAAGTAGCTTTGCTACGGTAGATTTGTTACACCTGATATCACTCGTAGTCAATCCCGCATCTGGGTCTGTGGCTACTTCTCTGTGAGAATGGACATTGAAGAGATGTCCGCGGTTAGCTGTCACAGGCACAACAGGGAGGGTTGCAAAAGCTGCTCCTTCTCCTTGGCCCTAAGGGCGTGGAATACCTCTTCGCCCCAAGGCGAAGATGAGGCTGACTAGCGTATCCTTATGCTTGAATAGTATAATAACGCTCGGGTAGAGCATGTAAAGGCACAAATTCCCTTACCCAATGGTCGCTCCTCCTTGGCAAGCCCCTTTCTCTTTGGGCCACTGGTCCTCTGGCTTCCCAGCTCTTAAAGTACTTCACCATCGCCTCCCTCTGCACTTGGTCAACGATACAGCCTCCCTCTGCACTTGGTCAACGGTAAAGCCGCTTCAGCACGCGCATGTCTTCGACTTTTTTACCCAGTAAGTACTTCTCGATTGTTTGGCGTTTTACATCTGTTATCTGGCTTGATGTGACCTTAGCTGTTCCTCCCTCTACCTTCAAACCTTATGTCACTTCCTTTTCTTCATCATATTAAACACCAAGGTCAGCCTCGAGAGACCAAGGTCTACCAATGATGGACCAGGGTCAATCTCGAAAGAACAAGGTCTACCAATGATGGGCCAGGGTCAATCTCGAAAGACCAAAGGTCCAACTCAGCAGGCCGAGGTCTACTTCCCATAGACTCTGGTCGACCATCGAATTACCTCGGTTTCTGCCACTAGTCCTCACGACTTTGCATCGCTTCGAAGCTATTTCTCCTTGTCTCCTTGTTCGACATCCGAAGTAAGGCTCTACAACTCAAATCCTCTTCATCTACCCAGGAGGGGTCTGCATACCCTTTCCATTGGACGAGGAGCTCTCGTTGCTGTCTCCAATAGCGCGTCTTCTTTCCGGTGCGGGCTTCCAAAATTTCCTCGGCCTCGTACCCTCCTTCCTCCAGCTCTCTTGCCCAACTGTCCTCTGGCAACAGGCTTCCATCGAAGTCGACCCGATCGGTTTCGTCCATCACTAGCATGGCACTCGGCCGGTTGGGGAACTCTCTATCCCTCTTGATCTTGGAAAGATGTACAATTGGAAATAACCCGTAATCCGTGCCTCAGTTTCCAAACGTGCTGCGTGCTTCTCCCACCAGTTCTAGAACTCAAAAAGGTCCATGCCAGAGGTGGAACAACTTCTTGGCGTACCCTTCTTTCACGCGATCCAAGTAGAGCCACACCTGGGTCCCTGGCTGAATCTTGTGGTCGACCACTCCTTCGTTGTGGGCTAGTACCCGAGATGGACTGACCGCTTGTAAGTTCTCATTCAGTTGGGCCTCCATCGCTGATAGTGTGCTGAATGTGATATCTCCATCTGCGCGGTCCAGACCCCGACGTCACGTCTTTCAGGGACCAGGGTCGAGAGTCCATCAACCGAAGGACCGAGGTCTATCGGCAAAGAACCGAGTTCTATTGACGAAACCGAGTTCTATTGACGAAGGGCCGAGGTCCATTGACGAAGTACCAAGATCGGCCTCCAGGGACTGGGGTTGAGAGTCCATCGACGAATGACCGAGGTCTATTGACGAAGGACCGAGGTCGACCTCCAGGCACTGGGGTCGTGGGTCCATCGATCAAAGATCGAGATATGCTTTGATGAAAGACCAAGGTCTACCAACAATAGACCACGGTTGACTTTGAAAGACCGAGATCTATGAAGGACATAGACCATGACAGCCCTTGAAGATTGTGGTCCACCTTGAATGGCCGGGGTACACCTTGAGGAACCGCGTTCCACAGGGCTAACAGCGGTTAACTCCTTTGAATGGCGGCCAACTAGAGGGCTTTGTACGTGAGTCTTTCCCATCCAACGGCTGTTCCCTTTCCTCTTTGGCTCCCTTTGTCCCTGTCCCTTACCCAATGGTCGCTCCTCCTTGGCAAGCCCCTTTCTCTTTGGGCCACTGGTTCTCTGGCTTCCCAGCTCTTAAAGTACTTCACCATCGCCTCCCTCTGCACTTGGTCAACGGTAAAGCCTCCCTCTGCACTTGGTCAACGGTAAAGCCGCTTTAGCACGCGCATGTCTTCGACTTTTTTATCCAGTAAGTACTTCTCGATTGTTTGGCGTTTTACATCTGTTATCTGGCTTGATATGACCTTCGCCTTTGTCGTGCTTATAAGGTTTTTACCTAAGTCTACCCACCTGTTCCGGGAAGGGATATATTTTTGGGCCCTCCCGTCAAAGACAGTCGTGTGGTAAGACTCAAGTGTGAATAGAGCCCCAGGATATATTTGGCCTGTGGGCTCGTCTAAGTAGCACCCTCTAATTGACCCGCTATCGGAAGCGGCCTCCCTACCCCAGTGTTTCGGAAGCAAGTAAACGCCAGGCGGTGAACACCCCTGAGGTATCAAGGAAAAGGCCAGGGCTAAGAATCTCTTCTGAAGAATTTGGTCATAAGCCCACCCTTCCACGTCCTATCGACCTCAGGCGAATGGTACCGCGCAGAGGATAGTTCAAATTCTGAACAGGTCCATCACGATGTATGTCTCTGATGTCAGATAGCAGGGCTGAGATGAGTATGCAGCACGCTTAACGTTTGCGATGAACACCGCGCAAGACCGAGTCCGAAAAGAGACACAATTCTATCTGGTCCATGGACGGGATGCTAGAACCACCCTTGAAGCTACATTACCGGTGGCAAATACGCGACGTCGGGGTCTGGACCGCGTAGATAGAGATATCACATTCAGCACACTATCAGCGATGGAGGCCCAAGTAAATGAGAACTTACAAGCGGTCAGTCCATCTCGGGTACTAGCCCACAACGAAGGAGTGGTCGACCACAAGATTCAGCCAGGGACCCAGGTGTGGCTCTACTTGGATCGCGTGAAAGAAGGGTACGCCAAGAAGTTGTTCCACCTCTGGCATGGACCTTTTTGAGTTCTAGAACTGGTGGGAGAAGCACGCAGCACGTTTGGAAACTGAGGCACGGATTACGGGTTATTTCCAATTGTACATCTTTCCAAGATCAAGAGGGATAGAGAGTTCCCCA